TGATTCATAGTTGAGTGAGGTTAGGTTGATGACTATGATCATGATTCATAGTTGAGTGAGGTTAGGTTGATGACTATGCCTATAACTGTGATTCATAGTTGAGTGAGGTTAGGTTGATGACTATGCCTATGACTATGATTTATAGTTGAGTGAGGTTAGGTTGATGTTCGAAATAAAAATTTTGTTGCCGGCATAAATTGTTAAAGATGAAAAAAAACATTCGAATCGAATTAAATTAAAAAAACAAAAATTTCCAACACTAGATGTCGCCATGGTTCCATGGTTATATATATGGCGTCGACGTAATAAGAGTCGAGTTGGCAGTCAGTCGATTTTTTGTGTTTTCTCTCTCGTTTGTTATCAATCTTTTGGCATTTTTTTTTCTCCCTCTCTCTCTCGGTGTATATATAAAAGTAACGCAATCAAAAAAATCCTTCCATTTTTAACGGTGCGACCAAAAAAATTTCCAACTTTTTTTTTTGCGTTGTAAAATTAAAATTAAAACTTCTTCTCTTTTTTCCTGAACAAATTTGCGATTATATCATCACATACCTTTACCACCTTTACATTCGAATCGTTATCCGCTTTACACGTGGCAGATTTTGTTTTTTTTTGTTTTGTTTTGTTTCAGATTTTAACAAACGTTGGCAATTCGTTCAAAATGGTTAAATCACAACGAATGCGTTTGGCCAATGAAAAGGCATCGAAAAATGTTGTATTACGTGGTAATGTACCGAAATCAACGGTAAGTTTTTTGTTCGAAAAATTTGTTTATTGAAAAAAACGTAACTTTCATGAATTTCCAAACACAAATATAGGCAACCGATGAAAAATATCCAGTTGGACCATGGCTATTAGGTTTATTTATATTTGTTGTTTGTGGATCGGCATTATTGCAAATAATACAAAGTATTCGAATGGGATAAACAAAGCTAAACAACAAAAACATCCAACCAATTCGTCACCAAAGTTGCCAATAAAATAATAATAATAATGATAAACAAAACCAACAAGCAGAGAAAAAAAAATTTCACCAACCAAACAAATCAAATCAATCTATATTTATAATGGAACCAAAAATCAAAAAATAAAAATCATTCCAGATTTTCATAAACAAAACACATGTTGATACATCTTTACACAAAAAAAATTTCTTTCTTTTTTTTTTATTTAGCTAAAAAAAATGAGTATAAAAAATGATTGATTTGATTGATTTGGATTAATCGATGATTTTTAAATGAATTATTATATTTTGAAATAAAAAAAAAAAGATTATTCAATGATTATTATATGGGGGGTATGATAGGGTTAATGAGTGATGAATAAATGAATGGATAATGGGGGTTGTTTTTCAATGTTTTATGCTCGGTGTTTTTATTTTTTCATTCAACCATTTCCACATCCTCTTGTTCATCATCTTCGCCTTCGATTTCTTCACCTAAATTTGTTTTGATTAGGATGAGGATTTGATAAGAAATTTAAGCAAATTAAGCAAAATTTTGTTTTTTGGTTTGGCTGCTTACCATCATCATCACGTCCATGTTTTTTCGTTTTATTATATTGTCGTCCTGGTTGTCTATTTAATGGTACTTCAAATTCATTATGTTGTAAGCTAGCACGATAACTAATTAATGGTTGCCATTCATCATTATGTACACCGGGTAATGCTGTTTTTATATAACGATCCAAATAGGAAAGTCTAATTCCATTAAAATCAAATGAAAGAAAAACAAAAAACAAAAATTAAAAATCGAAAATACAGAATCAAAAACAAAGAAAACTTACACTGTCTTTTTATCAATTTTGATTAATTTGTTTGAAAATTCAATAATAATTTCCAAAAATGGTAAATTCGGTGGTGGCCCTAGTGGATTTTCCGGATTTTCCAACGTATTAAAGGTAAAATGAATACCTTCCCGGTGTAATGCTGCAATAGCATCACGATTTTTCATATTATCCAAACCAAATGACAATGCAAATCTTTTTGCCAATTCTTTCAGTGATTGAAAATTTTCATCTTGTTTCGTGAATGCATTCAAATTATTTGAACATTCATTACGTAGATCCATAAATACTGATATCAATGCAGTAGCCATTGTTTTTGCGCATAAAACTTTATTTATTTCACGTATTTTACCCAATGTATGTTTAATTATATCGCCATAATCATTGTAAAACTAAAGATAAAAATTTAAAAAAAAAATCCAGATTAATCAATTGAAAATCACATGATTTTGTTTTTTTCCATTTCATTGCCAAAATCAAATCAACAATATTTACCTTGACATAATGTTTAATAACACATGCAGCATGTTTTATAGGTATAACATTATAAACAATTAATTTACAATAACCAGCTAAAAAATGACGACGTTTATGTAATATTTCGATATTTGATTTTCTTGAATTTACTGATGATTCTGTGTGTTCAATGAAACAAAGTTAAAGTTTTAAAAAAAACAAGATTTAAAGTAATTTACCATCATCATTATCAACGAAAACTCTGGTTGCAATAAAATTTTCCAATTGTTTTATAATTAATACATCTGGTTTATAAACCAAATGTGCCGTTGCTGGTGATTCTTGTTCCAAATGACGGCTAAATATTATTAATAGGTCGCATATTGAAATGTAAGCCTAAGAATTTTTCACAAACAAAAAAATCAATGAAAATCAAAAATCAAAATTCAAAAATCAAAAAGACTTCTTACCTCTTCTTCCAAATCCAAACTATTATGATTCAATAATGAACGTATTTCATGCATAAAATTATTCAATTTATTTTTAACAATTAATGCACGATCAACTTGTTGTCGGGATTGTGACAGGTGATGTAATTCCCATACCAAACTCATATGACATGATATAATGGAAAATTTTACAGCCATTATTGGTATATATTCACCTTCATGATTAGCTGTTTTAATCCAACGTTCAAAAATATCATCCCACAGATTCCAACTAGTCAAATCATGGCAAGCATAAAGAACGGATATTTTTTTCAATTGAAGATTTACCATTAATTTTTCTTCATCACCTGATGGATTTTGATTATAACGTTCAATAGCATCTTTATATTTTGAACAAATCGTATCGATTAATGTTCCTTTATAAATATTAACATTTTTACTGAATGAAAAATTTTCATCATAAAGATATTCAAATGTTTTTGCTGAAACTTCCAATACTTCTTTATCCGAATGTATATCAACAATTTCATTGATTAAACGAAGAAGATTTTCTAATTGATCTTTTTGTTTTGAAAATACATTCAAATCCAGATATTGTGGTATAGTCAAAAGATTTGAAACTTTTTCCGGATCAGTTTTATATTTATTCAATAACATTGGTAATACTTGAATAAAATGTTCAGATATTTTCATACGATCTTCTTGCAAAGTTTTCTGTTCTTTCGAAGTCAGTTGCTTTCGTTGTGGTCCACGACCAACAGGTGAATCACAAGTTGATGCTTGTTTAATAGCACAAACCATTATTTCAATTAATGATGTTTCTTGTCGATCATCCAATGCTTCTTCTTCTGGTCCAGGTTCTTCAATCAATAAATCAGTCATACATTCCCAATCTTTCATCATTGGATGACTTTCAATCAAACTATCAACCAAATATGCACCATGTTCATGTAATTCACTTTCAATATAAAATTGTATAAGATCTCTGATCAATAATGTATGTATGGAACGTTTTTTACCTCTTCTTGTACGTAAATTTATTGTTGCATTTTCATCCACCTGAAATAATCTTTCATTAAGAAATTCACCAGCAGCTTGTGCAACTGAACGATTTGTTGCATAAACTAATTCATAAACATGTTCACAATCTTTATCGCTCAGTACATCTGGATGATGTTTATGTATATTTATAGCTAATTTTACAGCCATAACAGCAACTTCTGGTTCTTTATCCAATGTCATTGATACAATACGATCTTTAAATTTATTTGTAAATAATTCCATTTTTTTCGATATTTCTTCACTTTCATATAATGGTAACAGAGAATTCAGACATTTTAAACGTACATCACCAACTTTATCATGTAATGTCCAACCAACATATTTTAGATAAGAATCATCCAAAAATATTCCGGGTAAACGTTTCATCCAAATACCAATTTCATACATACAAATTGAACGTATTTCAGGGAATGTATCTCGATAACGATGAACAAATATTGATTTAAATAAATAACCCAACATTGTTTTAATATCTTCATTATTATCATCTAATTCTTTACGTTTTGTCATTAACATATCTAAACGTTCACTTGAACGTTTATTCATATTAGCATTTTTTTGTCGTTCAGCATCATATTGTCGTTGTGTATTATCCAGATTAATACTTAATGTAAGTGCAACATCAACCAATGCTGTCATCAGTTTCATTGAACCTAATGTTGCTGTATGACGAAATGCACGTACTTGTGAATCGGATAACCCAATCAATAGGGAAATTAGATTTTCCATTAAAAATTGATCATAAATTATCGAATATTGACATTGTCTGATTAATGTATGAATAAATTCACAAAAATTTGAACGAAATTTTTTCCATTGTGGTCCATTCATAATCAGCGGATAATCACCCGATTCTTCATCAAATTCATCAACCAAAGCACGAATTATTTGTGCATTATCATATACTTGACGCATTTGTGTTGTAATTTTACCTTTACAACCAGATGATCGAATAAAAAATTGCATCAAATGTATGATACCATTTTCACGATCTTGACGATAGATTTCAATCCATTCATCAACAACTGATTGAAGAACTGAACGTCCTTGTCGTACTGTTTCATAAAGACTATCAGTTTCTTCTAATGTTGGTCGATTTTGATTTAATTGATCTAAATCTTGACGATTAATTGATTGACGACCACCACCACCACCACCACTTGATGGCCTACCTCTTGGTCGTCCACGAGGTCTACCACGTGGTTTACGTGTATTACGATAATCTTCATCATATGTATCATTAGAATCATCATTGATAGTTGATGCATCCGGTACATAATCGGTAAGATTTTCCGAATAACTTACATCCGAATGATAGCTTGATGTATCCATTGGTTCACCAGTACCATCACGGCTACGTTCAACATCATTATAAACTCTTGTCCTCGGTCGTCCACGAGGCATGATTGTTTTTTTTTACGAATGAAATCTTATCAAAAAGAACAAAATCTGATGAATGAAAACACAATCCAAGATTTGATTTGAAAAAAAAAACTTTTTTGAATCGAATTGACAATTGTGGAGGGAAAAAAAAACATCAAACAACAATGAAAAGACTCAAAATGTGTCCTGTTCATAAAGGATGTAATCGAAAAATTATTATTTTTCCTTTTTTTTTCTTTTCATTCTTATCAAAAATTTTTTTTCTTCTTTTTTTCCATCCATTCCATTACATAATTCTTTTTCTTTTTTCTTGCTTCTTAAAAGAAATCCATTCATTGATGAAGAAGAAGAAGAAGAGGAGGATGATATCCAGAATAATGATGATGACCTTCAACTGAAATATAGCAAACACCCAGAAGAGCAGAAGCAGCCATGTAAACCTTGCCAACAATAATCATTTGGAAAGCACTGGACTTTGCAATATATTGAATAGAATGGGTGGCCGCCGCCGCCGTTTTTCGATGGAATCACTCACCCGCTTCTCATTATTATTGACTGCCGGTTTTCTGCATCTGCAAAACCCTTAATTTTCAATTGATTCTCAAACATAGATTCAAAATCAAAAAAGTTTTGAAAAGCAAAATCATTGACAACCACTGTATTCGATTTCTCGAATGGCTTCGAATATGGGAGTATCGAGCTCAGGTGGCGCTACTGTGTGTGTACTTCATTGGAGTAAAATATATATTTTTTCTTTCTGAAGAGATGTCGCCGACACTGGTGGTCGTCGTTGTATGAATGTGGTTGGGCTTTCTTTTTCTTTTTTTCTTTTTTCTTTTCTGATTATCATCATTATCATTCATCATCAAAATAGTCCTCTACCTTTACTCCCACTTTCTCTCTCTCTCTCTCTTTTACTGTCTGTCTGTGTGTGTGTATGTGGACAATATTATTGTCAAACAAACAACAAGCCAGGTTCATTTTTTCATTTATTTTGTGAAGAAAAAATTCACGTCAACAACTTGTCAATTTTTGATTTCGAAAAAAAATATTGATTTTAAAAATTAAAGATTATCTTCAATCCCACCACACTTGTTTTGATCATTTGTTTTTTTTAAAGAAAAATTATCCAAATTTGTTTTGAATATGGATGAAGAATATGATGCTATCGTATTGGGTACCGGTTTAAAGGTTTGTTTGTTTTGGTTTGGTTTTGTTGTTTTTTGATGAAATCTCATTTGTATTCGATTCTATTTATTAACACTAGGAATGTATCCTATCCGGTATGTTATCGGTATCGGGTAAAAAAGTTTTACATATTGATCGTAATAAATATTATGGTGGTGAAAGTGCATCAATAACACCATTAGAAGATTTATTTACTAGATTTAATTTTGATCCAACACAAATGGCTATTGAAGAATATGGTCGTTCAAGAGATTGGAATGTTGATCTTATTCCAAAATTTTTAATGGCTAATGGTAAAATCTTAAAGATTAAATGTTTTGTCTCAAATTTTCATATGGTGTTTTTTTTTCTTATTCTCATTTACACAACAGGACAATTAGTTAAACTTTTACTTCATACTGGTGTAACTCGTTACCTTGAATTTAAATCAATCGAAGGTAGTTATGTTTATAAAGGTGGAAAAATTTATAAAGTACCAGCTGATGAAAGAGAAGCATTATCATCAAGTAAGAAGTCATCATCTTCGAAAATGTTATTTGAATTTTTTTTTTAATTGGATAATCCTCTCTCGCTAAAATATAGGTTTGATGGGTATGTTCGAAAAACGTCGTTTTCGTAGCTTTTTGATATTCGTCCAAAATTTCAATATTAATGAACCGAAAACATATTGTAATATTGATCCAAATAAAACAACCGGAGCTGAATTGTATCAATATTATAAATTGGAAAAAGATACGGCCGATTTTACTGGTCATGCATTGGCATTGTATCGTGATGATGAGTATGTTTATAAAAATTTTAACCTTTTTTTTACTTAATATTTATTTTCGATTTAAAACAAAAAAAAAACAGTTATCTACAAGAACCTTGTCTGGATTTAATCAATCGTGTTCGATTGTATAGCGATTCATTATCGATGTATGGAAAAAGTCCATATCTTTATCCAATGTATGGTTTAGGTGAATTACCACAAGGATTTGCAAGACTTAGTGCTATCTATGGTGGTACTTATATGTTGGATAAACCGGTTGATGAATTGGTATTTGAAAATGGACGTGTTGTTGGTGTTCGATCCGGTACCGAAACAGTAAAATGTAAACAAGTTTATTGTGATCCATCATATGTTCTTGATCGTGTGGAAAAAGTTGGACAAGTTATTCGTTGTATATGTTTGATGAATCATCCGATTCCAAATACAAATAATGCACTTTCATGTCAGATTATCATTCCACAAAAACAAGTTGGCCGTAAATCAGGTAAATCATATATCCGGAAATCTTGTGATATGAATAAAAATTACTAATTATTTATCGTTTGTCACATATGATAGATATTTACATTTCCATGGTATCATATACACATCAAGTGGCATCTAAAAATTGGTTTATTGCTTTAGTCAGTACCACTGTTGAAACTGATAATCCAGAAGCAGAAATTCTACCCGGCTTAACATTATTGGGACCAATCAAACAAAAGTATGAGTAAAATGATAATTTTCTATCAAAAAATACTTACCTTTCTTTTCATTAAAATAGATTTGTAACTGTAAGCGATCTTTATAAACCAAAAGATGATGGTAAAGATAATCAAGTTTTTATTTCAACATCATTCGATGCTACATCACATTTTGAGACAACTTGTTCAGATGTATTGGATATATTTCGTCGTGGTACCGGTGAAGATTTTGATTTTAGTAAAGTTAAACGTGATTTAAATGATGATTTGTAAAAGCTATTAAGGAAAAAACTGGATAGGGAAACTATTGCAAAAAATTAAATCATTGGATCGAAAACACATTCTTTACACAGAAAAAAAAACAAAACGATAGGGAAAAAATGACAGAACAAACAAACAAATTTAAACAGTTTAAAAATTGAATAAATTTTTTTCTGAATTTTTTGCTTTTTGTGGTTTTTTCAATGAGATTATTCCGGGAAAATGAATTGAATTTTGAAAAATTTGAAAATTTAAAATCAAATTACACGTTGTCTGTGTAGGGCAAGTTATTGACATTGGGTGATATTTTTTTTTCTTCAATAAAATCCATTCGAATCGCGATTAAAAAACCTCGGTGTTAACATTTGTTTTTTGCCGACCATGGATTCCGTCAATCCAAATCGAAAAATTAAAATTACAGAAGTAAGTATTGATGAATTAGTATAAGTGATTTGCGTTAATGATTCTCTCCTTGGTTGAATAATGAAAAAAAAGCTACCAATTTATACATCTTGTTGTAAAAATAAACAAGCATCAACAACAAGACAAGAATCAGCCAATATTATCGAACCATATATAAGTGATTTAAGAAAAGAAATTGAATCTTTTGTTGGTCCACAATTTGGTGATTCATTTAAACGTTTTGGTGAAATTTTGGCCACTTCAAAAGCACATACTTATGGTATGTTTTGAAAACTTTTCTTATACTTTAATGGGTACAATTGTAATTTGCTTGTTATTCAGATTTAATCGAAACAGTTCGTGATGATCGAAATGCAGCCGCACGTGCTACATTCATAACATCGGCTGCATTTGTTGGTTATCTTTTAGGACGTCGTGGTTTTTTTCGTCGAACATTAATGGCAACGATAGCAGCCGGTACAGCAGCCGCAATTTGTGAACCTAAAATGGCTCGTGATTATGTTGAAGTTAGTTTTGAATTAGCTAAACGTAAAATTTCCGAAACATACAATGATTATGGAGGTATGATGATGCAAGATGAACAACAACTAACAATTTGTTCACCACTTGTTTTAACCCAAAGCATTTATGATTGATTAATTTTTTATTATTTTTTTTTTAATTTTCTACCAAAAAATATCAATAAAGGTCCTGATTTGATGAAAAATATTCATCTGCCCGATTTCGGTTCTTTCTTCGACGGTAATAAATCATCAGCCACCACTACTGCTGCTGCTAATGATAAGCAACAATAATTCTTATTGAAAATGAAAATAAAATAATTGTGTATAGAGAATCGTTGATTGCAAAAATAATTTTATTTCATTTTTTTCAAACTAAAATTTCAAACATTTTCATTTTTTTTTTGGACAGATAATACTAGAAATTTTGGAGAAAATATTCAGTTCATCTTTTTTTGTCATCAATAATCATGAGAAAAACATTCAACGGGGGGAAAAAACTGAAAATTTATGATGGTTGCTGGTGGTTTTCATAGGTTAATATTTTTAGGGTGAAGTGAAAGAATTGAAGGAGGCACACAATAATTAAAATCAATTAATGGGTATTTTCAGAATATTGTTTTTTGTTTTTTGATCGATAAAACTATTTTCCTTGATGGATGATGATAATGATCAGTATTATGGATGTGAACAACAGAATAAAAAAAACAAACAACAACATGGCTAAATTATTGACTAATGTAGTAGATATTGACCACTATAGAAAATTAAATTCTGTGCTGTATGATGATGATGATGATTAAGTGATGATTAATTTTGTTAAATTTTTAACTTTTGATTCTGATAATACTATTATTGATCAGCAAACACACACACATACAAACATGAATATCATTCGATTTTGATTCAACAATGTTTGATTGGACCATTTGATTTTGCTGTTTGTTTCACGATGAAAACGAAATTGATCGTTTTTTTGTTTGTTTGTTTGTTTCTTTCTTGCTTTCTATTATAAAGAAAAAAGTTTTCTTTAAATATAGCCAATGATATAATTCAAACATCCATAACCCGCGATTCATCGATAAAATACAATCGACGAAACATTTCAAGTTTGAATTCTTAAAAATCTTCTTCAAAAGGAAATCAAACAAACGTATGAAGACAATAAAAATAGAAAGACAGACAATTCGAATGAATTTCATTCATCATCATTATCAGTGAATAATGAACGTATATCCAACAAAACCGATGTTTCAAGTATTAATCGTCGTAAACTTGGTGCATCAATAATATCATTATCTGGAATTGGTGGATGTGATTTAGGAATGTATGTTCGTCGAACCTATATGTGTGTTTGTTTGTGTGTGATAAAAAGAAATGTATGAAAATTATGTCATTATTAATATTTCATGATTTACCCGAAAAAGTCGATGCATACGAAGAACAACACAACAAAATATGAATCGTAATATTTGTAGCCGAAGAAAATCATCACTATAGAATTGAATATAAGCCATATCAGTTAATCGTGAACGTACTAATAATCTTCCAGCTTCAGCAAAAAATCTATCAATAATTTGTTGTGTTTTCTCCCATAATATTATCGGTAAGGTAATTATGTTCGAAATGAAACAAATGGCAGTTATTGGACAATGAAGAAACAATGTAAACAATGAACCTTTACATTGTTGATCATGAAATGGTGCCGGATATTCTTCCGGCGACATCAATATCACTAATGGTTGACCAAAATATCTTGGTATATGTTGAAATGCTGAACTATTATCGCTATCAACAATTATGAATAATGGCCGTCTACCGAATGGATATAAATCACCCGGATATAGACAATGTATCTCTTTTACCATTGAACTACTGGTTCGTTGTTTCGAAATATTCGGATCCATATTATCTCGTAATTTAGTATTAGTAATAACACCACCAAAATCATAACCAACTACATCAGTGGAAAAAAATCATATTTAAAAAATCAAAAATAACATTATAACAAAACTTACTATCTTCAGGTTGTTTAGAATTAATAAAACATCCGTCGGCTGAAAGATAAATTAACAATACACCATTGGCAGGTAATTCTTTAAAACCGGAAGATAAAAATAATAAAAATTGACTAAATGTTGGCTTAAATAATAGATATTTATGTGGATTTTCACGTCGAAATTGTCTATAATCCATTCCATTTTCATTTGGTATTCGTCCAGGTGCTGGTGATTGATCATTGAGCATTTGATTGACATCTTCTTGTGGTTCACGTTCTAATGCTTGTAACATACGAAACATGTCCAATGTTAATTCACTAAATTTAACCTTGAATTGAAAGGGACCAAAAAAAAAATTAATAATATGTTTATGATGATTATCGATAATAATAATGAATAATACCTGATCTGAACAATTACCAACGATTAATATTTCTTGTAAAACTAAATGACTGGGCATAACTTTTTCCATGGGCGGTACATTCAATGGAGTCATTCGATGTGAAAGTATTAATGGCATTTTATTCATACTGATTACTGCAAGTACATTATCAGCTTCGATAAACGAACGTATTTCATCCAAAACTAATTTCCATTCAAGTTGATCTTCTGGATCATATGTAATGGTATAATCATCAATCTGTTTTTCTAGTTCCTGATTTGTTCGAATGAAAAAAATGAATGCATTTTAAAAACAAAATAAAACAAAAACTTACTCGAACCAAATCACGAACTAATTTCATTTTTTTCAACAATAAACAAACAACAATAAATCTTGCATAATATCGTAATTTTTTTACCATTAATTCGGCACGTTCTTCTTTACTTGCTTTACTATAATAACCACGTGCACGAATTGCTGAATAAAATGAAAATGCTTCGGTTAGATAATTTGTTTCGCTTGTTCGTAAACTAAAAAAAATTGAAAATTAATAATAATCATTTTACACAAACAAAAAACAAAAACAACATACTAATAATGATAATAAAGTTGACCAATTTTCGATGCAATCTCACCAATTTGCCAACGTTTCAAACCATATTTTGAATCTAAAATCTGACGATGTTGTTGTTGAAATTTCCAAAGTTTTGTATAAACATCGAATGTTCGTCCAAAATATGGTTGCCATTGTTTATGACCATATGGTGGTAAATCTCTGTGTAAAATACAATCCATAAGAATATCTGATTGATTGATTGAATCACTTACCTTAAACCATTAAATAATTGCCGAGATTTTTCCAACAACATACAAAATTCATTTACAATTTTATTTTCATGTTCTTCAATTTCCGATATAACAGCCATATTATTTGTTAATGTTTTTCGATGATTTGATGATGTTGATGTTTGTATAAATGATGGATAATCATATGTATTATTATTATTCAATAATAATGATGATGATGGATAATGATAATAATAATTATCTAAATTATTTTCAACATATAAATAATTCTGATTATTACTATATGGATTATAAACATTATATCGATTATATTGAATCGTATTCATCAATAATGATTATTTGTTTTCACAATTGTTGATTTCTGATTTCTTCGTACAAACATTAGTAAAGAATATCTTCATCGTTTTTTTTCTACTTCAAATCGGGTTGTGTTTGTGTGTCATACACATAGGCATTTTTGTTTAAATAAAGGCAGCATATTTTTTTGTATGGATTATTGATTTTTTTTCTTCTTTAGTTAGTTAGAATTGGCACATGTACGTATATGATCATCAAACTAGTTCCAAAATCTGGATGGAAAACACAAGAGAAGAGAAAATTGAAAAATAATTTTTTGGTTGAACACAAATGAATGAGGTTAGTTATTTTTTAAAGAATTTCATAATTTTTTTTGGATTCGGTTATTTTTCTCAGTCGACGAAACGCACATAGAAAGATACACATACACACACACACACTGGTTACCAATGTTTTTTAGTTAATAAAAGTTTTTTTTGTATGTTTTGATCGACCATAAAGACAATTCAAGTTTTGTTTTTGTTTCTTTCTGGTTCAAATGTGATGATATTTTATATTTTGTTTTTAGGAACTAGAAATAAAAAACAAACTTTCGATGTGTTTATTCGTATGGGCAAATTGATGGTGTGCATGGTTATTTCTTTTCTTCATATTATGTGTATGTAGCACCCATAAATTGTCTGTTATATAACGGTCTGTACGGAATTTCAATTGTATACACACCACCACAATAACCAACAGATCAGGCAGCAAAAAAGAAAAACGAATATTATTGACGAAAATTCATTTGAAAATATTAACAAATTTTTTCTTCTTTCAAATCAAATCGAGTCAGTCAAAATGTGCAATGAGTGAGAGAGAAGAAAATAAAACACCCGATAGTCATATGTACGGGTATTATGCTTGATTTTGATACGAAAAACAAAACGAAAAAAAAACAACATTGAAACAGAGAAAACAAAAAACATATATACCCGTCGAAATGATTCAAAAAACGGGCTCGATTAGTAAAAATTGATGACGACAACCAAACCAAACCAAACCAAAACACACATATCATAAACACAGAGGTCGATCCATTATTTATTTTCCATTCATTTGTTTCTGGCACTTTGTTGTTATCTTTCTATATTGGATCAACTCTGTTCTATGACTCTCGCTATATATGTGACTCTACGATATTGTCATCATCATCATCATCATAAATAAAGCATCTATTCTGGAATATCTAAAATATTCTGTGCGCGCGTGCATAGTCGTAAATTTTTTTTACACAGTCAATGCGAGAATAGCGAGAGAGAGAGAAAAAAAGTCTTACTATTCTCTGTGTGTTTTGCAAAGAGAATTATGAAATATAAAAAAAAAGATAGACAACATTTATATGTTGTTGTTGTTGTTGTCATCAATTATTGGTTATTAATTAAAAAAAGAAAAAAGAATTGACAAACAACAGACCAACAGACAAAAAAAAATGACAGGAATAGTAGTTACTTACCATAATGACGCCTTGAGAATTTGCTGCAACAATAACATTACTTGATTGACGCCAACAAACTGCACTACAAAAATCATTAACATCTTCTTTTTCCTTCAATTAAAAGAACAAAGAAAATTAATAATAAAAAAACATCAAAAATCAAAATTCAAAACTTACAGATTTAACATTAAATGAATAGCTAAGAACTTGTTTTTCCATTCCTTTATAATAAATATATAAAGAATTATTTTCACTACCACAAGCTAAAAAATCATCATTAGTGGTAAGACCAACAAAATGTTTATCATTTAAATGACCACGATACGACCGAATACAAGTTGAATGTTCAGTTGTCCATAATTTGATTTGACTATCGGTCGAAGCGGCAACAATTTCTTTTTCATTTAAAAATTTTACACATGATACTGCTTTATTATGTCCTTTCAATATTAATAATGGTAATTTTGTTTGTCGTAAATCATAATAATAAACATTATGATCAGCTGATGCAAATGCTAAATAATATAAATTTTTTGGATTAAATTTTACTGAACAAATATTTGCCGTTGTATTTAATGTTGCAATCGATAGCTCCATATTTGTACTCCATAATTTTACTGTACAATCATCTGAACCGGATGCAATAATATTACTATCGATTTTATTAAAATCAACACTCCAACAACGTTTTTCATGTTCTTGAAAAAGATTTAATTTTTGTCCTAAAAATGCATCCCATATGATAACATTTCCTTCATAATCACTTGTAGCCATCATTGCTTTATGATATGAATTCCAATTCAAACAGCTAATTTTTGATGTACAATCAATATCATTGATTGGATAACAATTTCCCAACGATTCTTTAATTACACCACTATAATCAAATATACGTATTTTTTTAGCCACACCAGCAATAGCAAAAAATTCCATATCTTTATCAAATTCAATACTTGATACAATATTTGATGGTTCTTTTGAATAATTCAATAATGCTAATGGTCTTATATGTGAATATAGGGTAAATTTGTTCAGATCTTTTCGAAATTCATCAATTCGATCTATTGATAAATCATTGTCATCCGATTGAAGATAATTATCACGTTTACAATAATTAAGATAACATTTTTCCAAATCATCAAAATAGAAATTCATTTTTTTACGTCTCATTTCAATGGTGGAAGTATTCATATCAAAATTGATTGTTGGTTGATTTTGTTCATGAGAACAAATACCAAATGATATGGAATTGAATGAAGATGGTTGTTTAACTTTTTCACCATCATCCGAAACGATTGAATCATTGTTGACCGGTATTGTATTTTCTTCTCGTTCCATTGTTTCAGTCAATTTCTTTAGATCATCATCAATTTGTGAAAGTTCCGATTGAAGCAATTTACATTCATCTTTTTTCTTTTGTGATGCTTTCATAAGAAATTCTTTTAATAATTCATTTTGTGAAATTCGAGCTTTCTAATCAAAACAAGAAAAAAATGTAAAATGTTTTAAATTTTACAACAAAATTGACAATAGAGAATACCGTTTCAAGATCTTTTTTTCGTTCATTTAGTATGCTAAGAATTTGATTCAATTCTTTAATGTCAAGTTGATCAGATTTTTCAACAACCATTTTCTGTACATCATTCAATCGTTTTCCAGGCTATAAAAATAAGCAACAAAAAAAAAATTAGTTAAATTAAACTTAACTAAACAACAACAAAAACCTTACATTTGTTTTGGCCAATTCCTGTTCCATAGATTTCATTCGTTTATATTTTAATGCCAATTCATTTACTGAATGAATGAATCAAAATTTAAACATAATCTTATGATGATAAAATGCACAAAAACTTACATAAATAATTGGGAAAAAATTGATCAACAAAATGTGTACATTGTGGACAACGATTATTACCTTCCGAAAGACTATCGGTAATACATTTACAACTTGTAAAATACAAAATCAATTAAATTAACCGAGTGAATAAAACAAAGTAATAAAAATGGTAAATACCAAAAAGTATGGCCACATTTAGTAACTTGAGCCTCTTCCAATACATCTAAACATATTGGACTGGATAGAAAAAAAAAGTTTTTAAAAACAAATTCATTCAAACAAACAACATTATTACTGAATATTTACCAAAGAAATTCAACATCTAATCGTTTATTTGAATCGGATATTCTATCCGGTGCTTTTCGTTTTGTTTTTGTTGATGATGATGATGATGGTAACGTTGATGCCGATGTCGATGATGATGTGGACGGTAGTGAATTCGGAATCAAATTTGACATGATTTTTTTCCGGTTGAATCGGTTGCAGGCACTTTTGATTTTTCTGGAAACAAAAATGATGAAATTTTCAAAATGATCAACAGACAAGAATTTCTTTTTGCATGCAAGTTTCTGTTGCTCATTCACACAAGAATATATTACGAAATGCGTTCGAATCCAAAAAAAACGTCATCTATGTACGGTAATGATTTAAAATGTATCAATTTGCGCATAACTATTTCGAATGTATTCGATTCGCGCTAATAATTCGATTTTGTTTTTTTGTTTGTTTTTCGTAAAAACTCAATTTTTTTGAATCAATTTCCAAAACAAATCAACAAAAAACCGAAGAATAAACAATTTATCTTGGCTATTTTAGACAACAATTCCATCATCAAAACAATCGCTCATCAATTGTTCTTCAATGTTTTCAAGGTTTTTTTTCTCCCCGATTATTATTGTTGTTTGGCAATCATTCAATCTGATGTGATTTTTCTTTCCCGAGAAAATAAATAAAAAAATCGATGAATAGAAAATTTTTGTTGATTGTTTATTGCTGTCGTCGCCTTCGTGTTTGTTGAATGATTTTACGACGAACGAAAATTTCATTCTCAACAACAAAAAAAAAACAACACAAAATTCTTCGATCATAAATGGTTGTCTGGACAAATAAATTCTTTCATTCTTGAAAATAAATTAGCGCATGTCGATATTTACATTAAAATTGATGATGATTTTTCGGTTGTTGAAAAGTGCAACATTAAGCACATCTTGTGTTTATGTGAAAAGATACTAAAAGAATCATCATTTTTGTTCGGCTATTAAACATGTTGATCATAGAATTTTTCACTTGAGTTTGCATTCCTACAAATGTTCTTCTAACTTTAATTGACAATTTTTTTTTATTGCTTTAAATTTGTTTTCGACTGTGAAACGACGGATTCGAATGAAAAAAAATCAAATTGCTTTTTAAGTTGTGAATATTCGTGATCCAAAAACATCAAAATAACCCCCCCCCCACCTGATAAAAATGGATCACAATATTCAATCTCAACATTGTGATGGTGAAAATAATTTACAAACATCAATCGATGAAGATTCAATTAAAGAAATGATACCAAATGTTTCATCAAATCGTTTAACAATAATGGAAAAGAAATTTTTATTGGCTGTTGAACGTGGTGATCTACCGGCTGTGAAAAGGTATGTTTTTTTTTGAATGAAACCAATTGAAACAACAAAAACAAAACGAAAATTTCGTTATCATCATTAACATTCCTTTGAAACAGGATAATCTGTCATATGAATTCATCGGATAAATTATTCAATATAAATTGTCGTGATCCATTAGGTAGAAGTGGTCTACTGATGGCAATCGATAATGAAAATATTGAAATGATAAAATTATTACTGATGGCTGGTGTTGAAATGAAAGATGCCCTTTTACATGCTATAAATGAAGATTTTGTTGAAGCAGTTGAATTATTGTTGGATCATGAAGATCAAATTCATGAACCCGGGCAACCAAATTCATGGGAAGCATTTGAACGTGAAACATTTACCAATGATATAACACCATTAGTATTAGCTGCACATCGTAATAATTATGAAATTGTTAAAATTATTTTGGATCGTAATATATCACCAATACCAATACCACATGGTGCTCGATGTGGTTGTAAACAATGTCGATTGGCAAGTAAACAAGATTGTCTTCAACATTCACGATCGCGGATTAATGCATTCAAAGCATTATCATCACCATCATTGATAGCGTTGAATAGTAAAGATCCAATACTTACTGCATTTGATCTTAGTTGGCAACTGCGACGATTAAGTTTTTTGGAACCAGAATTTAAACAAGAATATCTACAACTACGTAAACAATGTCAATTATTTGCAACTGCTCTATTAGATCATACCAGGACTAGTGAAGAATTGGAAATATTATTAGATTATGATCCGGATCGTGATCCATTAGAAGATCATGAACGTTTACAATTATCACGATTAAAATTAGCCATACAAATTAAACAGAAAATGTTTTGTGCACATGCAAGTGTTCAACAACTTTTAGCATCAATTTGGTATGAAGGTTTACCCGGTTTTCGACGAAAAAATATTGTCATACAAATCACACAATTAATCGGTATTGGAATATTATTTCCATTTTTATCGATAGCATATATTCTTGCACCATATTCTACGGCTGGAAAATTTATCAAAAAACCATTCATTAAATTTATTTGCCATTCAGCAAGCTATGTTACATTTTTAAGTAAGTTCATGATCATCATTTTTTTTAAAAATAAGAGTTCAATGTTAATAGTTTTTTTGTTTTTTTTGTTTGTAAAAGTTTTATTAATGTTAGCATCACAACGTATTGAATCGAATATATTTGGCATTAATCCAATTGAAAATATTAACATTACAACGAAAAGGTTTGTATTTCGTTTTTTTGCTGTTGTTTTGTTTTGTTTATTGATTGTTTCAATCATCAACAACATTGATCATTTTGTTTTTTTTTGTTTTTGTTGTTTACAATCAACCAATCAACCGATCGAACGACCAACCTTAGAGGATCATTACCATCATACATTGAATTATGCATTTTGGCATGGGTATTTGGTTTGATTTGGAGTGAAATTAAACAGTTATGGGATCTTGGCATTAGTGAATATCTAAGTGATATGTGGAATATATTGGATTTTATTAATAATTCAATATATGTTGCAACAATCGCCTTGCGTATTATTGCCTATTATCAAACACAAAAAGAAATTATTGAAGGTTTACCATCATTTCAATATCAACGTGAAAATTGGGATGATTTTGATCCAATATTATTATCCGAAGGATTATTCGCTACAGCAAATATATTTAGTTCATTAAAATTAGTTTATATATTTTCAGTAAATCCATATTTAGGTCCATTACAAATATCACTTGGTCGTATGGTTATTGATATTTTAAAATTTTTCAGTATCTATTTGTTAGTATTATTTTCATTTGCATGTGGTATGAATCAATTATTATGGTATTATGCTGATATGGAAAAACAAAGTTGTTTTATTCAACAAGATAAAACCAATGCATTGAATGAATCACAATTAATGATTAATGAAATTTTACATCCAAATGCATGTCTAGCATGGAGACGTTTTGCAAAGTAAGTTTTTGAAGAAGAAGAAAAAAAAATGTTTATTCATTTGATTGTTTGTTTGTATTTTCCAATAACAAAAAAAAGCCTGTTTGAATCAACGCAGACATTATTCTGGGCTACGTTTGGTCTAATCGATTTGGATAATTTTGAACTAACCGGTAAGTAGACAACAAAAAAAAAACAGAAACAGAGAAACAAAAATCATTAATTTTTATTTTCTTTTCATCCTTTTATATATAGGCATTAAAAGCTATACAAGATTCTGGGGTCTATTAATGTTTGGTGTTTATAGGTATTGAACTTGAATAAGCAAATTGTTTATTTGAAAAATTCATTCATTTTTTTTCTCTCTCTCGTCATTAGCATCATTAATGTAGCTGTCCTGCTAAATTTACTTATAGCAATGATGAATCATTCGTATCAATTGATCAGTGTAAGTATCGCGATATCATTTTCTAGTTAATTCTGGAAATTGGAGAAATTAATCAATTTTAATGACAAAAATACATACATAGGAACAAGCTGATACGGAATGGAAATTTGCTAGAAGTAAATTATGGATAAGTTATTTTGGTGATGGTGCTACTGTACCACCACCATTCAATATAATACCAACACCTAAAACAATTTTGAATGCAATTGTTTGGTTGGCAAAATTATGTTTAGGTAAAACTAAACGTGGTAAAAATGAAGCTTTACGTACAATCAAAGTAAGATCAGAAAAAACAAAACAAATATCGATGATGTTGAAGATAATTAATTTTTTATTTTGGTCTATTCAATTAGCGTAAACAACGTCGAGCATATGAACGAGATTATAAATATCATAAAGTTGTGCGAGCATTAATACGACGTTATATTATGAATGAACAACGAATTCAAGAACGACAACGTGGTGTTACCGAAGATGATTGTAATGAAATTAAACAAGAAGTTAGTGCATTACGTTATGATCTAATGGAAATGCTTGGATCAAACAATCGACGTTCAAAAAATGGTGTCGATACAATGTACAATAATGGTATTAATAGTAATTGTCATATGGGAAAGAAAAGCCGTCAACGTGAACGACGATTAATGAAAGGATTTAATTTTGATCATCCTATTATTGAAAATAATGATAATAATAATCAAGATATTATGACCAGTTTTGATATAAATGAAGAATTTGAAGATAAAAGTTCGACAAATATTTCTGATTCACAGAAAACATCGATACATTCACCGACAAGCGTGATAAAAAATAAATTCTATCGAACAGCACAGAATTTGGTACAGAATAAAAAAACCAATTTAAAATGGCGACAAATGATTGAATTAAAACGTGAAAAAACGAAAACATTTTCACGTAGTCAAGATTCGATTGAAAGTGATGCAACATTAAATACTGATGGTAGTTACGGTAATAACAATAATCCTACAACCACCAGCATCGATAATCGATTAATGATTGATGCAAATATTAAACGTCAAATATTTGCTGGTAAATTAGATTCAATGTCATTAAGTCAACCTATCATTCAACAACAACAACAACAACAAAATAAGATTGATAATCAAACAAAAATGATTGATTCATTTTCAAATGAAACAATTAAATCACAATGTAATAGTAAAACTACTACTACAGATGAAGATTCACATTGGTTATAAAGATTATTTCATTATTTTTTTAAAATTTTTATTTCATTTGTGTAAATATTATTATCATTGAAGACTGGATAAATAAAATACACCATTATTGATGAATATTCTAAAGGTTTATTCTTATTTATTATATCATCATTCTATCTAATCAGTTAATCTGATATATGATGTAAATTATAATGGTTCAGTAGTTGAATCAAGCCAATAAGTAGTGAATTCTCCTTTATCCTGTTTATGGAGAGAAAGAAAAATTTGAAGAAAAATTAAAAAATAAGAATTTTTACCTTGATATCAATTTTTCCACGTTCAGTAATACCAAAACAATTAAAAGTATCTAATAAATTTTTTGTCGTTTCGGAAATATGTATTTTCATTGGTTCACCATGATATTCTAATTTTGTTGCAATATTAACTGTTTCACCAAATACAATATATTTAGGCATTTTTGAACCAACAACACCAGCATCACATGGACCACTATTTATACCGATACGTAATTTTAATTTTGTTTTCGGTAAATGTGGTATACGAAATGTTTCAACAACTTTTGATAATTTTAATGCCATCATTGCAATTTCTTTTGCATGATTATTACCATTACGAATAGGTAGACCGGATGCAACCATATAAGCATCACCAATTGTTTCAAATTTAAATGCATCAAAATAACCAATAGTACCATCAAAACAAGTATATAAATTATTCAATAAATTAACAACTTGCATTGGATTTGATTGTGATGAAATGGTTGTAAAACCAACAATATCCGAATGAAATATTGTTACCGATTCAAATGATTCCGGTACACAATGTCTACCGGATTTAAGTTCATCCGCAACAAATTGTGGTAAAATCTGATACAATAATTCATCGGCACGATTTTTCTCTTCAATAACGATGGCCGTTTTTTCTTCAACAATTTTTTCCAAATTTTCTGTATATTGTTCCATACGTTTAAGAAGATTATCCAAAAAATTTGTACTGGTAAGACCTTTGGAAATTTTTTTAAAATAAGGTTTTATTTTAACAAATTCCGGACGATTTTCTGGATTTTCACTCCAACAAGTTTCCATCAATTTGATTAGATTACGTGGACAATCTTCACAATTAACAACCGGTCTGAATGGTACTTCGCCACCCATTTTAACACGATCCAATATTTCGGTTGGTTCCAAAGAGTTTTTATCTTCGGTCGATGTTTCAAATGGTTCACATCGAGTAATAACTTCCTGTAATATGATACCGAATGAATAAATATCACCTTTTTGTGAACCAATATTGTACGGGTCAGGTGAACGTAAATGTTCCGGTGCTGTCCAAAACAATGATCGTGGATTAAAATCGGCTTCTTTTCCAATCTGTTTATATAAAGTTCGTAAACCATAATCACCAATTTTAACCATAAAACGTCCATCAATCAAACAATTTGTTGATTTTAAACGACCATGATATTGAAATGAACTATTATGCAGATAGATCATACCTTCAATTATATCGCTTATGATTGAATAACGAAATGGCCAATCAATTTGCATTTTATCAGCATCCAATATATCACGTAAACTACCTTTCATCATTAATTCAGTTACAACACCGATATTATTCTCTTCAATACATAGGCCAATAAATTTGACAAGATTTTCATGCATTAAATCACGCATATTAGTTAATTCGATAAGCATTTTACGATTGATCGAAAGTTTTTTAATATCCAATGGTTTATAAGCAACACGTAAACCTCTACAATAACCAACCAATACTGGTCCTAATCGACCAAAAGCACTGGTCAATGAATGTGTTGCCGATACTTGTGTAACCGATCGTGTCATTACTGATGTACGATCGGATTTTGTACCATCACCATCAAACGTACCAATCGATAATGATGATTTTTTACCCGCTTGTTCATTTGGAAATGTTATCTCTTCATAATGTACTTGCCACCAATTACTATGTAAATCATTTTCCGAACGTATTTTTTTTATTATTAAATATGCTGCTATCGATGATATTAATGTTAAACTTGAAAATATTGTACATAATATCAATATTATTGCTAATGGTCCTACTTAAATTGTCCAAATTAGAATTAAAAAATCATTAGAATCATTAAATTTAATCAAAAAAAACTAATACCTTTATGTTGACAATGTTCAGCCAAATCATCAAAACCACAGAATGGAAAATCCGATGGTGCTATTGAATCATTTGGCCAACGAATACGTATACCATCAACACGTTTAATTAATTGTTTTCTACCATAAAATGTCATTACTGGACGCATCATACCGGTTTCTGAATCAAAATCATTCAATGTATAATCCAATTCACGATCACCATTTTCATTCAGAAAAATTTCTCCCGTTAAACCTTTTTTTTTATTGAATGAAAAAAAATTGATTTCTGATTGAAAAGATTTCCCAAATGAATAAAAAAACTAACCATTTTGATAGACATTATTCCAAAGATAACGATTTATAATTCCTTTGTTTTTATTGTCGTTTGTAATATTATTATTCGCTGAAATGGATTTATTATATGCCCATGCATAAAAACAAAATGAATCATATAGAGCAGCAAGTAATGGATTAATCTGATTTTGAAATCAAAAGAAAAAACGAAAAAAATTCAATCAAACAATGATGATTTTGTCATATGATGATCAAGACAAGAGATTTACATTTTTATCTGTAATACCATCAAATTCATCGGAAGCTTTACGAAATGCTTTACTAACAAACAGACTATATTCAGGTGATGTTGGTACATGTACACTGATTGTCATAAATGAATCCCACATAATTTTTGCTTTACGATTATTTTTATCACCTTGTTTATACCAGCCAAAATTTTCATCACCATCATTCAATAATTGTAGACCGAAAAATGCATAATCATTTATCATATCTAAATCATATGCATGTATTAATAATGTTCGGGTCATATCGGTATCGGTCATAAAAAAGAAAACTATAGAAAATGAAAAACCGTTACAAAAAAATTAATTAAATTTTTAAAAGATTTTATAATTAATAATAATTACCTCTAGCCGATTTTTTTGCCTGTAACAAATATTTATCATATAATGTTTCATCTTGATGTATTTTATTCGATATAATTTGTTTATCCAAAAATATTTCATAATCCGAAAGATCTTTTAATGCTGTTTCAATGCTTGTACGAATCATAAAACTTTGTGAATCTTTTTCATCAACAATCAATGATATATGATGCCAATCATGATCTTGTAATATTTTTATAAAAAATAATGCAACTTTTTCTAATTGAAAAAAAGTTATAATTATAGAAATGAAATTGAATAATTACAATATTGCTTACCCAATGAAAATGATACTCTTGTCAGTGTTTTATAAATTGATTTATCGGAAAATTGTAGACCAACACCACCGGCTGTCATTAATGGCAGCCGCCAATATGATGCTAAACGTGCTACCTGTTCTAAACCTTTTGTACAAATTGGTCCAATTAATGCATCAATTTTATCTTTAAAATAATGTTCAGCAACAATTGCACCCAATAAATTTGATTCACAATCATGATGATCACGTCTAGTAATTAAATTAAAATTTAAATGTGGATATTTCATACGAACATCATCCAATGCTAATTCCATTGTTGGTTTTAATGTTTCATAATGAACAGGTAGTTCATTTTGATTCGAAATTATCATTAAAACAGTTACATTATGTATTGGATGTATTAAATATATTGGATTCGATGAATCATGATTCATTGTATTGATTGTTTCAATATGATTCGATTGATCATCGATCTGATGATTCGATTGATGATGTTCAACATTATGATTCGATACATTATTATTATTATGATTGTAAACAAAATTTTGATTATTATTAAATCTTTGACTTTGAAATGGATATTGTACGTTGATGGAAGATTCAAAAAACAATGATGATATTAATATGGTGATGATGATTATGAATTGATTATACATTTTTTTTATGGTTGAAGAAAAAAAAATATGATTCAAATGTCAATCATATGATTCGATCGATTGACCAGAACAATGAAAATTTCAACAAAATTTTACGAAACAATATATGACGACATACGAGCGATATCCCGAATGCAATATCCCGAATAACAATGAAAATAATCTTTTCATTCTGTTTTCTTCATTCTTCTTCTTTCATTTGCTTTTTGATTCACAAAAGATTTTGGTCATCATCATTATCGATGAAGGTGATCTTGACAATTTTCATTATAACTATAGTGGACAACCAAACAACAACAACAAAAAACTGTTTACTTTTCAACAAAAAAAAATATAACCCAGAAACAAAACAAAAAATTGAGATTAAAACTTATCTGTTTATTTGGCCATTTGTTGTTGTTGTTGTTTTTGTTCTGTTTTATTTGTTTAGTCTTGGAAATGATATATTAAATTAGAAAATTGCAATCGCACTAATCTAATATCGGCTATTTCTTTTATTTTTCATTAATTTTTATCGGTCGAAAACCGAAAAAAAAACTTTTCTTCGAAACATTCAAATCTTTTTTCCGAATCGAACGAAATTTCCGCCAGCCGAAAAACACAAACAACCGTTTTACTTTATTTATGAATAACTCCTGTGTGTGTGTGTTTTTGATCTGTATCCTGATTCGAATTCTTATTTTTTCGGAAAAGCCGGTCAAAGTAAAAATCGATTTTGAAAACAAACCCGAACAAAAAAACCATCAAAAATGATAATTAACAAAATTAATGGCCCATTTATAAACGTTTTTTTTATTTTAAATTTATTTATATTTTCCATTGTATTGTCAGTTGGGATTTCAGGTTGGTGGTGGGAATTGAAGATTGATTGATTGATTGATTGGTTGGTTCCAGGGGAAAACAACGGTTATATAACGAGAATATTTTTGTTTTCGTTGTTGAATCATTATAATAATAATAAGTATTTTTTTTCTTGGTGTGTGATTTGATTAGATTCATTGTGTTTGTGTTTGTGTGTCAGGTGAGTTTTATTTTTTTAATGAGAAATTCTCACCAAAAAAAAAATTCATCGATTGATTCAAGTGTGTTTGTGACCAGGTGAATTCGGTGTTTGTTTGTTTGTTTGTTTCATTTATCTATATAGAAAAAGTGTGTCTGTGTCTGTGTGAATTATCATTACCAAGCAACCGATTTCGGAATAATAATAATAATCTACTTAAATTGTTTATCATTATGAATAAGAATGAAATGAAACAAAATAAAGTGAATAAATGATTGATTTGATTTGATTTGATTTGATGATGATTGGTCAATTATCGATTATGTGGTTGTATTTTTCGTTTCATTCAATCAATCAATCACTTGTATTATTCTTTCTTTTTTTGATTAATTTCCGATTTTTGTTGTTGTTGCTGCTGTTGATGTTGATTATTATTGATTATCGATTGTTTTGTTGAATCATTTAAATCTTTTGGTGTTGTTTGCTTGCTTGTTGCCGATGATGACGATGATGTACCATTATTAACTGATGGTGATGACATTGGTGTTAAATCATCTTGAAATAATGGATTTTTTATTTCCATTTCACCGGTTGGTGCTAAACCCGGACATTCATAAACAGTATATTCACCATCTTCATTTTCTTCATCCGATTCAATATCCGAACCCATTGTATTATTTTTCGGTACATTTGAATTTCTTTGGAGCAGCAAAAACAAAAAAAAATTCAAATTAAACAAAAATTTGTTGTTATCAAAAGACAAAACTTACTTTTCAGTTGAAATCATCTGTTGTTTTTGATGATGATAATGATAGATTTGTGCACTTTGTACTAATTTTCTATCATTATTTGGTGATTGACATTTACCATCATTATTATCACCACCAAGAGTACTACCACCACCACCACTTCGACTAACCGGACCAATAACACCATAGGCAGGAAAATCAACATCCGCTGCTGCTTTATTACTTTGTTGTACTTTATAGAAACAATAACCGGCACCAATTACCGAAAATATTGCTACTGTACTTATACATGCTACTATAGCTATTATTTCGATAGAAAAAGAAAAAAGAAAATGACCAAAAATTAGTTAATCAGAATACAGAATCAGATATATAAAAAGATTAATATATTTACCAATAAAATAAATATCCGATAAACTACTAAATTTTGATTCCATTGAACTTTTTCCATCATTATTATTATTCATCATCATTGATAATTGATATGATTTAGGTATTTGTATTGAATGTTTACTGTTCATTATATTTGATGGTTGTTGTTTCAATGATGATGATCCAACCTGTAATCTTTTTTCCGGTTGCATCAATGATTTTTGTTGGTGTTGTTGATGATTATCATGATTAACACTATTGATTTTCGCTGCTGTTGCGTCATCATCATGACTTTTTCTTTTTTTTGTTTGTTCAATTTCATCGTATGGTATGGCCATATTTTCTTCACTAAATACCAACGGAGAAGAAGATTGCCTGTAATTTGTCGATGGATGTTTCATTAATTTCCATTTTCGATTGAAATTTTCGAAATTTTTCAAGTTTACATTATCATCATCATCCTGAAAAGCAATCGGTTGTCTATTGCCAACACCAGTGCCAATAAAATTGGCAAAATTCAATAATTGTTGTTCATCGACATCGAAATCACCATCATTAAAAGCAGCAGGATTAACAACAGCAGCAGCAGAAGCTATTCTATTTTCATCATCCAAATAATCAATATTTCTTTCATCATTTGATGATGATGGTTGTATGTTTTGTATCGAAACTAAAAGTCTATTTAGATCATCATCAATGAATGGTTGTTGTTGTTTTGGTTGTTGATGAAATTCCCTTCGTAAAACAGCAGTAGGTCGATTATTGGAATTTTTATATTTACTTAATAATCCTTCAGCTCCATTAAGAAAAATAGCAGCATTGTTTTGATTTGGATTTTGATTATTCAATAAGAATGGTAATCGTTGTTGTTGTTGAATAATGGCTGCTGCTGATTCTTCATATGGATTAAATTCTTGTTGTTGTTGTCGTCTTGGTTGTTGTTGTCGATCAAAAACAACAACAACATCATCATTATTATCATCATCATCAATATTATATGGTGGTAATAATTTTTGATAATATTTTTGTAATAATTTTGCTGTTGTTGTTGTTAAAGATGGTGGTAGTTGTTGTTGTTGTTGTTCCAATTCATTTGATAATATCGTTGGTTCCGGTTGTTGTTTAGCTAAAACACGTATGAAAATAAGGGAAAATAAGAAGAAGAAAAATGTAATCTTCAAAATGTAATTCTTCATCAAGCAAACAAACAAGCAAATCAATTTATCTAATTGAATTGTCAGAAGATTTTTTTCTTTTTTGACATTAAAAATGTTTTGGTTATCAAACATTCGAATCGAATCTAATCGAATCGAATAAACAACATATTCTACAGACATTCCACGCCAACACACACACTAATTGATTCATAAAAAATTGAATGTTTGATTTTCTCAAAATGAGAACCGAAGAAAATGTTTTTTTTTCTTCTTTACACTTCTCTCGGTACACATTAATTATATATAGCGAAAAGGAAAAAACATTTAAAAAAATGAAGAAAAATAAGGAAAAAGAAGAGATAAATTCTTCCTGTCTCATTCATCAAATCAAGAAACAAGAAAAAAAAATGTCAAGCTCAAAAAACGGTATAATACGGTACTTTCGAATGGAAAAAAATTAAAATGACTAAAGCGCATGTGCAAATCGAATCATCATTACATAATTGTACAGAATAATAATAATTTCAATGTCAGAATCTGTCACATACATACAAAAATACAGAATCTGTCATTGGTGGTTATTAGATTATTTTTAATTTGATAAATTCATTGGAATTTTGTTTATTTTTCTATCTTTCTTTCTCCCTTACTGATAACAAAAAAAAAATTAATTAATCTAATAACATAAACAAATCAAATGAATGACACGTTCGTATTGTTTGGTTTGGTTGTCTGGTTTTCTGGTTTTGTTTGGGTTTGTTTTTAATTGTAAATTCGATCTAATCAAACATTTTTTTAATGAATGAATGAATGAATGAATGAATGAAACAAACCTCTTTGTGGTTGATAATGTTGTTTTTGTTGTTGTTTTGGTTGTTGTTGTTGTTTTGGTTGAAATGCATCAATCAAATTCAACGATATAATGATAAACAACAATAAACATTTAATCAAATAGATTTGTTTCATTTCGTTTGATTTTGTTCGGTTTTTTCTTTTTTGGTTTGAATTGAACTAATTTTTGTTTACTTCAAAAAAAATATATATAGGGATGATTCGTTGAAGAAGAAGAAGAAATTCGGAAGAAAATAAAATCACATCATTATTCCATTGTTTGCTTATCGATTGTCGATTCGATCAAAAATGATTGAAGAATTTCACCAAAAATGAAAAATTTAATCAGTAATCGATTACGACATGTTTCTGGCGCCGATGATGACAAGTTGATTCCAGACGAAGAAGAAGAAAAGCTGACTTTTTTTCCAAAAAAAAATCGGATAATCTTATTGAAGATCAAATTTCTTTTTGACAAACAACAACAACAACAAAAGTGATAAAGAATGATGAAAGAAAGAATTTTAATCCATTCAATGAACGAAACGAAATGGATGTATATTAATAGATCACAAATACAAATACAAACAAACAAACAAAAACATCAAAAGGTGATTAATATTGATGATGATTACGATGATGATGATAACAATCGAAAATTTTTTCGTATTTTTTTAAAGATTTAAGAAGCTCTTTGGTAACAAACGATAGAATATCTTTATCTCTCTCTCTCTCTGGCTATATATGCGATCTATTTCCAACCGAAAACAAATGGGAAAAAAATGTACTATGGATATTTGACACTGGATGTGGTGAGTAAAAACAAACCGAAAAAAATATATCAATTTTGATAATATGATTAATTTTAAACAGCAACAACAACAACAGTGATAAAAATTAAAATAAAAAAACAGAATCAACGATGAAAATATAGAAATGAATGAATGAATGAAGAGAATCAAATGAATTGAGTGAGTACAAAACAAAAACAACAAAAAATTATTATGATTTGAAAATATTCATTACTTTCACATTATAAGTGTGTGTGTGTGTGTGTGTGTTTATCTCTGGTTGGTTGGTTTATTTTTTCATTTTTTCATTTTTTTTTGTTTGATTCGTTTTACCAGAACTCAATTCACCACCACCACCACCACCATCATCATTAAACATAACAGGATACAATTGACGTCATCGACTACCACCACCATTGATGATGATCATCATTGAAAACTTCCAACATCACCAAAAAAATGAAATGAAATAATGAAATGATATAACAATTTCCAAATAGCACATATATAGCATATTCTATATATCACTGAATACAGGCAGGAGGGGGAAGGAAACCTATGTCTGTGTTTCAATGTTTTCAACGTTTCAAGAATCCTTTTTGTGTGTGTGTGTGATGAATATCTACATGCACAGCAGTCATAGACACAATCAATTTTTTTGTTTTCGTTGTTTGTTTGTTGGAATCATTTTTTTATCATTTGAAAATGGCAAGTGGGAAAAAAAATTCGGCCATTTTTTTTCCAACTTTTCATCAATCCATTTTACGCTTGCTCGAAGAAAAATAATGTACCAAAAAGAAAATTCTGTGAACAAAGCACACAGGTTTTTTATATAGAAAAGAATTGGTATTCTTTTAAAATTTTCTTTATTTCATTTCAAAAACAGCGAATTTGATTTTTATAAAAAAAAACTATAGTAAAAAAAGCAAGAAATTCATAAAATTCTGCTGTTGTTGTTTGATTGACTAAATAATGTTCTTCATGCATGAACATGTTGTTTTTCTTCATGTCCATGGACTTTTTTTTATTACTAAGATGATGATGATGATGATGATGTTTCACAATCACGTAAATCTGGTTTTGTTTTGGTTATATTACGTTGTATAACACGTTTCTGTAACATTAAATGTGGAAAAAGTTCTGCAATAATAATAAAAAGAAATAAAAAACAAGGAAAAATCATTGAATTAATGAAAAAACAAATTTTTTGAAAAAGAAATTTTCTTGTTTCTTGAAACAAAACCTTTAGATAATCGTAGGGCATTGGTTGCAGCATTCATTTCTGCTTCCTGTATACTATGTCCTTTACCAGTTGCTAAACGATCATCACGAAAATAAACAGCAACTTCATAGATTCTTGTATTTGTTGGACCTTTACTATCGATTACTCTGCGATTTTTCAAGTGGGAGAGAGAGAGAAAAGATAGGAAAAAAATCAATAAATTAAAATTTTGTTCTCCTGGCTATTTTCGACATACTTATAAGTAGGAATATCCGGTTCACCACAATCAGCTGATCTTAATGTTAAACAACATTGTTGTAATTTAGATTTAGGATCATTCCAATCTTGATTCATAATAAAATGTTCTAAACGTGGAAAAAAACAAACTTCACAAAATCGACGACAATAATCAATACCTTTATCAACATAAAGGGCACCAATAAATGCTTCCAATAAATCAGCACGATCTTTTGTTTTTAATTCTGATTTAATTGAATTATATTGTGTCATATCAACAATACCTAAATCATCACAAACAACTGATTGTGTTTTATTATTAACTAATGAACTACGTAACAATGATAAATGTCCTTCATGATGATCAGGAAAATATTTATAAAGATATTCTGAAGCAATTAATTGTAAAACAGTATCACCAAGAAATTCCATACGTTGATTTGAACCTAATGTTAAATTATTATAACCAACACTACGATGTGTAAATGCACGTGCTAATAAACGAATATGATTGAATTCAATACCAGTCATTTGTTCAAATTTTGCCAATTCACTTAAACGATTAACTTTATCAATTAAATGACGATCACCATTAGGATATTGTTGTTGTATTGGATGTTTTGGATAATCAGACCATATACGATGTAATAATTTGGATTGTTCATCATTATCATCGAATAATGTAGAAGAGAATACATGATCAGCAACATTAATACCACCATCTAAAAATAATGCACCCATAAATGCTTCAAAACAATTAGCCATTGCATGTCTTAATTCAAGATCATGACAAAGATCTGAACCATGTGCATAAAGCATAAATTTTTCCAATTGTAATTTTCTTGCCAATATAGCTAAATGTTGATTTTGTACTAATGCAGCACGATATGTTGCTAAACCACCTTCTTCCAAATCAGGAAATAAAAAATAAAGATGAATCGATGTTAAAAATTCAACAACAGCATCACCCAAAAATTCTAAACGTTCATTATGGTTGATATTTGAAACGGTTTCTTCATTACACCCGAATCGTGACATAATATTGATTAACATGTTAATGCCACGCTTACGGGTATTCATGAAATGTACCTTTCGATCACCATATTCTAAATAACGTAAACCACAATTTGTTAATGTATTACGTGCATGATCAGGATTTGTACCAAAATTTTCTCTATAAGAAGGATGTGTTAATGATAATTGTAATAATGATCGATCATTAAATGTATATTTAATAATCTTTTCCAAATGTTGTAATGAATAATGAAATCTTAAATGACTAATTAATACGGGTATTATTAATGAATGTTGTACAATATCACATTGTAAACCTGTACAATAAAATCCTTTACTACTAATTACCACTGTTACATCACGTTTTAGATCACTTTTCGATCGCATTTCTTGTAATTTTTCTTCTTTTTGCATTAAAATCTCTTTATCATCATAGCTTACTTTTTCTTTATTAGCTAATAGATGACGATATTTTACATAATCACGCCATGCTTTTTGATATTTTGGATTACCGGCATAACTTAATTGTGGTGGACGAATACCAAAATGTACAATAACTGGATATTTATCATTGTTTTGACAATCCGATTGATTCTTATCATCATCAACAATGATATCATCTTTTTCACGATCAATTTGATCAACACGAATTGAACATGGTTTCATTGATGGACATGTAACCAGATATCCTTTATGTTTCATTGCAAATTGATTCCATTCTTTAATGGTCATTTGTGATAATTTTTCCAATTTACTTTCATCAATTAATGGTTTAGATTTTCGATATAGATATTCCAATACAATACTCATTGATAATAATTCTTTACCATTATTTTCAATTAAACGTACAAATCTTGGCATAAAATGAAAACGATTACAACCATCATTATCATCTTTAGCTTTAACATTAAGATCGACTAATTCCAATAGTTCGTAGAAAATATAATCAAACATCAGGTCAAGATCACCGACACAAAAATTTTGTGGAAAATCATCTTCAACAAATGTAATTTCATAGCCAATATTATATCGAATAATTTTACATGATGGAAATGAATTTGGTATTGGAAAATGTGAAAACAATGAATATCCTTCAAAATAATAAATATGATCATCATGTTTGATTGTTGTTGCAGCGTCGACTAGAAAATTAATTTTCGGATTAATCGATACTTGATAATGATAAAGACGATGACGATTATTTGTATTCGGGTTGCATCTGGGTAAATGTTCTTCACCCAAATATATACCATGACGAATACCACTACGTTTTGCTTTTAAACTACAACGACATAATAGGCCATCATTCATCTGTTTTTTCAGTGTTAAAAAACAAAAACAAAACAAAAAAACTTGATAAACTTTGTCTTTTTAGGGTAACATTAGAATAATAATCTATACTTCACCAGGTTCATTATACCAAAGTTCTTCATGTAAACGATATGGATGAGATTTTTTCCGTTCCAATTCTTTCATTGAACTATTTTCATTTTCATCATCATCCGAATTATCATCATCACTAAAATCATCACTACTATCATCATCAAGATCACTGTTATTATCATTTCCACATGAATATCCACATTTATCTATGAGAAAAAAAAGGGTTTGAACAAAAGATTTGAAATTTTACCAAAATAAAGAATATTAGCTTACCATGATGATGTTTATGTGCTTTTAATTTGATTTTACGTTTTGGAAAACTAAACGATGGTTTTTCTGATCGTAAACGTTCCGAACGTAAAAGAATTTCTTGTTTAAATTTTTCATGAAGATCAATCAATTGTTGTGTACCTTCAATAGTTTGTACAATCATTTCATCATCATTATTATTATCCATTCGTATCAATGGTTTTTGTCTATAATAAGGTTCTAATGGTGTTGATCGTTTGTATAGGATTTTTTTCGAATAAATTTCTTCCATTATTTTTTGAATTTTATTTCTATTCATATATTTTACATCATTATCATCATCATCATCATTATCGTTGTCATCGTCATCATCATTATTATAACGATGTTTATTCGAATGATTAGATCTTGTTCGACCAGTGTCAAATTTATTGCTATTAGATGATGATCGTTGATGATGATGATTATGACTATTATTACGTTTTTCATCATCTCGATGACCATACGACTTGGGACTGATGATATTATTACATTTTTGGTTTGATTTGATCACATTAGTAGTGGTGGTAGCATTATTGATGGTAGTTTGTGGCCGTAAAACATTATTATTTTCAATAGTCATTGGTATTCGATTAAAAATAGGTAATGATAATGATAATGGTAATGGCGGTGGTAATATTCTTCCAAAAGGAATTGATGATGATGATGTTGGAATGAATGGTGGTAATGGTAGTGGTGGTGGTGGTGGCCATTGCAAACCAAAAGGAATCGGTGGTGGAAATGAAAACGGAAATATCGGTGGAGGTAATAAATCGATTGGATGCGGAGGTGGTCGGGGAAGTGAAAGATTTAGTGGATTATTATTATTATTATTATTGTTGTTTAGAGGAGGAAAAAGCAGGCCATTAGAATTCAATGATGGTGATGTTATTGGTTGATTCGATTCATTCAATGAATCTGAATTATCTAGACGAATTTTTTTATTATTATTATCCATCTTTTGTTTCGTTGATTTTGTGGATATTTCGATTTTAAACAAAATTTTAAAAAAACTATCCTAAAAACATGATTTAAATCAAGGAAAATATCACAGTGCTGATGGCAAAACACGAAAATACATATGGATTCGTTTGGAACACACGAGTATTCGATTCCAAAAAAAAAATCTGGACCATCAATGTCAGAATAGTGTCAATACTGTCTGTCAGTGTCTGTGTTTGGTGTCAAAATATCCTCGTTATATACAACAACGAACGAACACACGATTTTTGTTCGCCGATTTTCTTTCGTGAATTTCTATCAATCAAATAAAAAAAATTTTCATAATGGAAAAACATTCATCAATCATTATCGTAAGTAGTGTTTGTTGATTGACAAAATGAATTAATTGTTTTCTTTTCTTGTCACACACCATAGAACGAAGAAGATCTGGCACATGAAGAAGATATACTTCGAAATTCTTATTCAATTTCACATTGGTTACGTTATATTGATCGTAAAAAAGATTCATCATCAAACGATATTGTTAATTTATTATATGAAAGAGCTTTAAAATTAATGCCCGGTAGTTATAAGCTATGGTATGGTTATCTAAAACTTCGTATCAAACAAACCAATTCATTATCAATATTAGATCCAATTGTAAATGAAACAAATAATTGTTTTGAACGTTCGCTAGTTTTTATGCATAAAATGCCTCGAATATGGATTGAATATTTACAATTTTTAATGTCACAATGTGATTTGACACGAACACGTCGAACATTTGATCGTTCATTACAAGCATTACCAATTACACAACATAATCGTATATGGCCACTGTATTTGAAATTTGTAAAATCACATAATCTACCTGAAACATCGATTCGTATTTATCGTCGTTATCTAATGTTATTACCTGAAGAAGCTGAAGATTTTATCGATTATCTTATATCGATTGAACGTTGGGATGAAGCTGCATTGAAATTAACCGAAATTGTTAATGATGAACATTTTGTTTCCAAACAAGGACGATCTAAACATCAATTATGGACTGAATTAGCTGAAATTCTTTGTCGTCATCCGGACAGAATTCATTCATTGGATGTTGATGCAATTATACGTGAAGGAATTAAACGTTATGTTGATCAACAGGGAAAATTATGGATTAGTTTGGCTGAATATTATACCCGAAGTGGTTTATTTGATAAAGCACGTGATATTTTTGAAGAAGCATTGGCCAGTATTAAAACTGTTCGAGATTTTTCACAAATTTTCGATGCTTATACACAAAGTGAAGAAAAATTGATACAAGTACGTATGAATCAATCGAATCTAAGCGAAGAAGATGAAATTGATCTAGATTTACGTATGATCCGATATGAAGATATTATTGAACGTCGGCCATTATTATTGAACAATGTAGCATTACGACAAAATCCACATAACGTAGAAGAATGGTTAAAACGTGTAAAATTATTGGAAAATAAACCCACCGAAATTGTTGATGTTTATAGTGATGCTGTACAAACAGTACAGGCAAAACATGCCATAGGTAAATATTATTTATTGTGGGTAAAATTTGCACAATTTTATGAAGCTAATGGCCAGTTGGAAGATGCTCGTTTAATTTTTGAAAAAGCCGTTACAGTTGATTATGTAAAAGTTGAAGATCTTGCTAATGTTTGGTGTGAATATGTTGAAATGGAAGTACGTAATAATAATTTTGAATTGGCATTAAAATTAATGCAAAGAGCCGTTTCAGTTCCATCGAAGCGATCAACATCTTATTATGATCAATCGGAATCGGTACAAAATCGCTTGTATAAATCATTGAAAATATGGTCAATGTATGCTGATTTGGAAGAAAGTTTCGGTACATTTGAATCAACCAAAGCTGTTTATGATAAAATTATTGAATTGAAAATCGTTACACCACAAATGATCATTAATTATGGACTGTTTTTGGAAGAAAATGGCTATTTTGAAGAATCATTTAAAGCATATGAAAAAGGTATTGCATTGTTTCGTTGGCCAAATGTTTACGATATTTGGAATACATATTTAACAAAATTTTTACAACGTTATCGTGGTTCAAAATTAGAACGTATACGGGATCTATTTGAACAATGTTTGGAATATTGCCCTTCGAAATATTGTAAACATTTTTTCTTTCTTTATGCAAAATGTGAAGAAGAATATGGTTTGGCTAGAAATGCAACCACTATTTATGATCGTGCAACGAAAAAAGTACCATCGAATGAACGAATGGAAGTTTTTAATATATTTATTCGTAAAGTAGCCGAAATGTTTGGTGTAACACATACAAGATCAATTTATGAAAAAGCTATTGATATGCTACCGGATTCGGAAGCACGGGAAATGTGTTTAAAATTTGCCGATTTGGAAAGGAAACTTGGTGAAATTGATCGTGCACGTGCTATTTATGCACATTGTAGCCAAATTTGTGATCCACGTACGGCCACCAGATTTTGGAATGCATGGAAAGATTTTGAAATTAAACATGGAAATGAAGATACAGTTAGGGAAATGTTACGAATAAAACGTTCAGTAATGGCTACATTTAATACACAAGTAAATTTTATGTCAGCACAAATGATAGCATCAGCTTTTCATCAACAACAAGATAATAAAGAATCGACGAATAAAATGAATGATTTAGAAAATCTAGCACAAGCTAATCAATCGGATGGTTCGGAAATAATTAAAAATTCTGTACAATTTGTTAAATCTGATTCATCAACGGTGAATAATGGTGGTAATCGAGTGAATGATATTATTGTCAGCTCGGATCAGGCTAATCCTGATGAAATAAACCTCGATGATGATGAAGATTTGGATGCCGAACAAAGTGATGACGATGATGACAATGATGATGATGATGATGAACAACAATCATCGTCTAAGAAAACTAAATTGTCAGGTAAGGTTATTAAAAAAAATTGTGCACGCTTTAAAGCTAAAATTAAGGAAACAAATTTTAATCGAACAAACATTCTGCTTTTTATTCGTGTTTATTATACAAAAATACTAATTCATTTTTTTTGAAAAATTTAAAACAGAGATTGAACAGAAAATGGTTCCCAAAGAAGTTTTTGGAAGTTTACGTAACGACGATGATGATGATGATGATTGATTATTTTTGTTTGAAAATTTCACCCAATTCATTGTATAACAACATAAATTCTTGTCGTTCTTCTTCTTCTTGATTAACAAAATCAATATTTTTTAATTTTTCAATAAACAAACGAAATTCATTGATTAAATGATTTTCATTTTTCATTACCAAAGGATTTTCGTTTTGTTTCGCACGGATAAAATGATTAAAAAATAATTGATCAATTGGAATATCATCAATTTCCTTATCAATATGATTGTAACGAGCTTCAAATGGTACATTGAAATCATTATTATCATCCGCTTTGAACAATTGTTTTAAATAAATATCTTTTTCATCTTGTATTAAACATTTTTTATCTTGATAATATCCAATTTGAAATATTAGATATGTTTTGATACAACGATTCAATTGATCGGCCAAAATATCGGTAAATAATGGATTTTGTAAAATGTTTTGTAATGTTGAAAAATAGTAAAGTTTACTGACGAAATCCTTACTACATTCTTGAAATAGTGCCAATAATAATTGATGGAAATTATTTTGGAAACAAAATTTTCGATATTTTTCATCACTGACAATGGCCAATGTATTCAGCAATTTCAAACAACCAATAGAAAATTCCAGACGATGTTCGGTCAATGTTGATTGCAAAAGCAGATTTTTCATTTTCAATATTATTCTATTGAAATGTGAAAAATTTAATAATGTTTTGATATTTTTCAAAAGTCTTAGATGTAATAATGAATCATATTCATCGTCGACGTTGTTGTTTGATCGTGAGATGAAATTTCTAACCAAAATATCAATAATTGAATCATCAGGTTTTTCCGTAAATTTTGTATAATTATAAATATTTTCATAAATAACTTGACAGTTTCTTGGTACATTAATATTGACAACTTTTAAATCAAAATCATTCCATATCATTAGGTTTGATTGCACTGGACATGATTCAATCAATCGACCAAATTGATCTTTATCAAAAAATTTAAAAATTCTTTTGGCCAAATTCAATAGAATTTGATAGGTAAATCGTAAAACATTTATGGATGATTGATGTTCAACAGTGGTAGTTCGAACATCTTCGAACCAAATTTCACTCAATGTTTTGAATAAAACTTCAGCCATATCCAATGCAAACGCATCGGAAATACGACAACAAAAACATAGGATATCGGATGCCATTAAAGCATTGATTAGATGTGATGAAAATAGTTTATCGAATAAAAATTCTTCCACTTCAGCAAATTGATCTTCATTCAATGTCATGATGAAAGCACAAAGTATCGATGTAACATAATCATAAAGACTGAATTTTCTGTTAAAAATTGGAAAAAAACTTTTGAATAAAAAAAAATTATTAGTATAATTTTTATAACTTACAAATTTTTATATTCAATTACTTCGGGATAAAGAAATGATTCGGTTTGTTCGGCGATAATTTTGAAAAGAAAAGAAAATATTGAAACAATTTCATCACGATCAACTTGTTCTAAACCGATCCAACGATTAACGGATTCATGATCAATTTTCATTAATCTTCGAATAAGATTAGTTAATCCAATAAGATAATCATCATTATAATGCATAGGATTAAGAATATAATGAGGAAAATCATCACGATGACTTAGTTCAAGTAAAATTTCTTCATCATTAACATTTTCATCTAAAAGTTTTTGAATAAGTTTATCATCAAGTTGAGTTGATCGAACACAATTTTGATCGGGTAATCCATAATCATCCTAATTAAATGAAATTTTCTTTCAATAAAAAAACATGATTGCTTTTCATAATTACCTCAAAAGAAATAGATTCCGAATCTGTCATTGTTTGCTTTTGTTGAACAAAATTAAATTAAATTTCAAAACAATCACCAAGAATGTCGAAAAATCGCGCGCAAGAAATAAATTTTCATCATCGAACGAAAAAACATAAAAGCATAGAAAATAGTGGTTTTACAATCACGTGAACAACGTGACGAACGACTATATCGATTGTTACGATTTAATTTTTCGATTGTTTTTTTTTGAAATTTTTTAATTTTAAAAATTTAAATCAAGATTATATTTCAATTCAAATGGATACATTTTGAAAAAAAATTATTATGGACTGAAATAATCTTGATCATCACGATGCGGATTGATCACATTGAATTTTTCTCGAATGTAAGAAGAATCTGACATTTGTGATATATAGGGCATAAGATCAGGATCAATAAACATAGTGTAAAGAGAATGGAAATCACGTATTGCCCGTTCAGTAAGATTGAACCTCACTCGACATGAAACCATCCCCGATGTATAACTCTCGAGTTTCTCGTAATTAGCGTCGGACAATTTATTTTTGATTTCGGTCAAAAAATCGATATGAACACGATCATTGTTAGATTCTTCTTCAATGACAAAGAATTAGCAAAACAATTAATCAAAACCCATCATCAATAAATTACCTTGAATTTGAGAAAGATTGGAAGATTCATTTATCGAATCACTGCCACTAACGATGACTTCAGGTTGATCATCTTTAGTCATATTTGAAATAATTTGTTTGGCCAGATTAATATTTGATTCCAAAGATCTTTTTGCCTTCAACGATGATAAATTGGATGATATTAAAAAATTTTCAGCTTTTTCAAGTTGAAGTTTGAATTTTTTGCGATCAATATTTGCCGTACCTTTTTTCTGAATAAATGCATTAAGCATTTCAATATATTCATTATAAGCTGGAATAAAATAAAAATCAATAGTTTGAATCTCAAGCCATGCCAATAGTTTTTTAAGTTTTTGTTTGGAAGGTTGGGCCATTGTGGATGAATTGGGAAAATATTTTTGAAAACAAAAATCGAAAAAAAACAATCAAAGTTTGTGTTTTTCCAAAATTTCGAAGATGAAATTTCCAAATTGAGCAAACAAATTCGAATATGAATTTTTTGCGGAACATTCTTTATGAATAGCCAAGCCGAAAAAAAAAGTTTTTTGGACACGCGCACAGCAGCAAACACACACACGCAGACGGAAATGTATTCTTTTCCTTTCACGTTTTCCATCGTGTGTTTCGTGTGTGTGTTTTTTGTGTTTTTTAATTGAAAATTTTGAACTTTTTGAAAAATGGTTTGTTTTTGAATCATTGTTTTTTTCTGGGTAAAATAATGACTAATATTCAAAAATTTTTTCTAGGCCGGTTTTGTTAAAGTTGTCAAAAACAAAGCTTATTTTAAACGTTTTCAGGTTAAATTCAAAAGGAGGCGAGGTAAAATGAAAAAGTTTTGATAATTTCGAATTTCGATTGATTTTTTTTTTCTTTTTTTCCACTAATTTCCCATAATCAAGAGGGTAAAACCGATTATTATGCCCGACGTCGATTGGTTGTTCAGGACAAGAACAAATACAATACACCGAAATATCGTTTGATTGTTCGTTTTACAAACAAAGATATTATCTGTCAGATTGCCTATGCTAAAATCGAAGGTGATAAAATTGTTTGTGCTGCATATTCACATGAATTACCACGTTATGGTATTAAATGTGGTTTGACTAATTATGCTGCTGCTTATTGTACTGGACTGTTGTTGGCTCGTCGGGTAAATTTTTTCTGATTCGAATTGAGAAATAAGATTTCCAATTGTTAACATCCTATTCGTTTCATTTTACAGTTACTTCAAAAATTCAAACTTGATAGTATCTATAAAGGATCGGAAGAAGTTAATGGTGAACAATATACTGTAGAAAATTTGGATGGTCAACCACGATCATTTCGGGCTTATTTGGATGTCGGCCTAGCACGTACTACAACTGGTGCACGTGTTTTTGGTGTTATGAAAGGTGCAGCCGATGGTGGTATCGATATACCACATTCAACTAAACGTTTCCCCGGATATGATAATGAATCAAAAGAATTTAATGCCGATGTACATCGTGATCATATATTTGGACAACATGTTGCTGAATATATGAAAAAATTGCTGGAAGAAGATGAAGAAGCATATAAACGACAATTTTCTCGTTATATTAAATTAGGTATCACAAGTGATGAGGTAATATCTATTTTGTCTATTTTAACATTATCTGATTGATTGATTAATGTTTGTGCCCTTTGTGTAAAAATAGATGGAAAACATTTATGAAAAAGCACACGAAGCAATTCGTAATGATCCATCACCACTGGCTAAAAAACCACGTACCAAACCAACGGATCAAACAAAAGTTAAATTATGGAAAGCTAAAAAACTTACATTGGCAACACGTAAGAATAAAATTCAACAAAGAAAACGTGCTATTTTGGCTAAAATTAAAGGCGAATAGAATAAACTTTCCATCAATTTTGCTTTTTTAAAAATTTCTGGAAAGTTTTTTCCCCCCCATTGAATAATTTTCCATTCATGAAATAAAATTTTTGAAAAAAAACTTTCTTTTCTTTTCGACTCTTGCATTATCATTCATCGATTTGCGATAAACCACGTGATGATTGTTTGGTTTTTTTCTAAAAAAATGAAGGAAATTTTCGATTAATGATGATTGGATTATTTTCTGTGATTGTTGAAATTTCCAATCGGAAATTACCAATCAATTTTTTTTCATTTATAATAATGGATTTGAAAAGAATGGAAAATTTTTTGTTTTCGGTGCAATGGAAATGACCACTTTTCCAATTTCCACTTTTGAATGAAATCACATGGTTGCCACCAAATGCAAATATCATCATCATCATCGACAAAGCAAAAAATTCTTTTCAGAAAATTTTCTGTTTTTCTTTTCTTGTGCATCTTTACAATGTCAAGTTTTCGGGTCAAATCATCATCATGCAAATCAAACAAACGACAACGCATTCCATTCATTTTATTATCGTTCCAATAATTTTCGATAATGCTGGTCACACGAGTTAATTGCATCGTTGTCGTTTTTGTAATCACCTGATTTGTTTCTCGGTTAATTCAATTTTTCTTTTTCATTTTTTTTTCTCCATTCGATTATTATTATTATTATTATTGTTATGGAAAAATTTCAATACAAATATTTTTTTTCCGATGAAACCACCAATCATAAAAAAAATTGATGTATCATTGTTTATCGGTATCGGTGGCTGTGGTGGTGGTTGGGCATCGAAGGCAAAATCCCCAAAAAAAATTGTCGCCATCCAAATTGGTGGACAACAGAAAAATCTCCATCAATCTTTTGATGATGATGATGATAGAAATTATCAGGTCATTGTCAAAATGATTGAGTTTTTTTTTTGGATTAAGTTTTTGTCAACTTTTATTTTCCGGGCCCTTGTCATTAATCAATCAATCAATCAATCAGTCGTACAGTTGTTGTTGTTGTTTTTTTTTGAAGTGGAATTTATTGTAGGTAAGGCGAATGAGAAAGAAAAAAAATTCCTTGTAAATAATAAAAAAAGATTCACAGTTATCATAGGTAGATTAACGATGATTATAAAATGTCAATCATAAAAAAAAAACTAGATGAGGGTTAATGATGATGATGATTTTAGGCACGTTTGTGCCCGAAATTATTAGTTTTGTCACATTGTATGTATCATTTCTTTTCTTTTATTGTCTTCTTGTCTCCAAATTTCAAAGATTAAAGATGTGCCAAGTCATTATTGGGTTGATAGAAAAAAATTCGATTGATCGATTATCGATCTTTCGAATGTTTTTGTTTTCCGATTCCACAATCGATTGTTTTACCCGATTCAACAATCGATTGTTAATACTTGACATTGATGATGATAACTGATATTTTTGTCTGTTTTGTTTTGTTTTTCATTGATTATTGATTATCGATTATTGATCGCGATCAGATAAATTCAATTAATCTAGTAATGACCTGGATTTTCGTTTTTGTTGTTGTTTTTCTAAAAATCTAAAAATCTGTAAGGAATTTGCAACAAAAAAAAAAACAATCAAAAAGTTTGGGGTCATTCATAAAAAAGGGGGCAACCGTAATTAATGAAAATAAATTAGATTTTTTTTTGATTGAAAATCGATAAAAAAAAAGAAGAGGGGGGATCGATGAAAGAGAAAATTAAAGGGGAAATCAAAATAAAGGGGAAAAAGAGGGGGGAACCGAAACTTATCCATTTTTTTCTGGCCCAAAAGTGAGAGAGAAAATGGCCTCTCACTTTTGCTCTCTGGAAAGATCAATGAACAGTTTCTCTTCACCGCAAATATCGACAAAAAACTATGTCGAATTTTTTAGTTACGGAAAATAAAAAATGTCATGGCATACTTTGCATTATCATTTTTTTTTTGGAAAAATTTTCCATTTTTCAAAAGAAAAAAACAAAATTTGACCATCACTTTAATTACAGAGAAAAAAAAGAAGAAGAGAGGAAAGAGATAAGAAAGTGCGAGACAGAAAAAGAGAAAGGTAGATGTGTGTGTGTGCTGAAACCGTTTATTGGTTTACCGTTCTTGTTGTGCTGTCGGTATGTGTATCTCGGCTGTTTTACGGGATTCTGTCGAAGGCGAGAATGTTCTACAGGTGCGATAATGATGATGATGATGATGATGGAAATATCAATGCCAAATTGAACAACAACAACAACAATTTAATTTAATAACATTGTTTTTTCTCTAATCAATCAGGTACGTGAATCGAAAGTATATCTCTATCATTTCATTTCTCTCTCTCCTTTTCTCTCTCTCTTTTCTCTCACTATTTTGTACAGCGAAAACCTCGTTCACACACTTGATGCATGTTACCACTTTATTATCATTTATCCATATTGCCATCAACTTCTTCTTCTTCTTCTTCTGCTTGTCGTTTGAACCGTTGATCATCATCATTTTGTGGTGGCATAAAGTTTATTATCCATCCATCCATTCGTACATACATTATTTATTGCTTTTGGACAACCACACAACAACAACAACATTCCATTTACAATACATCGAACCAAGAAGAAGAAAAAGAAGACAGACAGAAAAAAAATTTGATTTATAAAAGGAACCTGTCACATACGGTTATTTTGTGATTATCACCATAATCAAAAAAAAATTTTTTCGCCAACCAAACAGCTAAATCCAAAAAATCTTGTCAAGAAGTTTATCAAAAAGTTCATTTTCCGTCTCAGACAACAACGATTTTTTGTGCGACAAACTTTTCCTCGGTAAACTTTTCGGTTATTAGACATCAGCGAAAATGTCACACGGTGGTGGATCAACATTACGTGAAACAACACAAATGCAAGCATTAATGACATTATTAAAATGTTATATCGGTACAGGGATATTATCAATGCCAAAAGCATTTTCCGATTCTGGTTATATATTTGGTATATTTGGTGTTATACTTATCGGTTATCTTTGTAATCTTTGTATTCATATGTTGGTTCAGATTAATGAATTATTAATGACAAAACCGGAACAAATTCCATGTGATTATCAAGAGGTAAATATTGAATTTTGATTTTGCTTTTGATCGTTTGATTGATTGTTTGATTCGTTTCGTTTTCTTTAACACAAATAAATTAGCTGGCACAATTATCATTTGAAATTGGACCGAAAAACTTGAGAAAATATGGTCGAAAATCGAAAAAACTTTTAACAATTTGTCTTTGTTTATCGCAAACGGGATTTTGTTGTGCATATGCATTATTTATTGCTAAAAATCTTTTACAATTAATGATTAATCTGAAAATTGGTTATTGGCAAGATGATGATGTTATTTATTTTCTTGGTTTATTATTACCAATAATGATTGGTTTAAATTTCATTAAAAGTATTTATCATCTATCAATGGGATCAATGATTGCAAATTTCGTACAGTGGGCTAGTTTATTAATAATTTTATATAATTTGGTTACAAATATTCCTTATATTGGTGATCGTAAACCAATCAATTATCGTCTGCCACAATTTGTCAGTACAACGGCATTTACATTCGAAGGTATAACGGTGGTATGTATCTAAATATCTGTAAAATCAAAATTCAAATCAATTAATTTCATGTTCGAATCTTTTTTTTTGCACTTACTTCACACTTCACTATATAGACAATGCCATTATATCGTTCAATGAAAGATCGAAAAAGTTTTGCCAAACCATTCGGTGTACTTAATATGGCCATATTATTTGTTATAATATTATATTCATCGGTTGGTTTTTTAGGTTATCTTAAATATGGTGATAATGTTGGTGCTAGTATTACATTTTCATTACCAAATGAACCATTATATATGGCTGTACAATTTATGTATGCATTTGCAATTACATTTTCCTATCCGATACAAATGTTTGTAGCAATACATCTGATGTGGCCAACCATTCAGAATTATTTAATTGAAAGAAAAAAACCCGACGTTATCATTAATATGGCTGATTATTTATTTCGTTCATTATTGGTTATTTTAACATGTAAGTTTTTTTTATGACAACATCGAACAACAAACAAACATTCGATGATGGTTCATTCATAAACAATGTTCATCATTCATTCATTTTATTTCCTTTTTTTAGTTATATTGGCAGCTTCAATACCCGAATTAGATCTTATCATTGAATTAATTGGTGCATTTGCTTGTACATCGGTTGCCATAATAATACCAACAATATTACATTTAATTGCATTCTATGAACGTACTGATGGTTTTCAACGTAAATGGCTTATAGTGAAAAATACATTAATTTTAATATTTGGTTTTTTAGTACTTTGTACTGGTACTTATTTTTCATTACAAGGTATTGTTGAAAGATTTCAAGATCGATTACAATCATCATATGATGATGTTGATGATTTATTAACACCATCATTCAACAACGATAATAATATTACTGTTGTAAGAATGCCATTCTGGTTTGATAAATTAATTAATTTAACACAAATTGCAACAACAACAATGAATATTACTGATCAGCCATTGAATCAAACATTGAATCTATGAAAAAAACTATTGAAAAAGCAAATTCCTGCTGATGTTGTGATTCAATCGTTGTGATCATCCTCCCCCCAAAAAATCTGCTGTTTTGATCTTTGTAAATATTTGTAAATAAAGTATTTTTATTTAGTTTTTGTATTTTGTAAAATTCATTTTTGTTTGTTTGTTGATTAAATAATAAAAAAAAATTTCAAACAAAAATTAAAAAAGTAAAAAAGAGTGAAAAGGTTTTCAAAGATCATCATTAGTGATCCTTGATCATCAAATGTGACACATTTTTTTTTTGATACCAAACAAAGATTAATACAAAACACGTGTAGCGAAAGATGATAATGATGAACGATAAAAATAGTTTCGTTACAAATGATTATTTTTTCTTTTTATTCTGTAACATTAAACGAATTCTTTGCATTGCTGCTGTTTCCGTTACACCACTATTGTTTGTATTATTGGTTGTTGTTGGTGGTGTGGAAAATTTCGATGATAAACAATTAGTGGATTTTTGTACATTACGTTTCGAAATACCATTCGGTTTGGATGAAGGTGTTTTAGTGGTTTTTGTTGTTGATTTCGATGATGATGATGATGATATTGTTACAGTTGATTTTGATAATTTACCATTGGCCATTTTCAATATCGGACCATTATTTTGTTCCGTAGTATTATTATTTTTTACAGAAATTTTATAATTTGGATTCCAATCATCATCATCAAATGATTGTCTTGAACGGCATCTTCGATTATTAATATAAATACGACATTGATTATTATTTCTATTAGTATTATCGGTTTCATTTTCATCATTAACAATAATGTTGTTTCCAATTTTACCATTAATCAATGGTTTCGTACGATTTCTTTTCGTATCATTATTATTTTTCACATAATTAAGGCTTTCTTCTGGTTCGAATGGACCAAATAATGGATCACTACTATCGAATGGTGTGAATGATATTAATGCTGTACTATGACGTGGTGTATTATAAGTTATTTTATCTGTGGATGATTTTTTTATAGAATCACATTCATCATTATCATCACCATTTTCATCATCATTATCATCGAAAATATTATTACTCTTACGATTTCGAAGATTTTTACGTTGATTTATTGTTGATTTTGGTGTTGTTTGTGGTGATTGAATTTTATTCTTATTTTTCAACTGTTGAATTCGTTGTTTTGTTGGTGATAATTTTTGTTGTTTCGATGTTTGTGTTCTGGTTGTTCTTGTCGATGATGATTTTATCCTATTATTATCGATTACATTATCTTCGATTTCAGTATCATCACTTTCATCATCATCAGCAATTGATGGTAATTCTGAATTACCATTTTGAATTTGAGAATTTTTTATGTTTGATTTTTTTGTTCGAATCACATCACTTGTATTGATCACTTCTTCGGGCTGCTGCTGTTGTTTATTAATCGATCGTGAAGATCGTGAACGTTTCGGACTATCATTATTAAATAAATTATGATTGGCAGTTTTAGGATTCAATCGTGCAATATCTTGTAAAATATTTTTATATTTTTCATAATTTGGACGATCATCATGTGAAAGTTGATTGATTTCGGCGAAAAAATTTCGAAATCCTTTCGGTACAGTAGTCGAAATGGGAAGATTATTGTTTACCGGTGGTTGATGATAAACAGATATGGCTGGTGTTTTTTTACCATTCGATTTTGATTTGGATGATGCTGTTTTCGATGTTTTCGAATCATTTGTTTCACTATTTTCAACAAATGTTTTACCACTAAATGCTTCGCGAAGAAAATCATCAATATTTGACATTGCCCAATTTTTTTTGGCCAATACTTTTTCTGCATCTTTCAATAGATTAGCCCAAGGATGACGGCCATAAAACCATAGTATAAGATTATAACCCAATGATTCAATATCACTACGACGTGATATAACACCAATATGTGCATCACGTGAACGAAATTCACATGTACCATTATTTGCTTTACGTTTATCCGGTTCATATGGTTTATGTGAACCTTGTAATATAAATCTTTCAACTAAACCATAATCAATAAGATAATAATTATCATCTTCATCAATAAGATTATCCGATGATTGTTGATCATCTATTAATTGTCGTTTATTAGCTTTCGTACGTTTATTTGTTGAATTATCATTATTTTCCGTTGTTGTTTTTAATGAACGAAGTATATTTTGTGCTTTAATATCAGCATGTATATAACCTTGATCATGAATATATTCAAGGACATCTATCAAAATAAACAGATTTTAATTTAGAAATTATCAATTAAAAAAAACTATCAATTATTTACCTATTATTCTGCAAGCAATTCTGCATGTAGTTGATATACTTAAATGTCTTGTTTCAAGTACTTTTTGTAATTCTTCACCTAAACGTTCCATGATTAAAAAACGATAACTACTATTATGTGTACCGGATGCAATAAAACGTGGTACACCTAAAAATGATAATTTTTTCGATTCCATAAATGCAGAAATTTGTGTTTTTTGACAAGCACGTAATACAAAATTTACTTCAACAAATAATGGACCATTAATATTATCCAATTTCATTACACATTGTCTGGATGGTGTATCTTTCGGGTGTATAAGATATATTTCACCAAATCCACCTAAACCGATTGGTTTTCCTAAATATCAATCAATCAATCAATTGATCATTATTTTAGTGCATGAAGAATACTTACCAATAACCCATTGTGTTTTTTCAAAATCAAGTAAAATTTGTCCTTCAGGTAATGGATCACATAAACGATAACCATTTGGTGCAATACGACCTATATATTGAATTATATCGTTAGTTTATGTTCAAAACAAAAGAAAAAATAATTTCATCATCATCAAACCTTTAGGAGTGTTACGATATTTTTCAGTCATTTCCAAAAAAAGTCTTCTCAATGAACACAACAAGTGTTCAGTTCTTTCGGATTAAGGAAATAATAACAATTCAAAATTGCAGAAAAAAACAACAAAAGAAAATGGAAAGAAAAAACCCGATTCAATCCGGGTAAAATTTGAAAGAGAAATTGAATCTCAATCAATCAATCCAATAAACAAACAAACAAACAATTTTATCAAATTTTAAAATTTAAGGAAAATTTCAAGAGAAAAATTATGTTTTCTTTTTATTTTCTTAGCCGACGATCAATAGACAAAACAAAGTTGTGGCTCAAACAACAAAAAAACAAAAAAAATAAATAAATATCGTTTCTTTTATTCGATTTGCGCTTGCGCTGATCAATGTTGTTGTTTTTGTTCGGTTTGTTTGTCTGTCTGTCTGTCTGTCTGTTTCAAATGGATCATCAAAATACTGCTGCTGCTGCTGCCAATAAAAAAAAAATGACCGGAATCGAATAATATCGATTCTTATGCAAACGATACTATCGATAGTACAGGACACATTCGAATTCTTTGAATCGATGGGTAACAATTTACGGTTATCGTTATTTTGATGATAATTATCTTGGAAAATTGTATTTGTTTTTTGGTCAACATCTTCAATCCAAAAAATAATCAGTCATTTTGCTTGTTTTTCTTGTCCTCGAAGTCTTCGCTAAATTTCTTCAAATCTAAACCCATAGATGACGCTAATGATCAACACAAAGAAACAATAAAAACAGACGACGACGACGACATCGATGATGACAAAAGAGATAAAAAAAGAAAAAGAAAAAACGCCATCTCAGCTCGACGAATTTTTTTTAATTGAATGATGAAGAAAAAAAATTGTTTACAAATCCTGAGCTATTGACAAACAACAACAAAAAAAAAACATCAATCAAAAATGATCCTTTGTTAAGTTTTTTGTTTTTCAAATCAAAACAACAACAACAACAAAAAATCGATTATATTGAGTCGGATCAATTATTATATATTGATCATATGATGATCAAATCAAAGCAATCGTAAAATATTCTATTCCAGGATATTTTGATTGTTATATTTGTTGTGACAGATGTTAATGCCCATTGTTTATTTTGTTGTATACTCATTCGTTTAGCTTAGTTTAATTATCATCATCCTTTAATCTTTGTTCATCAGCGAATAATTTTCGCTTGATAATAATAATAGGAATAACAATGGCTGACACAACATTATTGATTGATGATCAACATCATCGAACACCAAAATATTATTTCGCCGCTTTAAGTGGATGGCTTGGTTCATTCTCAATGGGTACTGTACTTGGTTATTCGGCACCTGCATTGGCTAGCTTTGATCAACAAGGATCTCATATTCATCTGAATAAATTTACTGATTCAATTTTTGCCAGTCTAATGCCATTCGGTGCAATTATTGGATCAATATGTGCTGGTTTTTTTACCGAATCATTTGGCCGTAAAGGTACATTAATATTCACTACATTACCGTTTGTATCCGGTTGGATTCTTATGGCTTATTCGGGAAATTTGGATTCCCTTACAACATTAATGATTGGTCGTTTTTTAACCGGATTCTGTTGTGGTCTAATATCATTAACTGTTCCTGTTTATATTGGTGAAACATGTGATCCAGCAAAACGTGGATTTTTTGGTTCTGGTTTTCAATTGACCGTATCATTTGGCATAGTAGTTACATATGTTATTGGAAAATATTTTATTTGGTCAGATTTGGCATTATTTTTAACAGCTTTTCCATTGTTATTATTGTTGACTATTCTTTTTATGCCTGAATCACCCGTATGGTTATTGAAAAAAGGTCGTATTTCCGAAGCAACTGAAGCAAATATCTATTTACATGGTGCTGAAGGTAGCCGTCGTATGGCTGTCGATATAACTATACCGACAACCTATCTTATTGATCAAGATTCGAATGATAATGGTAATGCTATTGGTGGTGGTGGTATCTACATCAATGGCAATGCATCGATTATGCAACAATTTCGATTATTTTCATTATCCAAATATAACAGGCCATTATACATTGCTATTGCATTGATGTTTTTTCAACAATTTTCCGGCGTAAATGCTATGATTTTTTTTATGACATCAATTTTTGAACGTTCCAAATTTGAATCAATTTCACCATCTGATTCGACTATTATTGTTGGTTTTATACAGGTTTTGGCTACATTATTGGCTTGTTTTCTTTCCGATAAGTATGTTGATATTTTTTGCTTGATCGTAGTTTATTTTAAATGATGATTTTATTTTTGAAAACAATCCATATCAATAGATTCGGACGACGTTTCCTAATGATTGTTTCCAGTATTGGTGGCCATCTAAGTTTAATACCATTAGCTATCTATTATTATATTGATGAAAAAAATATTGGTAATGATTTAAATATTCATTATGGATGGATACCGATAGTATCGATGGTATTTTTTATCATTTCATTTTCATTGGGTCTTGGTCCAATACCATGGTTGATAATGGGTGAAATATTACCACTGAATGTGAAAAAATTATCAACAATTATTGTATCATCATTTAATTGGTTTTGTGCATTCATTATAATTACATTCTATAATCAATTAGTTGAAACGGTTAGCAGCCAATTAACATATTTAATGTTTTCACTTATTTGTTTATCATGTGCTATATTCAATATCATATATTTACCTGAAACAAAAGGTAAATCATTTCAAGAAATTGAACAACTTTTCATACAAAATCAAGTTGAACGATCTCATAATGAACAACAACATAATGATGAATAATCATCATCATCATCCACTAAAAAATCAATTTTGACTGTTATTATTAATTAATTAATTAATTAAATCAATTAGAATAAATTAAATAAAAAATTTGGATCAATTTTTTTAATCAAAATGCTTGTGGCGATTCCATTATAATTCTATTGTCTGGGTATTGTACTCCATTATCTGGGTTTACAAAATTAACAGAATGATTTAAACCAATACGGTAATCATATCCGATTCCTTCGATTCGTCTGTTTATGCTCCAAACATCAATGTCAATTATTGATCCAGGTTTAACAACTTGTTATGATAATAGGAAGAAGTGTATCTTCGTCTCTTTTTTTAACAATTTTCAAGACTTTTATGATTCCAATAAGATTCGATTGTCTTATTGAAATGATATTTGAGATTCAATGGTAATCGAAATGACAAAGAATCCGATTGAATCTTCGAAATAGTAGATTGATCCTCTGTATTAAAACCAACAAAAATAATTAGAATTTAGTGTGATTTATTAAAAGTTAAACAATTGGCTATCACAAAATATATATGGAAAATAACTGTAAAAATACCGACATTTATATACAAAAAGCTACATAAAAATATTCTAAAATTCGACAAAAACTAGTTCGAAACGAACTAAAGTTCGTTTCGTCACAATTATCAAATATAAATTATAGGTGGAATATCAATCAATTTAGATCAATATTAGTAATATTAGCACAGCGTAAAATTGAATACTTGAAACAAACTTAAACTTTATTGAACTTTAAAATTCACATATTTATAATATATTCAGATTATTACTTAATTCTAAAATATTCAACAACAATTAGAGCAGATTTAACAAATTTTTACAAATTTCGAATACGAAGAATTTCCCTTGATATTTCTATTTTTGGTGAGATTGTTCTAAAATTGAAAAAAATTCGATTTCTTTTTTGATATCGTCCTATATGAACAGTCATATGAACAGTTTACGCCTTGCACAAAATTAACACAGCCGTTTTTCTTCGAAAAAGAAAAAAATTACCAAAATTGGAAAATTTCGAATTTCGTATTCATTTTGATTTCATTCGAATTTACCTTGAAACAGAATTCCAATAATAAAATAATTGATAATGGCATTCGGTTTTACTGCATTTACCTATATTTTGGCATTAATTTTGGATGCTTTTCTCATTTTTTTCTCTGTTTTCCATGTGAGTTTTGTTTTCATTAAATCATCACGGTAATCATATCATCCATTCATATTTTTGATAAAATAATAGGTGATTGCATTCGATGAATTGAAAAATGATTTCAAAAATCCAATAACACAATGTAACACATTGAATCCGGTTGGTACAACAGAAAAAATCATTCAAACATGATTTTAATTGATTTCTTTTTCGTGTTTTTCTTGAATAGCTTGTATTACCTGAATTCGGTATCCACATCTTTTTCAACATATTGTTTCTAATCTGTGGAGAATGGTAATTTTTTTTCGGAATTTACTAAAAAATTAATGATAAATTTTTTTCCACTCATCCATTACAGGCTTACTTTGATAATAAATGCTCCACTTATTGCCTATCATATCCATAGGTTTGTTAAAAAAAATTCTTTTATTCTAAAAATAATTTATTGTTTATGAATCATCAATTTCTATTTAATATTACCATTGTTATCATTATCATCATAATAGATATATGAATCGTCCGGTAATGTCATCACCAGGACTTTATGATCCAACAACAATAATGAATGCTGATCAATTATCACGAGCAACAAAAGAAGGTTGGGGTAAATTGGCATTCTATTTATTATCATTTTTCTATTATCTTTATGGTATGATTTATAATCTAACAATGACGGTTTGAAACAAATAAATATCGAATTCTTGGAAAATCGAAAACAAAACTGTCAAGCAAATCCTCAAATCATTCTTTATTATCATTCTGCCTGCACACACATACACACCACAAACACAACCATTTTTGAAAACAAACAGTTTTAGTTTACCAAAACAGAAACCTTGTGTGCAAAATAATAATAATGATAATCAGTTTTTTTTTGTAAATACTTTTAAATAAATAAAAAAAATATCTTTGATTATTTTTTTTGTTTATAGACTACAAATGTCGAAATAGAATCGAACCACATCATCTCATTGATTGAAATTCCATTTCAAATTGATCCAATTCTTGTTGTAAATCATTATCAATTTTTTCATCATCATTTTTTATCATCATAAACATTGATGGTGTTATTGTCGTTGTTTTTCCATCGATCACCAATGTTTCATTTGTAATGATAATCTTTTTGTTGTTATTATAATCATCATCATCATCGAATGTTTGTTGTTGTTGTTGATATGGTTGTGAATGATTATTTGTTAAATGATCATCACCATCATATGAATAATAATTATGATTATCATCAACATCTTCTTCATCATCAAATTCATCATCATTATCATCATGTTGCCATTCATAGCTAGCTGTTTGGTTCATTGTTGTTGATGTGGTTTTTGTGTTTGTTGTTGTTGTTGTTGGTGGTGGCTGAAATGATTCCCAAAATGGAATTCTTTGTGAATATTTTGTTTGGCCATGATAGGTACGATTAAGAGAGAGCATTACAAGAGCATTTGTATCATTATCAACAATATTATCTTCACTATCGATATGAAAAATTGAACGTTGTTCATGTGGACGATGATTATTATCATTCAATAATGAGTGATCATCATCATTATGGCCAAAAATTCTTTTCAAAAATCGACCAATCTTTTTCATTTTCGATGATGATACTGATGATGATTGTTGTTGTTGTTGTTGATGATAACATTCCACATCTGCACAATCTGTATCTGTTTTGAAATCGAAAATGTAACAAACAACTTCTTCAAGCAAAAAACAAAACATTTACCTTGAGACATTGAACTAGTACGTGAAACATTTACAAAAAGATCTGTATGTAATTCACGTCTGATTTTGGTTCCAGGTGTCCCTATTGGATTGAATTGGAAAAATTATTGTAAAAAATGAAAAAGATTTTATCGTTGAAAAAACAATTCCATACATGTTTTATTCAAAGTTTTTGCCTGTAAACTTGGCTGTGATGAATGTTCAAGACTAGTTTTCATTACTGTAACATTATGGCAAAAATCTTTTGGATAACTAATCAATGGTGGACGGCCATCTTTTTTTCGATTTATCGATTTATTACGTTGAAAATTTTTTTGCTCATTCTGTTCCAATATTTGTTTCAATTCACGACCAACAACTTCAATTTCTCTTTCAGTTAATCGTTTAGATTTTTCCTGTAATGATCGTTCAATTTCATTCATTTTTGCTTCTTTTAATTCGGCTTTTTTCTCTCTGGATTGTAATTCTTTTTCCTTTTCTTTTAAACTTTTCCATATTTCTTCGAACCAATTTTTTTTCATCAATTTAAATTGTTCCATATTGATAACATTGAATGATGATTTTTCCAGATCATTTCGTATTTTTTGAAAACTTGGCCGTAATGATGGTTCTTGTTGCCAACATTCTACACCCCCGGAAAAAAAAATAAAGTTATGAAAAGATTCGGATTAAGGAAATAAGGTAAAAAAAACCTTGTAAAATATGTTTTAATTCTTCCGGGCAATTTTTCGGAATAGGTAATGTTAATTGACGATTACCAATACCATAGGCAACAGCAGCACCGGCAATATTTTTATATGGTATTTCGGCTGTTAATAGCTCCCATAATACAACGCCAAAGCTAAATGAATGGATTTAACATCATTCATTGATTCATTAAAATCAATCAAATCAAATCAAAACAAACCTCCAAACATCACTTGCTTTTGAAAATTTGGAATGTGTTATTGATTCGGGTGCCATCCATGCATATGTACCACATGGTGTCATCATTGATGTTGAATCTGTTAATTCACGTGCCAAACCTAAATCGGTTAATTTTAATTGTTTTTCTAACCATCTTCCTTTGCCGATAGGTTGATCAAGTAAAACTAATAATGAATGAAAATAAAGGGGTAAGTGAAAGGTAAGTAACAAATGATAAAACTGATTATTATTCTTACTATTTGATGATTTTAAATCACGATGAATGATTGGTTTTGGTTTAAAATTATGTAAATATTCCATTGCACTAGAAATTTGTTTAGCAAAATTAATAATAATTGTTGGTGATAAATTATGTTTTTGTAATAATTCTTGTAATGATTTTCCCGATGCATATTCCATAACTAGATAGATTTTCCGATGATTCATTGATAATCCATAAATTTTGATAATATTTGGATGATCCAGATAAAATTGTAAACGTGCCTCTTCTTTCAACGAATCATTAATCATTTCAATGGATTTTTGTTGATGATAAATTGGTTCTTTAATGGCAACCAATTCTTGTTGATATTGGCCACGATAAACCTGACCAAAACCACCACGTCCAATTAATTTTTCAAATTGTAATCGATTAAAATTGATTGTAGGTATTTCGTATAAATGTTTTGATTTTGTTGATAATATCGGTGGTATCGATGATAATGATGATGATGTTGTCGTTGTCGCTGTTGTTGTTGTTGCTGATTGAAATGATATACAATCATCTTGATATTCATAACGATGAAATTTGTTGGTTCCATTTTGTAACAAATCCTCTTCTTCACCACCGTCATCATCATCATCATCGCTATAATCAACAGGTGGTTCATCACAGTATTTGGCTACAATCATTTTTTCGAGATTCGAGGTTTTCAGGTAAATTTTTTTTTAAATGATCTTTACACGTTCATGGCCAACGAGAGAAAAAAACTTGATCTATATTTTTATCCAACAAACAAACATCAGTAGCAGAAAAAAAAATCCACAACAAACAAACAACAACAACAGTAACAAAAATCTGTTCTTACATCCGATCAAACGGTTTCGATGGTGACCAGAAAAAAAAATAACAAAATTGCAAAATAGATTTTTGAATGATAATGATTATGATGATCCAATATTCAATTTAATTTAATTATCTTATGACGGAGACGGATTATGATAACTTTTTATTATCACAAAAATCGGTTTGGTTGGTCAAAATAACAACAACAACAACAGCCAAGAAAATCAACAATTAAAGACAACAACGACGACGACGATGATAATGGTAATGATATTTATCACGTAGCATCAAAAACGGGGAGAAGACATTGAAAAAAAAACAAGAAACTCGTGCTATGCTCGTATTAAATCCATTAGATGATATGAAAATGAGGATTTAAAGTATGACTTTTTTTTTGGCTATAAACGACCACAGGTAATATAACTATCTGGAGAGAAAGTAATTATTTTTATTTTCCATAAATGGATTTCAATCATTTTTTCAATTTCTTCCACAAGCTTCTTTCTTTTGCCAAATGTAGTAATATTTCTTCTTTTTTTTCAAATATTTTTTGGACATTTTTTTTGCTGTTGTCCCAAATGAATGAATGAATTAAGGGCAAACAAACAAACAGGACAATTGACGTCAGATCTTGATTCTTTCACCATATGACATTGACAATGATATAGGATTGCGCCCGGGAAAATTTTGAAAAAATAAAACACGGGACATTTGTTATGTGACGCTATATAAGTGATTTTATTATTATCATTAATTTTATTATTGTAAACACAAGCCAACCCTGTATTATCAAACCAAACTGATCATTCCAAAGACATGTGATCGACAAGTGTTATTATTTTCAATTAAAAATAAGATAATGATGAACGGACGGAAATCAATAAAATTCTCAACAACAAAAAATTTTTTTTTAGAAAATGAAATAAACATTTATAATTTATAATCCTCACTTATATAAAATTGATTATTCTTTCTTTTTTTTTTAATTCAAAAATTTATAGTCAGTGTTTGTGTGTCAGTGTATGTGTGTGTCCAAAATATAAATATTTCAAACAAAAGAATAGAGTTCATTCCGAATAATAAAGAAGAANTTTTTTCAATTTCTTCCACAAGCTTCTTTCTTTTGCCAAATGTAGTAATATTTCTTTTCAAATATTTTTTGGACATTTTTTTTACTGTTGTCCCAAATGAATGAATGAATGAATTAAGGGCAAACAAACAGGACAATTGACAGATCTTGATTTCTTTCACCATATGACATTGACAATGATAGAATAGGATTGCGCCCGGGAAAATTTTGAAAAAATAAAAACACGGACATTCGTTATCATGACACTATAATGATTATGTAAACACAAGCCAACCCTATATATATTATCAAACCAAACTGATCATTCCAAAGACATGTGATCGACAAGTGTTATCATTTTCAATTAAAAATAAGATAATGATGATGGGTAACGGAGATAAACAACAAGATAAACGGACGGAAATCAATAAAATTCTCAACAACAAAAAATTTTTTTAAAAAAATGAAATAAACATTTATAATCCTCACTTTTATAAAATTGATTATTCTTTTTTCTTTTTTAATTCAAAAATTTATAGTCAGTGTTTGTGTGTCAGTGTATGTGTGTCCAAAATATAAATATTTCAAACAAAAGAATAGAGTTCATTCCGAATAATAAAGAAGAAGAAGAAAAACAAAAAGATAATAATATCACGCATACGATTTTTTAAAAATATAAAAATAAAATTATCGCCGAAATTTACTATGCCGCATTTGTAATAATTTTTTCATTAAAGGAGCAGGTTTCGATTCTGTGTTGAAAAAGAGAATTTGTATCAAAACCAAAAAAGAGTGGTTAATTTACAAACTTACTATTTGAAATCTGTGTTATCGATGACGATAATGCAGCTTTGATTCCACCACCACCACCAATAGCTCTACCACTTGTTGAAGATTTCGACAATGGATATGGTGTATTAAAATTTCGTTCTTGTCGTCGACGAATTTCTCTTGGCGTTTTAGCTGCATCCAATTGTTGTGTTTTACGTTCTATGCAAAAAAAAATGAGAATTTTATTTTATTTTGAAAACAAAAAAATTTCAAAATCAACAAACAAACCAGGTATTGCTTGACGTTGTTTTGAATTAATATTCTTGGTTATATTTTTTAATTTTTGTTCACGTTCATTCAAACAATGATCATAAAAATCACGCCAAAATTCAAATTTATTTTGATCCATTCGTTTGTTTTTGAAATCTTTTTCACAAAATTCACGCCATAATTCATCAGTATCTTCCAATAATTGCTATTGATAAATAGAATAATAATAGAATTTCAAAAAAAAATGATCAATAATGAACACATACCGGATTATAATGTTCAATTCGTCGAAGTTGTTGTACAGTACATTTAGCAAACACAGGTTTCAATATAAAATAAGGTAGATCACCAACTTCATAGATTTTATTCACATGATTCATTAATACTTTGATACAAATATCTTGTAAACGATATACTTTCGGTACGGTTACTACTTTTGATGAACCAGCATAAACCTGTGTACGACCTTTAAATTTCATACCGGCCATATTTATCATTGAATTTTTATCTTTATCTAAATCATCATTATTTATGTTGGATTTTTGTGGTTGATAATATTGATAAATGCTTGGATCATATCGATTTGCCGATGCATTCAATGATTGCATCATTTCTCTATCAAATGATGATGATGATGATGATTGCTGTGGTTGATAAGGACTGTAGCTTGAATAATCATCATTATTCAAAGATGATTGATCCATTCGATTATTATTGCGACCATGGTGTTTAGCACTGGTGGTTGTTGTTGTTGCTGTTGCTGTTAACACCTGATCACTCATGTTCAACATTGAACTAAACATATCATCACCATTTGAAGAAGAAATAATTGTTTTTGAATGTCGCGATGATGATGATGTTTGGTCTTTGGTATTAGGACAACGTGATTCGTTAGGGGTGGTCATCATCATTTCACCATTTAAATATTTTTGACTGTAATCATTATCACAAGAGGATATTTCTGATGATCGATAACGTTTATTATTAGTATCGATAACATTACCACCACCACCACTGCCAACAGAATCATCATTACGATGTTTACGTTTTTTATCTTTTTTTCTTTCTTTACGTTCATCACCATCATCATCTTTTAAATTATTCTCTTTGGATTTGGATTTCTTTTTTTTCTTATGTTTCTTTTTATTAATAGTTTCATGATGATTTGGACTAGTACTTTCTTCTGATCTATTATCCGAAACATAATGATTTCTTTCATCATCATCATCATTATCATCATCGTTATTGCCATTAAAATGTTGTTGTTGATCATCTGAATCCATATTGCCTGATTGATATTCTTGATCATAACTATGATGATGATCGTCGTTGTTCATTGATTCATGTTCAGATTCATCATCATCATCTTCTTCTTCTTGACGTTTTTGTTGATTTTTAAGAAATTGTTTCCAAGCATTTATCAATAATTTTGCCGTTTTACCAATATCATTATTTTTTTCTTGTTTACTTAGTTCACGTAATTTATAACCGATACCAGTTTCCTGAAGGAAAAAAATGATCAAAATCAATTTTGGTTATCAGCAACCGATTTCGAAATAAATAAATACCTCTAATAATTGAAATGAAATTGGTATCTTTTGCAATTTATGTAATATATGCATTGTCTGTAAACAAAACAGAAAAAAAATTTGGTAAATAATAATCAATATTTTTATCAATAATAGTCTCGGTTTACCTTTTCAAAGCTAACACCTTTGTCCAATTTTTTCTTCAAATGATTTACAGTTTCAATATGTTTATCACTCATGGTTTCTATAGAAAAAAAAGATTAGATTTTGTTTTTTCGTTTTTTACAAAGAATTTATCAAGTTGAAAACAATAAAATGACTATTTTTTTTAAAATCTAATAATGATCACAGCCAATGTCTGATTTGTTTGTTTTGTTTGAGGCAAGAATCAAGTCGAATTGAATTTTCAAATTATTTCGTCAATCATCTATTCATGGGGGGGATATTTCAATTTCAAAATCGAAAACAAAAAAATCTTCAAATCGATCGGAAGGAAGTGTTTTTGTTGATCTGCACACATGGATTGCCAACACAAATATATCACATACACACACACTTTGGATGAGAAACCAGAATATTTAAAATTTCAAAAAAAAAAGAAAAACAAAAAAACAGACAGCCAAAGATTAAAACAACATTTAACACGAGGATTTCTCTTCGTTTTTTTGTCGTCGTTGTCAAAGGTGAATAGGTTTTTCTCTCAATTTTTTCTTGGAAACTTTTGATGATGAGGACTGTTTTTCTTCTTTCTTTCTTCAAAATGATGATGATGCTCGAAAGAAGTAATTTCTTTCTCTCTCTCTTTATCTGTATCAATCACAATCTGTGGATGTGCGAATGTCACATTTCACAATACACAGACACATCACATAACACTTTTTTGAAGGAGAAAATATACACTTTAAAAATGTTCAGAGGGAAAGAGAACTTCTCTTCTTGAATGATGATGATGATGATAAAGACGGCGACGACAACGACAACAATATTCAAAGTAGAACAACAAGACCGACAAAAAGTGAGAAAAAAAGGATAGAGAGAAGAAAAGACTCGGTCAGCTGGTGAATTTTTTAAAAAAATCAATTTTTTTTCACTCGTTTTTTCTTCTTTGATTGTTGATTGCGTAACAAAATTTTCTTTTTCAAAAATGCAGTGTTTGTTGGCAAAGAATAATCAATGAGGATGATGATGAGCATAAACAGACCAAGAGAGAGAGAAATGATTTTTCGAAGAGAAAGATTATGGTAGCCGGTGGATGGATTGATTTTTTTGGGTTTTTTCTCTTCTTCTTTCTATAAAAAGATTTTGAAAACAAAAACATCAAAAATGAAATAAAATGAATTGTCAAAAATGGAAAACAAAAAACCAGAAAAAACAAAACAAAACAAAACAATACAAAAGCAAAACCAAAAAACAAAACAAAATACTCACTAGGTTTTATCGAATTAAATTCGATACACGTAGGTTGTTGTCGTCGTTGTTTTATGGATAGATTTTTGGAACAAATATGATCATTATTGATTGGGGAGAAAAAAATGAAGAAAAAACAAATTTTGTTGTTTTCGTTTCTCGATGACGATCATATGTGTGTGTGTGTGGTTGGTTTGTTTGTTTTCTTCTGACGAGCATTTTGGTGTCGCTCCACGATTTGAGGATTTTTCCCCGATATTTTTTTTTCTTTCGAAAAAAAATTCAATACAGATGGCGCTGGCTACAAAATATATTTTTTAATTTCGATTTTTTTTTTAAACAAAAAAAAAATTTTCAAATTTTCAATTTTTGTTGTAAAAACAATAATAATTCTTTACGAAATTCAATCGAATTGAATGATTGTTGTTGTTGATTATTATTCATTTGAAAGAGGAAACATTTTAGATAAATTTTATTATAAAATTCTCCAATCATTCGACGATAATCCATTTTTGGATCTATTGACGATAATGATGAAATAATCAAAATAAATTTCATTCCGGTTAATGATTCATAATAAATTAATCGATATCGAGAATTTTGAAACCAAAAATAATCATTATCATAATAATCATTTGGATGTGGATAATTGATCCTTGGTGGTAAAAGACGCTTGTTAAATGATTTTAACGATAACACTAGACCATATAGAATTTGATGATAATCATCATTATCATTGGTTGAATTTTTTGTTTGATTCAACAAATGAAATAAACATTTTCCATTCGTATCGAATATAAGACAATCAGATGCTGGTGATGGCAATGACATTTTTCAAAGTTTTCTTCCGAAAAAAACCAAAAACCAAAATCAAATTTCAAAACGAAAATCCAAAAAAAAAAAAATCGAACACACTTTTTTGATTATATAATTCGAAATAAAAGCTCACTAACCTTTTTTTGCGCATGCGTATTATCTCACGCGCGTGTCTCTTTAAATTCTAAGCTCCTCCTCCTCCTCCTCTTCTTCCTCTTTCGAATGGATTCGAATCTTTTTCTCTCTCTTCGAATGAAGATAGCATTCCATCTTGGGCCAGCGAGAAGAAAGATTTTTTTTTTTTTTTTTTCGTGCAAATGTTGTTGTTTATATACGACATACGGACGTCGTTAGTTTTGTGTTTTTGCTGTTTTGTTTTTGTTTTTGATTCACTTTTTTTCTCACTTTCGTTAAAGACCATCGTCATTCGATTTTTTCTTGTTTTGTGTGTGTTTTTCCATTGCAATTCTTTCTCTATTTTCGAATCAATTATTGATAAGAATGATGATAGATTTGTTGTTGTTGTTCAATTGTTTTGTTGTTTATCATTTGATTGACAAAATTCTGCCCGAAAACAACAACAACAACAACAAATTGTGATCCAGCACACAGACAAATTGATGAAACAACAACAACAAAAAAAATCGAGCTTTAAAATTATCATCATCATTGAGCCATAATATAATCAGGTATGTACCAAAAAAATTGGATCAAATTCGAATCCAAATTCCAGAATTCGAATCCAAAAAGATTCGAATTTTTGGAATTATTATTGAATGAGTTTTTTTGTGTGTGCGATGTGATATGATATGATGTCCATTTTGTCATTGTTATTGAATCTTTTCTTGTTGTTATTACAGACGACGACAACACCAGTTCATTAATCTTTCTTATATGTGTGTATGTGTGAATCTAATTCGCATTTCTTATAGTGTGAATGAAAGAAGTTTGTTCGTTTAATTGCAAAAGTCGATGTTCTTTTTATTATGTCGTCACATTGATCATCATCGTTGTTGTTGCTGAACTGCTTTTATGGAACCAATTCTTATTGCATAATATTATTACTTGTTAGCTTTTTTTTGGCAGCCAATGATGTTGAAAATGAAAAGCGTCTGAATTGTCATCATAATGATGTGCTTTTTGCTTGAATGATTAGTTGGTTATGTTTATTCCCTCTAAAAATAACCGAATTCTGTTGAATATATTCACCATAATATAAACGAAACACAAATCAAGGTTCACGAACTTTTTTTGTCTGTTTTTTTGTTTTTTGTATTCAAACAATGATCAACATCAACATCAAAATTCAATGTAAATCCTGAATACTTGTTGTTCTCAATTACGTTCCATATGGAACAGTTTACTTTTTAGTTTGTTTTTTGTGAAAGTGAACCAGGAACAAATAACAACACTTGTTGTTTTGTTTGTGTTTTTTCGAATGTTTTTGATGATATTCTCATATTACCTTTATATGTACTCAAACTGGATTTTTTTCTTTCCACCATCATCATACAATGTATTCTCTCTTTCCTCTGTTCTGTTTTTTGTTTTTTTGTGGCCAAGATTGTAATCGAATAGCCAGATATATAAAGAAGAAGAATGAATCGGGGAAAAAAACGTGACCAACATTCCCATTCAATGATTGTTTTATTATTATCTTTAAAGTTTTTTGTTATACAATCGATATTATTTTGCAGAAAAAAAAAGATTTTATCATGAATGGTCATTATACAACAGAAAATATGATAACATCATCAAAACCAAAATCTTGATTGTAAATTGGCCATTTCCTTCTTCTTTCGTTTTTCGGAAAAAATGAGCCAAAAACAATGCAATGTTATTGTTGTTGTTTTGCCTTTGTTTTTTTGTTTGTTCACTTTCTATTCAAACAACAACAACAACAAAAAACCAAAAAAAATGAAATAAACTAATTAACTTTTATTTTAAAACATTTTTGTTTGATAATTGAAAAAAAATCCACCTTCCTTCCATTCATTCATTCATTTAGTTGTGTTTAGTGAAAATTTCCTGTTTTTTTCCCTCTCTCTCTCTTTATGTAACGACGTCAGTCAGATAAACATTCGATTTCCCTTAATCAAAAAAAATTTTCGTAATGAGCATGCGTATTGTAATTAATCTCATCATAATCAGAAAAAAATTTATTTTGATCATTATCGATTGATTGATTTTTTTTTTATTTGGTTAAAAAAAAAGATTATTATCCTGTTCTGTTTATGTTATATCCTGGTAAATATGGGGATGTTTTTTTGTTTACCAAATAACAACCAAATCTAAAATGATATGTCATTAGGGAAAAAAAACGTTATGCCAATGCTTTTAAAGATTTTTCTCATTTCGGTCCATCAAATGTTTTTTTTAATAATGAGGTTATATTTGTAATCAAACAACCTATCCATTTTATCATCATCATCATTATAATAATAATATCTTTTTACCTTTATATAATTATCCTAATAATAATTAATGATTAAAAAAGGATGTTAATTGATGACATTTTTTTGCTGGTTTGGCCATACATTTTATGTCATTTATTCAACAAAAGTTTGACATTTTATTGGAAAAGTGTGGATTGATTGATTTTTTTTTTGAAATTCACATTGAATTCATATATGGTTCATATAATCAGCCAACCAATCGATCAATAATTTTTTTTTCGATTCGATAATAATGATGATGTTGACAAGACAGGACAATAGAATGGCAAAAAGTCAATGCCAAATCATTTTTTTTCATATATGTAATGTAATGTAATTTAGATTCGAATCGAAAACATTTCAAATTGCCCTTCTCTCCATTCCAATACGGGCTATATAGGGAGAGAGTGAGAGAGAAATAAAAAGGGGATCACATCATCAGCGAAAAAACAAATTTTTTTTGCTTCATCATTTTTTTTCTGTTCTGATCAATAATAACTGAATCGATTTAAAATCGATGATTATTGAAAAAATTGTGATTTTTTTGATTGATTGAATGAATGATAAAACCTTTTTTTTCCAGTTTTTTTCGTTTTTGCATTTTTCGATTCGATTATTGATTCGATAAGTTTTTTTTCTGTTTATCAACGAGGTGAATCGCAGGCGCAAAAAAAAAGACATTTGTTGAATTTTCATATTCAGAGAGTTGAGTGTTTACTTTCAATTTTGTTTGTTTCTCAATTTCCAAAATAAATCTTGTTCACGTGGCAAAAAATTTTTTTTGGAAATAAAACTTGTCCAACTTGCTGTTGCTGATGTTTGCATCTCTTATAAACACACATCGATGACCGATGTAAGATTTTAAAGTTGAATATTTTTTTCCAAATCTCCATCATTAATCATGTTGTGTGGTGATGGAGAAAAACCGGTGTTGTTGTTGTTGTTGTTGTTGAAGAAGAAAAAAAACGGTGAAAGTTGAAATTGCGGTTTTTCTTTTCTTCGTTCCGTTATTCGGTGAATAGATAGAAACACAGAGAGAGAGAGAGAGAGAGAGAGAGAGAAAGTTATTTTGTAATTTTTTTTTGTTTTTGTTTTTGGTTAGATTGAATTGCATAGCATTAGCTTCGCGAAATTGATTTTCTTTGCTGATTTCTAATAAAAAAAATTTTTTTTGTAGGTTTCTGCAGCACAAAACGCAACAACAAAATATCAAATTTACTAAAAAAATGTAAGTTGATCTATTTCAATTATTGAGTTTTCAAAGAAAAAAAAACTTTTGGTTGTTTTTATTGAAATTTGTTATTTTGTAGCGAAATTCTAGTCTTTCAATATTTTACTGAAGGATATNAAACATTTCAAATTGCCCTTCTCTCCATTCCAATATGGCTATATAGGGAGAGAAAAAGAGAAATAAAAAGGGGATCACATCATCAGCGAAAAAACAAATTTTTTTTGCTTCATCATTTTTTTCTGTTCCGATCAATAATAAATCAAGAACTGAATCGATTTTTAAAATCGATGATTATTGAAAAAATTGTGATTTTTGATTGATTGAATGAATGATAAAACCTTTTTTCCAGTGTTTTTCGTTTTTGCATTTTTCGATTCGATTATTGATTCGATAAGTTTTTTTTTCTGTTTATCAACGAGGTGAATCGCAGGCGCAAAAAAAAGACATTTGTTGAATTTTCATATGAGAGTTGAGTGTTTACTTTCAATTTTGTTTCTCAATTTCCAAAATAAATCTTGTTCACGTGGCAAAAATATTTTTTGTCAATAAAACTTGTCCAGTTGTTGCTGCTGATGTTTGCATCTCTTATAAACATACATCTGACCGATGTAAGATTTTAAAGTTGAATATTTTTTTTTTCAATCTCCATCATCAAACATTAATCATGTTGTGGTGATGGAGAAAAACCGGTGTTGTTGTTGAAGAAGAAAAAAAACGGTGAAAGTTGAAATTGCGGTTTTTTGCGGATCTTCGTTCCGTTATTCGGTGAATAGATAGAAACAGAGAGCGAGAGAGAGAGAGAGAAAGTTATTTTGTAATTTTTTTTTTGTTTTTTGTTTTTGGTTAGATTGAATTGCATCGCATTAGCTTCGCGAAATTGATTTTCTTTTCTGATTTTTGTCTGATGAAAAACAAATTTTTTTTTTAGGTTTTTGCAGCACAAAACGCGACAACAAAAATATCAAATTTACTAAAAAAAAAATGTAAGTTGATCTATTTCATTTGTTGAGTTTTCAAAGAAAAAAAACTTTTGGTTGTTTTTATTGAAATTGTTGTTGTTTTGTAGCGAAATTCTAGTCTTTCAATATTTTACTGAAGGATATCATTTTAGAAATATTATCAAATATCAAAAATGAATAAAGAAATACAATCATCATCGACATCGACTGGTGTTAAACATTTATATGGTCATCATCATCATCATCATCAACAACATCATCATTATCATAATAAGATGCATTATTCGGGTGAATCCGGTAATGGTGGTGTGCCATCATCATCATCATCATCATCGATACAACAGCAACCATCTAATATGATGATAACAACACATTCACATCATCATAGACCACGTTATATACATGGTCATCGTAGAGCTAAAAGTGCTGGTAATGCACAATCAGCAACACGTGATTCATATTCATATTATGCTGCAACTGGTCTTTATGCACATCAATCAGGTGAATCATTAGTTGATAAATCTGGTCCAATTATTGCATTAGCTGTGCCTAATTTAAAGAAAACATCATCCGAAAAAACAATACATTATGATGCTGCATATCCACCATATTATTTTCCATTACATCATCATACATCATCGATTGATCCAAATATATCGATTAAATATTCATCATTAAAAATGCGTACTGGTGATCATAATAATGGTGATGATGATGATTTTGATGTAGAAAAAATTGAATGTGGTTGTTTAGCAATGAAATTTGATTCATTAAGACGTTATGCAACTATACAATTTTTTGTCTTTCTTTGTTGCCTGTTGGTAACATTACAACAAGCACTTTCATCCGGATATTTTAATAGGTAAGTTTCCATTTTTTTTTGGATGGACCTTAATTTCAAATCGTTTTTCCTACATAATCAGTGTTATTACTACAATGGAAAAACGTTTCGATATTTCATCACAAATGTCTGGTGCCATTGTATCAACATTTGAAATTGGAAATCTTGCCACAATAATATTTGTTAGTTATTTTGGTACACATCGTCATATTCCACGTTGGATTGGAACCGGAATAGTTGTCACTGCCATTGGTTCATTAATATTTTCATTACCACATTTTATGTCACTTAGATCACCATTAGATAGTAATGGTAGAAATCAATCTGATCAACAATATTTAGATAATACATGTCGTATTCCTAAACCAGCATTAACATCACCATTTTTGGAAAAAGCAAGGTAAAATTTTGTACATCTTGTTTTAACATTTGATTCATTATTTGATTTGATTAACAAACAGTCAATTTATTAATCTTGGTCTATTGGATGATGATCCAAATTGTCAACAAGAATCAAATTATCATGCACCACAAATGTTAGTTTTTATGTTGGCAATGGTATTGATTGGTTGTGGTGGTACACCGATTTTTACATTAGGTACCACTTATATTGATGATCATGTACCGAAAGAAAGTTCATCAATGTATATGGGATGTATGTACAGTATGGTTGCATTTGGTTTAGTATGTGGATTTCTTCTTGGTGGATTTTTTATCAATGTTCATGAAAATGCATTGGGTACTGGTATTGTACCGCAAGATATTTTTCCTGGTCATCCTAAATGGATTGGTGCTTGGTGGGCAGGTTTCATAATGCTTGGTGTACTTTTGCTAATCGTATGTTTTTATCATTGCAATTGAGATTTATTCATTGATTCATTTTTTCAAAATTACATTTACAGATATCGATACCATTTTTTATATTTCCAAAAAGTTTAAAAACAAAAAAACCAAAAGAATTAATGGTTGCATTACCATCAAACGGTGGTCATTCATATACGGGTAATAATAGTAATTGTGCTGGTAATAAATCTACAAACAATGATGATCCAAATGGAACAATAAATTCAAAAAATATAAAATATGGTCGTAAATTAGGTGAAATACCTGCTTGTATGTGGCGTTTAGCAACCAATCCGGTTTATATGGTTACCTGTCTTGGTTCCTGTATGGAATTAGCTATTGTAAGCGGATTTTTAATATTTCTACCGAAATATTTGGAAACACAATTTTCATTGGGAAAATCTCAGGCAAATCTATTTGCCGGTGGTATTGCTATTCCGGGTGCTTGTTTTGGAATATTTCTCGGTGGTTATATTCTTAAACGATTTCAACTAACACCAAAAGGTGCCATTCAAGTGGTATTATTTTTCAATATTATCTGTATGGGCTTGTATACGGCATTATATTTTCTTGGTTGTGAAAATGTCAAAATGGCTGGTACAACATTACCATACGCCAACACGTACGTTTATTTTGATTTGCATTTTTTATAATCTCGAATTACATCTTTTTTTCCTTGATGAATTATTCAGTACAAGATTTCAGGATTCATTTTCAGTAAATCTAACTGCCGAATGTAATCTTGGTTGTCGTTGTTCATCAAATGATTTAGAACCGGTATGTGATGTTCGTAATAAAATCAGTTATTATTCACCATGTTTTGCCGGATGTACTTCGGTCGACAATTCTCGTGATGTAAGTTTTTTTTTTTAATTCAACAATGAAAAAATCAATTAAATAATGTGTTTTTCGTTGATTTTTAGATTCGAAATTATAGTAACTGTGCTTGTCTTTTATCGAACAATAATAATAATCGTGAAATTACTATGGTACCAATTGTAACTCCTGGACCATGTCATCAAATATGTACAGCAATGGTACCATTTATGGTTTTATTATTTGTTATAACATTGGTTGTTTCAATTACACAAATGCCTGTTGTTATGATTACATTGAGGTATGTTTTTGTGTAATGGGAAAACTTAATTATTTATTTATTTATTCATTGAAAATAATCTTTATTTAAAAATTTGTTTTCTATGCAAATGAAGATCGGTTGATGAAGAAGAACGTTCATTAGCATTAGGAATGCAATTTGTATTGTTTCGTTTGTTTGGTTATATACCATCGCCAATTGTTTTTGGTAATGTTATTGATTCAACATGTTTAGTTTGGAAAAATCATTGTGGTGAACAAGGTGGTTTCTGTTTACTTTATAATATTGAACAATTTCGTTTAAGGTAAATTTTCTATACATACAAAAATCAAATTTTTTAAAACAAAATTTATTCATTTGTTTTCGTTTTGATTTTTTTGTGTCAAAATAGATATGTTGGCGTTTGCAGTGCATTCAAAATAACGGCAGCTATTTTATTTTTTTTCGATTTATTATTAATTTGTTATCGTGAAAAAAAAGAATTGAAAAAATTACAAATGAAAACCGGTGGATTTACAACGGATGAAGTAATATCATCAATAATATCATTGGATCGTTTATCAGTATTTGGTTGGGCTGTTGGTCCTGAAACAATAGCTGAAGCTGATGAAGAACAACAACCATTAGGAGGAATAAATCAACAACACCAGCAACAATTGATGCAAGATTCGGATTATAATTCAGCTATCGATGATGATGATGATGTTGAACATTCATCATCAAATCTTTCTTCAATTGGTGGTGGTGGTGGTGGTCGAAATGATAATAATAAAAATGATAATGATAATCAACCATCATCATCAACAAATTGTATACAGATTGAAATGTTACCATCCACTTCACGATATCAACATCATCATCGTTCGGAAAGTTTAGTTTAGTATAAATCAATGGATGGGGTTACCATCATTTATTTATGTTTAAAAATCATCGACAATTGTGACTTGGTTATCATTTTTTCATAATCAAAAAATTTTTTTTATTTATTTTTTCTTCTCTTCTTTTTTTTTGCCCAAAACTGTGATACATCGAACACCCCGACTATTGAACAAAATAATACTGGAAATTAGGCAATCAAAACAAAATTGAAAAGGAAAATAACATATATAATCGACTAATTATAGGAAACTTTATGTAACTATGAAAAAATAATTTATTCTCGATCAAATCAATCAAATCAAACGAATCAAAATTGTCCATTATATTTATTGTCCATATTTTTCTATTTATAAAAAAATGAAAATGAAAAAGATTATTTGAAAAAACTTGCCTACCTCTAATTGATCATCATCGATTCATCGATTACCATAAAGGTTGCTATTGGAAACGTTTATGATTGAAAAGTTTTTTTCATTTTTTTCAGGACCATTTACAATGATGATGATCGACTGATATTTGCTACACTGCAGTGGGCATATATCCAATCTTTCTATTGTGGATATTTTGTGTGTTTAGCTTTTTGTTATTTTGAATTTTGAATCAAAAAACAAATGAGAAAAAATCGTTTGTTTGGTTTTGTTTGAACGGGACTGAACATTTCCTGTCGTGGTCCTTTACTTGTAGAGGACAAGGCCATTTCTAGAATTTGACAATTTTCAATTGTCATTGACCCTATGGATTGTTTGCATCCCCGGCCTCAAAAAAAAAATCATCATCATTCGATGACCATGACATTTTGGTTGGGGGAGGGGGGTTGCATTCGATATTCGTTTAGATCAAGTGGAAGAATGAACAAGAAAAAAAAGTGAAAGCCAAAGTGTTATCCCCCCTAAAGAAAATTTTATTTTGCAGAAAACAAAAAATCACGAAACAAAAGAAATTGACAAAGACCAAGACCAAGACCAAAGGTCAGTGCCGCTCGTTCTAACCAATTGGTGAATGACCGAAAATCGTCGTCTACCATCACAATTGTCTAACAACAACAACAAGACAAAAAACACCTAGACATTCGTCAGTCAAAGGCCAAAGGGAAAATCAACTTTTTTCTTTTCTTCGTTTGCAAAGCAATAAAAAGACCAAAAGAAGAAAATATTGAACGAAGTAGACATATACCTCACTCACTCACCATAATAGGGTTCTTTGACCAGTCCAGATTTCCCATGGTCAATTCGTTTGTCGTTAAGTTTTTTCTTCTTTTTTTTCTATTCAACTCTTTCTTTTCATCATTTTTTTCTTTTGGTTTTGATTTTGAGATTTTCACATGGAAAAATTTCCCAACAAAAAGTTTCTTTGGATGTCATTGGCCTGTCCTTGAACTTGTACGCGTATCATGGCCACCTTAAGGTACCTTATTAAGGTAAGATACCTTTGTTGTTGTTGATGATGATGATAATGGCTGGTGATTTGATTTTTGTAAATCACCAGTTTATACCGGTCAATACCGGATTTAGACCGGTGTTGTTATTCAGTTTTTTTTTGGTCTAAAAATATGTGTGTTTTTTCAAGTAAAATCCGGTATTTTTTGTGGACATTCAGCCACATGGTGATAGCATAGAAACCTAGATTTTTTTTAATGAAAAAATTGACCATTATTAAACGAATGGAGAAAAAAAACATTAATTAATCAAGTAAAAAGGTAAATTGAGAAAGTAAATTGAGAAAAGACCAAAACTAGATTGTTTCTTTGGTTTTCTTTCTCCCCCAGAGAACGAACGAAAATGAAAAGTTTTCCATTTTTCCTTTCATTTGATTTGATTTGATGATGATCAATTCTCAATCATCAAATTTTTTTTCAAAAATCAAAAAAAGTACAAAAAAAACTGGGTTTGGTTTGAATGTTTGGCAAACCAAACAAGCAAAAATAGGACATGGAAAAAATATATTATCATCATTATTATTGAGAGGAAAAAGAGAAAATAGGCAGCCAATCAACCAAAGAAAAGAAAAATGTTTTTGAAATACAAAAGAATTTGATTGTGTGTTGTTGGTGATTTTTTTGGTGTTTGGGCAAAAGAAAAATCAAAAACAAAAGAAAAAGAAAAGAAAAGAAAGGGTTAATAATAACTATTTTGATCATATTTGAATGAATGGATTTCATTGATTTTTTGATTGTTGATTTTCGATTTTTTTTAGATTTTGATCTTTGAATTTTTGAATTTTTCAAGATTTTGATCTTAGAAATTGTATTTTTGATTTCGATCTTTGATCTTGATTTTTGATTTTTTGATTTTGATTTCGATCTTTGATCTTGAATTTTTAAATTTTTTAAATTTTTTAAATTCTTCATTTTTTTTATATTCTTGATTTTGATCTTTGATTTTTTGATTTTGATCAAAAAACAAACTTCTTATTCTAATAGTTAATTTGAAAATATAGAAAAAAAAACTCAAATCAGAAGAGAAAGCAAAGCAAAGTTTGTTCAGTTATGTTATTTTTATCCAATGATAATTAATGATAATCATTATTGATTATCATTGTTTTGCTTGTGTGTGAATGAATGAATGAATGGGGCATATCAAATATCAAATCCAGTTTTGCCCAGACTAAAGAAAAACTGTTAGCTTCCCCAAACGATGATTTTTCAAATAAAATTTTTCGGCCAAGAATCGATTCCGATTCTGGATATTCTGCTCAATCTCTCTCTCTCTTTCTCTCTTGCTCGTAAACCATGTGTTTTGTGTTTCCCGAATTGCACATGTTCACCAAAAAAAAACCATCATCATCAAAATCTTTCTGAAAAAATTTTTCAACTGTTGTTTTGTTTTGTTTGTATCTTCAGTGTCTGTGTGCGGTGAAATGTTTGGTATGTTTGATGGTGTTTTTGTTGTTGTTGTTCTCTCTCTCTGAACAACAATCAACAACAAAAAAACGATATCTTTTTCGGTCTTTTTTTCTGGGTAGCAGTAATAAATAAAAATGATATCGGAAAACCCAAACAACAACAACAGAAAATGCTTTCTTCATTTTTGCGAATGAATGAATTATCCATCCATACACAAAACACCACTCTCTTTCTCTCTCTGTGTTTGCCAGTGTTGTTTGTTGTGTATTTCATAACTAAATAAGACAGTCACCGCCGCCGTAGCCGTCATCAGTCTTGTCGTCGTAAACGAACGAAATCCAAAATAGTCGTCCAGTTTTAATCGCGACAACCAACGAAACAACCAGCCAAAGACGATGACAAACTGGCCAAACATTTAGAGAGTTTTGTTTTTTTCTTACCTAGACATTTAAATAGAAAAGACCCAGACAGACTTGTGTCTCTCTCCGTTGTTTCATTTCATTTCATTTCAATTCAATCGGTGGTTGAGAGTGATAGTTTTTCTTCATCATCGTCTTCAAACTTGTCGTCGTCGTTGTCTTCAATATTTACCTTCAAGCAATGATTAAAAAAAATATCTAAGAGGATCATCATGATGATGGCGATGATCATGATGAAGATGATTATCATCCCAAAAAAGATTTGAATAGATTTTTTTTTTCATATAAATAAATAAATATCTGCTTGTTCTGAAAAAAACTTTTACCTTGTTTTGTTTTGTTTGTTTTGTTTTGTTTTGTTTTTGTTTTTCAAAATTTCTCAAATCTTCATCATTGAAATCTTCAGGTTTTTTTCTCTCGAAAACTTCTTCGAAAACTTTGGCCCAAAAAATGTCATCGTCATCAGAATCATCATCATCGTCATCATCAGAATCATCGAAATCATCATCATCGTCAAATACTGATGATTGTTTATTGAATTATGAAAATTGTTCAACGATCATAATTCGACCATCTGAACGTGGAAATGAAGTGTTAACAATTCCAATGCCAACGCCAACACCGACAACAACAACCACGATGACAACGAAACCGACAATGATGATGAAAATGGATAGTGAGGATCTACCATCATCAACAAAGAATAATAATAATGACTTTTCATGTGGAATATTCAATTGGCATCCACATTGTTTACAACGTTTTGCAAATAAAAAATGTTTTCTTACATTATTCTGTTTAACATCAATATTACAGGGTGTTTATTATACATATTTTGTTAGTGTTTTAACAACAATTGAAAAATTATATCAAATACAAAGTCGTACAATCGGTATGGTAATGAGTTCAACCGAAATCGGTCAGATTAGTGGTGCATTATTATTAACATATTATGGTGGTCAAGGACATCGACCAAGATGGATTGCAACCGGAATGTTAATGTTCGCTTGTGCTGCATTATTATGTTCAACACCACATTATTTGTTTGGTAGTCAACAATCAAAAAATATGATTACCGTTGATGATAATGATGATGGTACTACTTCGATATCATTATCATCCGTAACCATACCAATGTGTATGATTAATTCATCGATAACAATTGATCAAATGGAAATTTGTTCAGAAAAATCCGATTCTATTCAACAACATAGTCGTATGATAAATTTTATATTAGCCATATTTTTTATGAGTTTATTGATGATTGGTTTGGGAACAACAGCTGTCAATACATTAGGAATACCATATATTGATGATAATGTTGCACCAAAAGAATCACCATTATATTTTGGTATTACTATCGGGGTGAGGATTTTTGGTCCGGTTTGTGGATTTCTTCTCGGATCAGTTTGTACTGGGATTCCGGTACAATTTCCATTTGGTACTTCGGATTTACAACCAAATGATCCAAATTGGATTGGTGCTTGGGTATGTTTGATTGATTGATTGATTTTCTTTTTACAAATCTTCATTCTTCATAATCATTTCATTATGTTTTTTTGTGTTTGAATTTGATTTAGTGGCTTGGTTTATTTTTAGTCGGTGTATCATTATTATTAGCATCTATACCGATGATGATTTTTCCACGTCGTTTACCACAACCAGATCCAAGTTCTTATTGTCATCAACAACAACAACAACAACAACAGCAAATTGAACAACAACAACAACAAATTGAACAAGAAAATCTTCTTAAATCACAAAAAATCACTGATCAAAAAGATGTAGAGCATGTTACGCAAAGTGAATCAATCACTTACTACAATAATCTACAATCCACAGATAATGATAATTCCAAATCAATTTGTGGTGGTGGTAGTGGTGGTGATAGTGGATTTTCACAAGCATTAAAACGTTTACTTACAAATAAAATATTACTTTGTCGAACGGCTAGTTCGGTATTACATATTCTACCAATATCTGGTCTTTATACATTTTTGCCAAAATATCTAGAAAGTCAATATCAATTAATAGCAGGTGATGCTAATATAATTGCCGGTCTAGCCGGTATTTTGGTTATGGGATTTGGTGTATTTGCAAGCGGTACATTTATGCGTCGTTTTAATCCAAGTGCACAATCAGTTGCAAAATGGATTGCATTTGCTGCAATATCACATGTTATCGGTATGATTATTCTAATGTTTCTTGGTTGTCCACCAAATCAATTTGCTGGTATTAAACAACAGGATTCAATGACTGGGTAATGTCCAATTTCTTTCATTTCTTTTCGCTTTCTAATTAATTATTCTTTTCAAAACCAGCCGTAATTATTTTGTTGGAATTGATCAAAAAAATCTTACCTGTTCATTTGATTGTAATTGTCCACAAGGTAGATTTGAACCAATATGTGGTACAAATGGTATTACATATTTATCACCTTGTTTGGCTGGTTGTTCATCAATTCATATCAATAATACCGAGGTAACAATTTTTGATTTTTGAATAGAAATTTATCGGTGATTTTTTTTTCGTTTTATAAGAAATTCTATACCAACTGTAAATGTGATCATCATCATCCTGATTCCAGTGATAATATTATAATAAGAAAAAAGATAATAGCAAAACCAGGAATATGTCCATCAAAGTGCAATACATTAACATTATATGTTATAATATTTTCATTATCAGCACTAATAATATCTACCTCTGAAGTTGGTGCAATGTTATTAACATTACGTTGTGTTGAACCAAGAGATAAAGCAATGGCATTAGGTTTTATTTCATTTGCTACCGGATTGTTTGGTATGTTTCATTCATTTAAAATTATCTTTTTTTAAAAATATACCATCCATTAACTAAATTAACAATCATTTTAGGCAATGTACCATGTCCAATATTATATGGAACAGTTATTGATTCAACATGTTTATTTTGGGAAGAAAATTGTGGTAAATTAGGTGCATGTCGTCTATATAATCAAACAAATTTCCGTCAATTATTTCATGGTTTAACAGCATTATTAATGTTTTTGGGATTTTGTATTGATCTCATTGTTTGTTATAAAGCATCAGCCATACGATTTCATGATGATAATAATGATAATAATGATGATGATGATGATAATAATAAAAATGAATATCAAATCAATAATGATGATGATTTAAATGAACTAAAAATCGTTCAACATCATCAACAACAACCGTAAACAACAACAACAACAAAAACCAGAAGCCAATTTTTTAATCATCTTTATCCATGCATCCATCATTGTTTAGTTTATTTTTACTTGCTGTTTTTTTTTATATAATAATAATAATTTTTTTCTAATTTGACTTTTTACAAAATTAATTTGTTTGTTTGTTTGTGATCTGTAAAACATCCAATTTTCATCAATCCAAACAATAACCATACTGAAAAAAACTTACAGAAAAAAACTTAATGATTGTTACTTTTTCATAACCATGTTATTTTGTCATTCATATATTTCTGTCATTCCTTTATTTTGATTTTATAAAATGTCCGATTTTTTTTAACTTTAAAATAAATATTTTTGGTTCGTTTTTTTCCAATTCCTTGGTACAGTTGGTTTCGACCTTTTTTCTTTTGCGGCAGCCACAGCATCAATCAATCAATCACACCGGATAGATTTTCTTACATTGTTGTCTGGTGAATGTCATATTTCAAGTATTTTTGTTACAAGTTTGATACGTGAAGAGTGTGAACGGGAAAAAAGAAAATTTCCATTTTCAATTTGATAATGGCATACTGACTGAGTATTACCGATGATAACGATTGACGATGATTATGTGATATTTCATCGTCATCGAATCAAGTCGAGGTTAATGACCAATTTTTGTTTTTTATTACCAAAAAAAAAAAAACATCACATGAATAATTTCACTTTCCATATCAACATCACATCACACACACACGGAGAGAGATAGACATATAGTAAAAACTAAAGAGATTATTTACATAACATTTTTTTTGTTGATATCATCATCATTTGATTGCCTGTACGCGCATAACATAAAAATTGAAAACCTTGAAATCAGTCATTTACATCAGTGATTAGTGATTTTTGTTTATTATTATTTTGTTTTTTCAAAAATATTACTTTACACATGCATAGAGAATTATTGGATTATTCTCAAAACAAGAAAAGTTTTTCGAAAATAATTTCTTCGATCGACCTTCGAAATTTTCAATAATAATGAATAAGATGTTCAAATAATAATTTTCATTTATGTTTTTTATCATGTTTTCTATTCGATGATGATGATGATGGTGTTGATGAAGATGATTTTGATGTTGTGGTATTATTATTGGCGGTAGAACTATTGGTGGTTGTTACATTTGCTGGACTATTACGTACAGGCCGTTTTGATACACTACGTACTCTTTTGGTTGTCGTTGATGATGATGATGATGGTGTATCTTTGGTCGATGTATTTGTTGATGAATTTTTATCCATTTTATCCGAATCTTTATCTGATCGATGTCGATGTGAATGTTTGGTTTCAGTTTTTTCCGAATCCGATCGATCACGACGACGGCTAGGTGTAATCGTTTGAGATTTGTCCGCCGTTCCTGAATTTTCCGCTGTTGTTGATGATGATGAAGTGGTTGATTTTCGTTTTCGTGTTGGTAATTGTGGTGTAGTATTAACGGGTGTTGAAGCTCCCGATAATGTATTATCATCACTAGCTTCAATGGCGGGACCATCTTTATTAACGGATTGTGATTCCGGGATTTTGGTTTTTTCTTCTTTTCGGCGTTTATCGATCAATTCTTTAAAATCATCACATTCATAAAGATCAAAATCCATTTCATCATTGGGAAAAGGAATTTTATGCAAATCATTCAAACGATCTTGATGATATTTTGTATGAAAATAGCGCCATATTTCTTCACTATCAATATCGGTCGAATTACGAGCATTATAAGTGATCAAACAGGCCATCATATTCAGATGTCTATTCAAACCGATCGGTAAATGTGCACACATAGAACATAGTAATTCTGTTTCTTTAATCAATTCCGATTGATCCGATGATTCGGGCATATTTTTTTTTTGTATCCAACAAACGATTAATTTGAAATTAATATTGTTGGTGGTGAGCTTCACTCCGAAACGAGCAGCGCGAAAATTCAAATTCCACTCAAATAGCCTCATTGATGGGTTAAAATAGAAATTTAATTTTTATGTCATTATTGCAAACAAACAAAAAAAATAAATCCGAAAAAAATAAAATTTAAATGACTTAACAAAATTTAAAAACAATGTTGGTGCGTAAAACGAAAAAGATAAAATAAAATAAAATATCTATAATAACATTCAGAAATGATGCAGCGAAAAAAAATATTTCAAATAGAAAATGATTGATGATGACCAAATTGGATTGGATTTCGAACAAAAAAAAACATTGATTTGTACTTTTTTTTTGTATGACTTTCATTGAAGTGATAAATTGTTGAGATTCCAGATGAATGATGTATTGTGTATCAGTCAGTTCAACCAGTTGAATCCAGAAATAGACTATAAGGCTATATGTGATTATATTAATAAAGTCAAACTTGGATGTTTCTTGTATCCAAAAAAATAAAAATAAATAGGATGAAATTTATAAAGTTTGAAGCCATTCATGATTTTCATTTAGGAATCATTAACATCCGCAAAATAAAACTATCTGTATGGATTAGAAAATTTGAATTTAGAATAAATGAATGATACTGAAGTTTTATGAAATGTTTTTTTACCTATATTCTGTTTTAGATTATTTTCGGTCAAAAATTGTTGAAAAAATAAATGTTCAATACATTTAAGACCAATCGAACGTAATGCTGGTAAACGAACCAATAGTTTTGCAAATCGTGTTGTTTTGTCTGGATATGATAGGCGACAATGATTTTCCAACAATGAATAGACACGATCACGTAATTTTTCCACTGTACTTGCGTTTTTTAAATTTTTAAGCGCTAAACAAAAATAAAACATTTAAAAATGGATGACAGTGAAAAGGGAGAGAGGAAATATACCTGGATTAAATAATACGATCGCCCTTAAACAGCCAAGTTCGGATAAATCCATTTGCATTTCACGCATTTTGGCAACAAGTTCATTAAGAACACGGCTAAAAATATCACCAATACCGGCACTTTGGGCTTTTTGTTGGCTAACTTCAACACCATTAGCTAATAATAAGGCATCATGTTTACATGTAGAACGATAGGAAAATTCTGCAATCAATAATTCATTCCAACTACTTTTTAATAAAACTAATTGATCATCTTGATCTAATGATTGAAAATGTGGAATGTTTTTGATCCATTGAAATAAAAGTTCAATCTCTTTGGTTGCACCTTTTGCTGTCGGTGAACACTAAAAAAATAAATTGTTTTCAATAAAAATATTTGAAAGAAAAAAAAATCAAGAATACAAACATACTTTGGTCGTAATTTCAATTAATTTTTCTGCTTCAGTCAAACGTTCAATACTTAAATCATCAAATGTTCGTAATTCATTATTTGAACGATGATATTGATTCATCGAAATATTTGTTGTTGTTGTTGTCGGTGAATTTGTCATCGTGGTTGTTGTTGATGATTCTGGTTCATTTTCCGATGTTGATGGTTTATTACGTTGTCGTTCCTCCTGTACTGCTTCACGTTTCATACCCATATCTAAACATTTTTGATAACGACAATATTGACAACGATTACGTTGACGTTTGTCAACAATACAATTTTTATCATCACGACAAGCATAGGTCAAATCTTTTCGTACGGTACGTTTAAAAAAACCTTTACAACCTTCACAACTTCACGAATATAATAATATTAATGCAATGTGATTAGCTAAATTAAATAAAATCATTCGTTTGTTCAACTAACCTATAGACACCATAATGTTTACCCGAAGCACGATCTTCACAAATGGCACATAAATGTTTTGAACCACTAAGCGGATGATTAGGAGGATATCGATTATTATTATTATTATCACAGGTAGATACAATATTATTATTATTATTACTATTGATCATTTGCTTTTGTGTTGGACTAATCGTTCCAATTGGACTAGTTGTTGTATTCATAATAGCTGTTGTATTTCTTCCATTGCCAATCATTGTTGTTATAACATTATTATTATTATTGCCACTTGTATTTATCGAACCTATAGTTAGTCGATCAGATAATCAAAAAAATTCATTATCGAATTAAATCAATTTCAAAATTACCTTGAATTCCACCATTATTATTATTATTATTCTGTGCGAATATTAATGGATTATTATTATTATTTGTTGTTGTTGATGGCAGTTGCGAACCATACAAAAGTGAAGTAACACTTAACATTGGTCGATCTTTTTTATGCATTGCCATTTTTGTTTTGTTTATCCTGAGATTAGATGAGAGATATATAAAGAAATAAGGCTTTATTGTTTTGTTTTTGTTGTTTGTAATTTTTGTCGGTTGAATAAAATGTTGAAATATTTTGTCACGATGATCATGATCAAATCGAATGTTTTTTTATACGAATAAAAAACAGGAACAGGATTCAGCAGAATCCACAATACAAGGCGAAATTTGGTGTAAATAGTTGTCTTGTTTTTTATCACTCGAATTTGTTCGAAATGAAATGGATGGATGAAAATTTTTTACAAAATTCAAAATACCGGAATGCAAATTATCATTATTTTTGGTGAATTAAACTTGTTGAATATCATCATTTTATTGAAACAAGAAACAAACACAATCAAGGCACAACACGAAGGCAAAGTATGGCCACAATGAATCAAAGAATATGGAGAGAAGAAAAAAAAAGATTTACAACTTTCGTTTATTTGTTCGTCGTCGTCGTTGTTGTTGTTTGATGCTATTAATAAATTTTGATGATTTTTGTTTTTTTTTGCACTACAATATTTTCATTATCAACTCTAAATCAACGATCAAGTAAAACATCGCACACAAACAATTTTACAGACTGTTAAAGATTGTTTGTGCCACCTTTTTTTTCCACATACATTTTTTTTGGTGATGATGATATACGCCGGTGTACATTATCATCAGCATAATCATCTGGAGAATGTTAAATAATTTGATGGTCTGGTCTGATGATATTTTATAGTTACAGACTTGCAGCCGTATACAATTTGTTATGTTACGTTAGGTTAAGTCAGTGCTGTGCTGTGTGTCGTATACTGTGCAAGGTTTTGTTAAACTAAACTGAAGCAATTTGGTCCCTTGCATTCATTTTTATATATACTTTTCATCGAAATTGCGATGGACCTGATCATCCAGCCAAATGAATTTCTCGATTAAAAAAACATTGTTGGTTGCGAAGGCAACCAAAATTTATCGAACGAAACGAATGAAAGAAACGCACACACGAAAAAAAAGATAGAATATTTCCCGAACAGTAATGTTCCAGAATTTTTTTTTCGTTTTTCAATTCAATTCGATTCCGGAATTATCACGAATCGACTGACTGACCAACCGACCAGAAACAAAATAACCGTCATGTTCAAAAAGAGAAAAGTGAAAGTAAAGAAGATAACATTGACACAGTAACATTGACCTAAATCACAGAACAAATCATGGTTTAGAAGAAAAAAAAAACACTGACTTTCAGACAAACACCATACACATGTTGTTGTTTTTTTTTTGTTTTTCTTGGTTGTTTTTTTTAATAGTTTTTTTGTTGTTGCACCGCACTGTTCATCGAATCAACCACCACCAATCAACTATTATCATCATCATATAGCATACAGTGTTTGAGCCAAGAGAAAAAAAAAGATCTTGGCGTCGGATCTTCTCATATCGATTGATGTTGATGATTGTATGGATTCACTAACTAAACAACAACAACACCGTCTATGATATATATCAATTGATAAGTATGGTATATGGTACATTAACGCAAATAAATAAATAGCAGCAGCAGCCACCCAAACAACCAAAAAGCCATTTTTTGTGTTTGATTTCTCTCTCTCTCTCTCTCTCTTTTTCTCTCTATAGCGGATCTGGCAAAATTCAATGTTAAAAACATTGAATCAAAAATGAATGAATGAGGCAGATAGCGAAAGTGATTGAAAAGAGAGAAAACATGAATTAGGAATCCTTCGATGTACCTCTGTACACACACCATGAAAATGTACATGGCGCCCTTTTTACTTTCAGTTTTACTTTCATTCAATCGATTTCACCCTCCTTCATAAAATATGACAGCTGTATGTATTCCATTCATTCATTCATTGAGGATAATTACTTTTCATTCATTCATTCATTCAATTCAATTGGTTATGAATTCAAGTTTGTTTCAAGTGTATATTTTGTTTTTTCAATTAAAAAAAAAATTTCTTTCCAATCATATTTTGGGAGCGGTGAATGTTTTTCTGTTTAAAAAAAGGGTTTGGTTTATTTTAGACCAAAATTTTATTAGAGATTTTTTTAGAGCAAAGCGTAGGTTTGGATACCCAAAAATGATTATTTGACAAACGAAAAAAACATGGCGATTACCCAAAAACCAATCAATGGTTCAATCACACACACACACACACACACACACACATGTATAACACTTGTATGGCCTTGATTCTTTTCGGATTGCTCTCAGTGTTGAAACAAAATAAAATTCTGAATGGTATTCGCGATCAAATAGAAAGAGAGAATGAAAGTAAGGTAGGCAGGTATGCATGTTATTTCACCTTGCCCAAAATGTTAATGAATAATGCCTGGATAGAAGTGATGTGATGATGATGATTAATACGACAAGGTTGACATCCTTGAAACACCTTTCACGTTGTTATTTTGATTTTGACAATGAAAAAACAACAACAAAACTTGAATATCATGATTTTTTTCATTCCAACTAGCTAACTGGCTATATATTCAACAGGTGTGTATTCACCTGTATTGTTGTTGTTGCTGCTTTTTTTTGATTTTGATCGATAAATTCATTTCAAAAGCCAGATGTGTGTGTGTGAATGATATATCGACTAGATATAGAATCGATGGACAGTTTTAATTTACAGTTGTTGTTTTTGTTGGTTGGTCGCATTGCAAAAAAAAAAGAATTTGCTTCCAAATTCCTGATAAACATTCAAATTTATTACATAATTTTTTTAAAAAAATGAAATTAAAAACAAAAACATATATCCCGTTCGTATATTCAAGTATTCATTGGTTTTGGATGATAAACATTATTATAAAATTCAACTAAACGATTATCTTTATTCTGGCAAAATCCACGAAAATCTTGCATAATTTTACGCATTGAATTTTCATCACCAGTTACATTTGTTTTCCAACGTTTTGTTATTAGATAATTCCAACACCAAAGAAATCCAATCTTGGAAAAAAGATTCAGAAATTAATTAGAAATTGAAAAAAAATAGGATTAATCAACTTACTTTAGTATCAATATGAGCATCTTGTCCTTTTAATTGCATACCACTAAAATGCCGGGTGATATATGCTTCGTGTCCCATTTCTTGATCGATACACTAAAAGAAAGGTAGATAATTAGTGAATGATAATTTGAAACATTTCTGGACATAATCATCGAAACAAACCTGTAAGAATTTACCACGTTTATTTGGATTTTTTTGTGTCGATTGTTTACTTGGTATCATAACAAATATACTACCCGATACATGTACAAATTGACGTTGATTTTCTGTGGTTGGATCATGAAATGGTATGAAACCGAATTTTACAAGAATTTTTTCCTGAAAATTAAACAAACCACCATCATCTTCCATTATTTTGAAACATAATAAACAATCTAAATTTAATGATATATAAATTGGACCACGCAGTGGATCAGAACGATTTGAAAATGGTAATGCAAATGGATCCCATGGTATTGGTACAATATGTAAATTTGTTCCTTTCGTTCGACTCCATTGTGAAACTTTTTCCGGTATTGCATTACCGGTTGCACACATCCATTCCATAATCATTTCGAATGCTTGTTCTGGATCATAAAGACTATGATATTTAACATTAACCCATTCAACACGATCAGTTTTACTGTCCAATTCGATTTGAAAATTTTTAAATGTAAATTCTGGTGTCTGATTCGAAATTATTGATTGTTCTTCTTCAAAAGTCGTCGTCGAAGTTGAAGCAGCCGAATTTTCAACATCTTTTGGATTATGTTGTTGTACAATACCAACTTCCATCCAAGCACGTTCAAAATATTCACGATCAATTTGATTTTTCGAGAAAAATTGTCGATTCTGTTCGGTCATCAAGCAATAAAGATGAAAACCACGTTTAAATATTGTTTGTGTTTGATCACCTGATGCATGACGAATAAGATCATTATTTAGAAAATTTTGAAACATTTGTTCGGCAATTGTTTCATTCGAAATATTTTCAATATTTTTTACAGCCCATTCTATTGCTTCCAAACTAATGAATGTATATTCAGGTAGATTTCGGAAACGTATTGAAAATAGATTACTTGATTGTTGTTGCATAAAATCAATAATATCATTTGATAATGATTTTATTGAAATTTTTTTCGATGGAATTTGTTCCGGTATCGAATCATATTGATCCATTTGACAACTATCATTGGATAAACGATTTGTTGATGATAATTTTTCATGTTTTATTTGACGATAATTTGGTGCATCAATCAACGATAATGGTGATGCTTCTGGATTATCACCTGAATTAGCACTTGTTGGTGGTGTTTGTATCGATGTTGAACTATTTCTTCGGGTTAATAATGATTGTTGTTGACAATTTTTATTTTCAATCGATTTATTTGTACTTATTAATTTAACACCATTTATTACTTTTAATAATTTTATAAAACCTTTTTGTAGTTGGATTTTTTCATCAAATGAAAATACATCATATAGATCACAATTAAATTCATTATCACCCGATATATAACGATCGATAATTTTTTTTGTTTTTGAATGTTGTGTAGGTAATACTAGCAAACGAAAACGCCAATATTTTAGACTTTCAATCAACGGATATTCAGCTGATGCACCACGTAAACAAATATAATTATCCAGATAATTCCATTTATAATTTTCCAATTTTTCACTTGTAAATGCAACCCAACTAACACCATATGTTTCATTATCAGGTGTACGTATACGATAACAATATCGGATATTATTTGCTTTATATGGATGTCTTGGATGATAATTTATAATCGATATACGATTTTCTTTATGTGCTAATTCATGATAAATTCTACCGATACTTAATATAAAAGTAAATTTATTACCACCAGTACGATCACTAGCAAATGTATATCGGATTTCATTCGTAGGTAATAATATTATCTGAAATCCTTGTTGTAAACGTTGATTAATTAATTCATTATAAAATTGATCAATAGTTAACATGTTCATTTTTTTATGATTATTACTATTTCCACCACTTCCACTTCCACCACTGCCACTATTTCCACCACCACCACCACCATAACCATCAATATTATCAATAGATTTCATAAAACGTTGTTGATATAATTCATTTGCCTGTTCTTCCGGCAATAAATCATAAATATGTGTTACATATTCTTGTTCTAATGTACGTTTATCCGGTAAAAAATCCGTAGTGATTGGTAAACAAGCTGGCATTACTAATGATTTCCAATCAACACCAGTTGTTATTGCTGGTGTCCATTCTTGTTCACCAGTTGCACCCCATGCCCATAATAAACTATTATCAGTTAATAATAAACTACGTTGTTTTTGATGTATATCCGTTGTTGTTGTTGTTTCATTTGCAATTATTGATGGTGTTGATTTTTTATCCACCAATTCAATCAATGCATTTGATCTTGATTTGGTTAGATTTTTTTTCAAATCAATATTTTTATCATTAATATTTTTTGTTGATTGACCACCATCAATTTGATCAAATGATTTACGTTTAAAATTTTTATCTTTTGATAATAATTCTATTGAATCATATAGAATATTATTTATATCATCATTAACCGTATTATTATTATTATTATTAATGGTAGTATTATTCATCATACGATTATTTTGATTCGGTATTGCTTGATAATGATGTTGTTGCATAAAAATTCCGGTAGGTCCTAACGGAAAAACATGTGTCCAACGGCGACGATTGGAATTCAATTTGATTGTTACATGTGATGGATCAAATGGATTGATCAATGCTTTTGTACTAAGTAATTGATCACGAAATTTATGTACAATAATATCATCTTTAGATTTTATCTTTAAATAACCATCATTATTTGATTTATTTTCAACCGATGTTGAAAGATTATGTGAAAAGGAATTATTTTTTGGACGTTGTTGTTGTAAAACATCGATACTACTGGCAGCAGCACCAATATTATCAATCATATCACCACCATTATCATTATTTTTCGGTGATTGTGAAAGCGATAATTTTGAATATGCTGAACGTGATGGAACGACTACTGATTGACGACGTTTTGGTCGTTGTTGTTCATCAATTATCATCAGACTATTTCCATCGGTTGAATTTCGATTATATGACATTATCATACGTTGGGTATGTATTGGAACATGATGATGATGATGATTATGATGAAGAAATGTACCATGTTGATTAATCATAAACACTGATGATGATGATTGTTGTTGATGTTTATTCGTTATTGATGTACGAAATATTTGATTATCATATTCATCATAATCAATGAATGGTATATTTTGACATGATGTTAAATCAATACCACCACTGGTAGAACTAATTTCCGAATTTCTATGATTATGAATAAATGGTGGTAGATTAAGATTTGATGATTTTTTATTCACCAAAGGACTTATTTTCATTGAATTATTATCTTGTTCTGGTGGTGAAATATTTGGCATTTTGATTCGTGGAATAAAATTCGATGATGGAAATCGTTGTTTGGATGAATAAAAACTTAGATTAATCCAATGTGGCATATTATATTGATCATTTGACATGTTTGAATGTCGAGAATTAAATTTAAATAATGGTACAGCATGAAGTGGTTGTTCACCCAGACAAACCAAATCACTACCAATACCATTATCAATAATTCTTTGTTTAGTTATATTTGTCAGGTCTAGATCTACTTCATAAACACCAACACCAGGTGATATAACAACTGATAATTGTCCAGTACGATCAAAACTACGATCCAAATTATGACGTTCAAAAACATTTAGGGACATATTCAGAACTTCAAGAAAATTTCCTTGTGATGCTGTTGAATTATATGCTTTAACACCTTTCAAACCTCTTTTTTCATGATAATGTATAACTTCTTCTTCATATAAATTAAATAATTCTCTTAAATAAATTAATGTTGGTGACCAATCATCAAAACGTTCATTTTGTACAGCAACACGATAATAATCTTCATAAAATCTTCCTTGATAATCTTGTTGTAAACATTCACGCATTGATTCTGGAAATTCATTTATATCACTTGCTTGATAAAATGTTCGTGAAAACATAACAATTGTTACATCATGACTACAATTAAATGTCTTTGAAATGGGGAGAAAATAAAATTAATTTTACAAAACAGGAATTTTTACAAAAAAGAGAACTTACCTTCCATTTATTAAAAAGATCGGATAAAAAACCTTTAACAGCTTTTTCAAAATATAGATCACCATTAATATCATAATCCCACATTTCTGAGCTCATTTGTAAAAACAGATAAACCATACTTGATGCTGAACGGAAAACAACTTTAGTTTCATCATTAATATAACCACTTGCCCAACGTATACCATGATGCCACATTTCAAATACTTGACAACGAATATTACTGAATTCAATTTTCTTATTCAAATAAACACTTGTATTGGTTATATGTTTTTTCAAACGCCACATATCACTTCGAGCCAGGTATTGATCTTTAAAGAATAATTCTACCGAATCTAATGCAACAATATTTTTATCCAAAATATTCATAATAACATCGCTAAAAATTCTTAGCTGAAATGTTTGTGCAATTGATTGTTCAATGGTAATTGTAGGGAAATTTACTTTCGGTTTATCAACATTGGTTATCTGTAAAATTAATCGGCTAAAATTCTCTTCATTCGAATATATTTCAACAATATCACCGATTTTAAAATCGGGAAAATCTTTTTGACAAATAACCAAATCATCTTGATAATGTGTACGTTGATGGGTATTCAATTTTACGGTAGGCATTGCTGTTTGATAAAATTCTTTAGTAAAAAATGAAATTCTTAAAAAAAATGAAATTCTTTAAAATCATTTATTGAATTTGAAAACGTAAACATCGAATGCAGAAAAAAATGCACAGAATAATTGTCTGCAACGCCATCTATTGGTCAATAGATTTGCAAATGAATTTGGTTTCAATATTGAGAAATTATATTAATTTTTTTTTAATTTTTTTAATCAAAAAAAAAATATTTTTATTTAAAAAAAGAAAATTAATTATTGAACCGCAACAGGAACGGTTGCTGAAGCAGCAGCAGCAGCGGCAGCTTCTTCCAGAATCTTTTTTCGTGATGCTTCTTTTAATTGTGCCGCAATACGATCCAGATCTTTATAACCTTGGCTTGTTAAACGTCGACCACCACTATTGGCATCTTTTTCTACCCAATTGACGGCTGGAATTTTTTTTTAAAAAAGATAAATTATTTGGTTAGTTTAAAATTCTTTAATAGGCGGGAAATAGAGTACAAACCTTCCAATGCTTGCAATGATTTACGGGCAATATTCGAACCACCACGACCAAAATGTGATGGACGTACACCGCGACGATTTCGGCCACCATAGATTTTGGTTATGGCACCAACACCTGGCAAAATTGAAAATAATATTAGTTTTAAAACGAAAACAAAGTCAACTAGACAAAAAACTAACCAACTGGTGATCGATGATACAAATGACGGGCAATTGAAGCACAACGTGTATAAAACCAATCATCATCATATGGCGCCAATTCTTTAAAATTGGCTGTTTTAACTAAATCACTCCAATCTGGTACTTTTAATTTACCCGATCTATTTTTCAAACAATGAAAAAAAACAAATGAAAAAATCAATTTTTTTTCGTTGACACATGAGTGATATGTGAGTGGCTAGAAACAAAAACAAACCTTTTCAAAAATGCTGCCAATGCAACAACAAATTCACTTTGATCAACACCTTTAACACCGATTGATTTTACTTGAGAATTCATTTTGATTGAATCAATGATAATTATCCGAAGAAGAATAACTTCGAAAACTCAACATAAAAAAAAAAAGAAAACACGAGGCAACACAGCAGTGAGAAAGGAAGAGAGGAAATACATTGTACACACACACACACGCTTTGTGAATCGTATGCATTTATGGAAAGTTTCTCAATCTTTCGCGGAAAAAAAAATTCTGGGAAAATTTTCTGAAAAAATATTTTATTTGAAAAATTTAAAAAAAAAAAACTTCAATCATCATCATCAGATGATTCTTCTTCAGCTTCTTCAAGCCATTTAATAAATAAGCCAATTTCTTTTGATTTACGTAATGTTTCCTGTTCACTGGTAAGATGATTTGATAAACTTTTTGGTCGATAAAACCATTTCAGAATTAAATCTTCTTCCAATATATTTTCTTCATATAAAAATTCAATAATTTTTACCAAATATAAACTACTTATTGATTCTTTATTTTGTAATTGAAATTCTTCAACAGCATAAATACAATCATTTTGTGATGAAATACTTTTGATATAATTTCTTATGATAGGTAGACCATATTTAAGATTTGAATTGATTGTTTGTAAAAAATGATGATTTGAATTTCCTTGTTGTTGTTGATTTGAATTTCGAGCTAAATTCAATAATGCTTTTATGACTAATGCATTTACTTCATTTACCGGTACATTATATGCATGTTTTGATGAATTTATTTCCAATATTATATTATCTTGATCAGATTGTTCTTTGATTGCTCGTAAAAGACTATCATATACTTCATCATAAAATGCTAAATAAATAAACAAAATTAAAAACCAAATCAGAATCAGAAACAAATCAAAACAGAAAAAAAATCAAACCTGAATATTCATCATCAAGGCTATTAAAATCATCACCATCACCATCATTATCATCGCCATTATCGGATGAATCGGAAAATTCCGTACTCGAATCTGAATCATATTCTTCATCTTGGTCATCTTCATCACCATCGTTTGGATTTTCGTCTTCATCATTATCATTTGATGATTGTAAATTATTTTCATCAAAATCATCAGCAGTAATCGGACTACCTTGCGGTACAATCGGTGAAACGAATCGTTGTAGCAAATCATTGCTTATATTACGATAAGATTGTATACAATCAACACGTGCAGCATAACCTTTATCCAAAATTTCTACATGAATATGATGACATAATAACTATAGCGAGGAAAGGAAAGAAAAATTTTTGGAAATTGAATTTTCATTTCAAATTACTTACCTCGATATCGGCCAATAATCCATGTATAAAATTTTCACGTGTTTCAAAATCAAAATTATCGGAAAAATCTGGTGGTACTTTTTCCGAACAAATAGCAATTTCAGTATCAAATAAATCATAATGAAATGAAATACAGGAATTTTTTTCGAATAGTTCCTAAAAATAGAAAAAATTCTTTGTAAAAGAAATGTATTTTTAAATTTAAAAAAAAATACAAACCGTTGGTATTTCGGTAGTTGGTCTCAACGGTTTTTCAAACAAAACAATTTTTTGTTGTGAATCTAATGCAATCATTGTTTTTTGATTTGATGACGATCGTCTTGAACGATGATCTGGCCATACTTTACGAAATAAACATGTCATAACACAGCCAGGATCTTTTTTCATATTTTCCCTAAATGACAAACACAAGATTTAGACAGAGAAAATGTTTTTGTCATCAAAATTTACTTATGTTTTTCAATCATTTTATCCAGATGAAGATTTCCAATACAATCACCATGCATTAAAATGAAATTGGATTTAATTAAACCACGTGAATCTAAATCTCTCATCACTGGACCAAGGCTTGTATAATCTTCCGAATAAAATATCTGAATATTTAATTTAACATAGACATTATGATTATAATCACTGTAAATGTAAGTAAGGAAATTGATTAGTTTCTTTATTTTTCTTGTTAAATGATTCGATTTTCTAAACTTACTCGATAAATTTTTTAATTTCATCAAAAAATTCACAACAAAATAGGAAAATTTCATCTATATTGGATAATGATAACATTTCGAACGTATATTGCAATATTGGACGATCGATCAAATTCATTAGGACTTTTGGCCTGGTCGATAATTTGGCAAAACTATCACCATCATTATCGATCAATATGACTGCCTGGTGAATTTCTTTTTCCAAATTTTCTTTTTTTCGATCCATATCGTTCGGTTTCGTTGAAGGAAATCCAGAAAAAAATTTGGATAAAAAATGAAAAAAAAGAAAAATTTACAAAAAATATTTCAACACGCAACACATGTTGCTGTTCAAATAGTAAGTGCGCATCCAAAAAACATTCCACGGATTTTTAATTTTAAAAAATTTTTTCTTTTTTAATTTTTTTTAAATTTAAAAAAAAGAAGAAAACAGATGATGAAAAAATAATGACAATAATATTTACAAATCTATAAATATTGTGTTTTTGTTTGTTTAAAGTATTTTGTTTTTTTTATATTACAATTTTTTTAATTATTTTTGTTTGAAAAAAAACCGTTGGCAAAAATTACTTGAAAATTAGTGTTTAGAATGTAAATCGAAACGTATAACGACCACCAAATGGATCAAATCCTTGCGAAAATGGATGAAATCCATTACCATTTTGTTGTTCAGGATCTAATGGATCTTCACCATTATCAAATTTTTCACGTTTTTCCGGATCGGTTAAAACTTCTTTCGCTGCAGCAATATTAATAAATTTTTCTTCGGCTTTTTTCTTTTCATCACCTTGATATTGATCTGGATGCCATTTACTTGCAGCTTTACGATATGCTTTCATTATATCTTTTTTGGTTGCATGACGTGGTACGCCAAGTATTTTATAATAATCACGTTTTTTTGATTGTTTTTTCAATCGTTCCGCTTTATTATAACCATCTTTGGCACGTGTCATATTTTCATCGATTTGTAAAACTTTTTTATAATCACTTGATGCTATTTTAAACAAAAAAAATGATTAATTTAGTAAATTTTTAAATGAAAATTATCATCAGTTAGCTTACCATCATCATAATTTTCAAGATTAATATATGAATCTGCTCTATCACATAATGCATGTATATCGTTTGGATTTAATTCTAATACTTCGCTACAGATTTTGATTGCTTGTTGGGAGTTTCCTTTCTGTTCAATAAAAACAACAAAATTCAATCAGATAAACAAGATTCATTCGTTCATTCACTAATTACTTACCAAATTTAAACAATGACATAATTTTGATTTAAAAAGATGAACTAAATTTGGTACATTTGTTTCTAATTCTAAACCTTGTTGTAATTTATCAATACAACCTTGATGATCATTTTTAGCTGCAAAATCTGTTGCCAATTTATAAAGATTTGCTAATTTTTTTACTTTTTTATAATGTTGATGACATTCTTTATGATCCGGATCTAATTTTAAACATTCACGTATTGCATTCAATGATTCTTCGGGTTCACCAATTTGATAATGAAGTTTACTCAGTTTTAGAAATCCATCTGTATTATCGGATTTCATTTTAGTTAATGCACGTAAATCATTTATTGCATTAATTATATCGCCAATCGATTCAAAACAATGTGCACGCATATCACGTAGTTCATAACTCCAATATAATTCTTGTGACAATTTATCCAACAATGGTATTGCTTCTGAACATTTACCAATATCGACTAAATGTTCGACTAAATATTTATCATTTTTTAGATGTTCAATTTGTTGATAATATTGATGTGCTTCCAAATGATTAGGATCAACATGTAGAATATATTCAAATTCTTTTTGTGCTTGCTCCAAATCTCCCTGTCGATATAGGACGACAGCTTTTTGTAATCTGGCTGGATTGAAATCCGGATTCAATTGTAAACATTCATTTAAATCATCTAATGCTGAACGATAACGACCCATTGCTTGATAAACGGTTGAACGTTTAAAATAAGTTAGATAATTTTTTGGATCATTTTCTTTAAACAAAAAGAGGAAAAAAATTAAAAATGTTAATAATTATTGACTTTTGACATTTATCATTATTATAATATGATGATTTACATACCAACTGCCAGATGATAATGTGATAATGCATCATTTAATTGTCCTTTCATTAATAATTGCATACCAAGCTCAAGATGTGCATCAACATCTGAACCATAAACACAGTATACTTTTCAAAAAAACGAAACGAAAGATTTTCATTTTAAAATTTTTAACAAATTACTTACCAAGATTAAAAACAATATCGAATAATAATGGAAAATAGATATGAGTAGCCCTTGGCATCCGGATTAACATAGATGCTTGGACCATTTTTTTTCAACTTTGTTTTTTTTTGGTTTTTGCTGGAATAAGTTTCGAATGTTTTTTTTTAACACCAAAAATATATTCGCCCCAAAAGATGACAAACGACGTACGATTATTTGATTAGTTGATTATAATTAAATTAATTTAATTACGATTTACAAAGATCCATCGAATGGTTAAATGATGCAAAGAAAAAACGAGAAAATGATTTTATTCAATGAAAGAATAAGTATGTTTCTATGTTTGGTATGTGTGTGTTGTAATTATATTTAACAACATTGCCCCATACACAAAGCATACATATCAAAGCAAAGCAAGCTGCCTTCGAATCGTGTTAACATGTGATTGGCTAATCCAACACTGAGAAAAAAAAATTCGAGCATGCGCACAACTTATTGATCATGTTTTGGCGCGTCATCAATTTAGTTTTCTTTGTAACTTTTTTTGTAATTTTTTTTTTAATTATCATCATAATTAATTAATTTGATTTGCTGTGTTTCCTAGCATTAATCAATATATTATAATCAATAAAATGACATTTATATTCAAATAAAAATGGTAGATAAAATGTACGAAAAACATTTTCGGATTGTTTTTGATTTAAATACCAAAAAGATTTAATTATCTTCCATGATTCCGGGTGTTTTGAATATGGATAATCACGGCCACTGTAATCAGGATAATCTGTATCAATTATATAATCACAACCGGATTGAATATCATTAACATAACGTTCTGGTTGTTCTTGATTTTGATCATTCATATCATCCGGTTCAATACGTGTTGGATATTTTACTTTTTTATCAAAATATTTTGGTAATTGTCCACGAAATTCTGACCGTATGAATTCAATTTGAAATTTTTTTTCCGGTATAAAAAAATTACTTGGAAAACGATGCCATTCTTTACCCAAACAAATGATTTTTGTTGTTGATGTTTGATTTGAATCATTATTAACATCCAATAATGGTGGTCGCCAAAATTCATGATAAATATTCAATGATGAATAATATCCACGATATAATGCTAATGTTCTTGATAAACTTAACAGGAAAAATATTGAAAATAATAATTTTATCAATATCGATTGTAATCGATTGTTGTTGATAATCGATTCTAAATTTGTTAATGTTAAGGATGTTGTCAAACATAACAGCGGATATATTGGATACATAAAACGTTCTTCTTTATGTGATTGACAGAAAAATATCAGATACCAAACAAGTAATGAACAGTTTATCAAGATTTGTCGTTGTAAATTCAGTCGATCCATTCGATTGTTGATCAGCGAGGAAATAATCTGTTTAAAATCAAAGATTTTAAATCGAGGTTTAATAATTAAGTAAAATTACTTACCAAAACAGGTATGGATAACAATGAAATGATAAAAAAAATGTTGAAATTTAAAAATAAATTTTTCAGATAAAATGAAAATGGTTCCGTTCCATAAAGTGTTGAACCATGTTCACTGAAAACATTATAAAGGATGATATTTATGGGGGCGAATACAAATTTTCCATAATAATATGTATCAATTATAATGATTGGCAGTGATATTATTATTGCTGAAATGATTGATGTTCGAATGAATTTCATTCGATATCGATTGCTGAATAAATAGAATAATGCCATTGGAATCCTGATCAAATTCGAATAAATTTTAAAACGAAAAAAGAAAATTTAAAACAAAACAAAAAACTTACCCAATTGCCGAAACAAATGGCCAACCAAGAATCGAACCGGCAGCAAAGAAAACAATAAAAAATGTATGATTTCCACGTAGCCAAAAACCAAATGATAAACAAACAGCATAGATGGCAAATGAACTTGGCAGAAATGATGTCATTGAATTAAACATACCGGTCGATAGACTGGATATCAGACAATAATATTGGGCATTTTTATTACCGAATGATTTTCGAATTGATCTGTGTTTGAGAGAAAAACATTTTCAAAAATTCAAATTCCATCATCTTGATTGCAAAACTTACATGAACAAAAATGTTTCAACGATGGCCGATAATATAGCCATATAACAACGTATAATGTAGAAAATTTCAAATTTTTCGAAATAATTTTTCAATAATTTACCCGGTAACATATAAAACCATAGATATGTATACGAACGGATTGAATATTTGGGTGAATATTCCCATGTTTGAAAACCGCTGCCATACAGGAGAAAATGTCCCGGTTCCCAATAATTAAAAGTTTCATCACAATCATTAATATTATTCCATAATGATGAACATAAACGTGCCATCAAAAACCAAATGAATATCCATTTGGATGATATTTTGAAATTTAAATCAGTTTCTACTTGTTGTTTCGAACGATTTTTATCTTGCTGTTGTTGTTGTTGTTTTTTGTTGTTGACTTGATTTTCATTTTTTGACGATAATTTTCGATTTTTTACCGGCATTTTTCTATCAAAATTGGTTAATTTTTTTCAATTTTTTTGGCTCCAACAAAGCATCATCTGTTCAATCTAAATCAACAAAATTATAGATGGCGTTCATCTTTGTTGACAGAATATCGGTGTTGTTGTTGATGTTTTGTTGATGTTCTTTCCATCATCATCATCATTTTATTCCTGTTCCAACATCACCAACAGCAATGATAATGGAATATTTATTCTGTTTGAATCGATGTTTTGGTTGTTTCCACGACCCGACACGTTTAACACATTTTGAACAATCATTTAATGAAATTTGTTTGGATGGTACAAATATTGGTAACGATGTTGTTATTATTAAAAAAGGCCGAAGAATATGTGGTAGTGGTGGTGCAATAACAAATTTTCCAATCGTTCAGAATAAAGCTTATTTCGAAGCTAAAATTCAACAATTAGGTAATCATTCTTTTTGTGATTGAATTTGATTTTGATTTTGAACGTTTTTTTTTCACCAAATAAATAAACAAACAGGAAATTTCGGTATCGGTCTAGCAACCAATAATGTTGATCTAAATACAATACCATTAGGTACTGATAATCAAAGTTGGATATTACGACAAGATGGTACAATTGTACATGATAATAAAATATTATATCGTTTAGGTTATGAACTAAAAGAAGGTGATATTATATCAATATTATATGATCATATTGAATTACGTTTTCGTAGAAATAATCAACCAATCGATTTTGAAATACGTAATATAAAAATATCGGAAATATATCCAGTTGTTTATGTTGATAATGGTACCATTATTGATATGTATTTTTCAAATTTTCATTATCAACCACCACCATCATTCGATCGAATACTTATTGAAAAAGCATTACTTTAATTTCATAAAAAAAACCTGAATTTTAATCAATTAATTAATCAATTACAATTATCAATCCAAATTTTTATTTACAAATTACAAAAAAAAAATGATTATTATTGATACAATGCAGTATTACAAAAAGTTATTAAAAAAAATTATTTTGTTTGTTTTTGTTTAATCATTTCTTTGAATTGTGTTAAAATTTTTGTTTCACGTTTTGTACGTTCTTCTTTATTAAACATAGCCAGTGCACGTTTTTCATCAGCACTATAAATTTGATTTTCTTTACGAATACGAACAGCTTCCATCCGGCGATGACGACTACCGCTCATAACAAAACCAACTTCTTCGAATGATTCTATTTGATCACTAGTTAGACCAATTTCACCACGACGTGGTATACGTTTACCTTCGGTAACAAATGCAGCCATTGCTGCACCTTCACCCGGTAACAATGCTTTACCAAAATCACGATTATTCAATTCTAATGATTCAATTGGTGCCGGTCCAACAATATCATCCGCATCATTTTCACCATTATTTTTTTCATTTTGTTTACGTTTTTCATTAAATTCACGAACAAATTCTTCTTCTTCAATTGTACGGAATTTTATCTTTTGATTATCACCATTATTATCATCATTAACTTCGGATTCTGATGATGATGACGAATGTCGTCGTTTTTTATGTTTACGTTCTTTTTTATGTTTTTTCTTCTTTTCTTTTTTCGATGATTTATGTTGATGATGATTATTATCACTATGTTTATGTTTATGTTTTTTCTTTCGTTTTAAATTATTTTCCAAATTTTCATCGGAATTATTTGATTTAACATCATCATCATCATCATCAGTTGGTGTTGGTGATCGATTCCAAATATGATCAACACCCGATCGACCAATCGATTCACGTTGTTTTCGTCGTTTTATCCAATAATCACTGTTGTCTTTATCAACATAATTTCGTCGATGTTTATAATCATCGGAACGATAATCATCTTCATCATGATGTCGATGATTATGATGATGATGATTATCACGATAAATTGTTGACATAATTTGAAATTTTATGAAAATTGTGGAAAATTTTCTCAAAAATGAGCAAGATTTTTTTTCCAATACCAGCTATTTACACCTTGTTAGGCTAAACAAAGTTTATATAGGAAAATGGGAAAAATTAATTGAAAAAAATTACCCTTTTCTTTTCCATTCAAAATAACGAATAAAGAATTATAACACCACCATATAAATTTTATAAAAATGATTATTATTTAGTAAATAAAGTAAGAAACAGAAAAAATAAAAGAGATCTTTCATTCATCCATTGATATTTAATGGTATTCGATATACGATGGATTAATTAAGTTTTTTTGATGAAACAATTGAACGTTTATTGCGTTGATGAACTCGTTCATATTTATTTAGAGGAAGAGAGTTACCATAAATTGGTCCAATAATGCAAAATGTTATGAAATTTCGGTGTTATTTTAAAACCCAAGATTTTGATCGATTATGCGATAATTAATTCATAGAAATGCGATAAGTTTTTTTTTAGGAGCATAACTCCAAAATTTTATTAATATTTTGAAAGAAAAAAAAAGGAAAAAAAAAGTATAAAATAATGAAAGAGAAAAAAAAAATATTTTGTAACAATTTTAGTTTTAATGTAAATAATATGGTGGAAAATATATTTTGTATAACGACTTTTAAGTTTTGAATTTATGTTCTCATATTATAGATGAGTTTAAGTTTATTAATTTTTTATGTATATCCATTGCGAATTGTTCGAATTTGTTTTCTCGTAATAAATTTACCATTAAATTTTCAATATTATCAATATTTACAGTATTGTATGAATCTAAAATGTCTGTAAAGATTGGACAAGACAATAAATGATTATAATTTTGGTCTGCCTCACAACTCGAGCAGCGCGATGTCGATCCAATATTGAATTTTTTAAAGAGATGGTCGCGTGTAGGGCCATGGCCTGTGGTCAAGCTCGTAATTGCTTGGTTGATGGATAATAATTGGAAATTTTTATTTTCGTTGAGTATGATCACTAACGGTTTAGTACAGTTTTGTTTGATGACANTCTGTCTCGAGCAGCGCGATGTCGATCCAATATTGAATTTTTTAAAGAGATGGTCGCGTGTAGGGCCATGGCCTGTGGTCAAGCTCGTAATTGCTTGGTTGATGGATAATAATTGGAAATTTTTATTTTCGTTGAGTATGATCACTAACGGTTTAGTACAGTTTTGTTTGATGACATTCAATATTTGATTAGATTCGTTTTTTATCAAAATTGAAAAACTTTTCTTATCGTAGAAGTTGTGACTGGTTTTGATGTTATCGGAAAAAATGTTGGGAAATTCTGATGTAGATTTGTAATTGATACACAACGTCAGTGAATATTGATTTAGTAATTGATACAATTTGATTGTATTTGTTGAAACAAACGTTTCTGATGTTGTGAGGTAAGTTTTTTTTGGGCATCTTAAAAAGATGGAAGTATTTGGTTGCAAATTGTTCAATACCGTTAGTTTTTTGATTGATTTTTTTGTCGTATTGATAATTGCTTCTTCGATACCGGTGTGTGAATAATATTTGGTGTGTAGACAATTTGTCGTAGTATCATTATTAGAGGTAAAATTGGCTACGCAATAAATGAATTGTTTTTCGTGTTTATAATTAATATCAATAATTATTCTGGTGTTCTTCGGTTTGTTTTTTGTTGGGATGATTCTATTATTCAAATAATTGATGATTGATCGATGATGTTTTTTTGGGTATAAATTATTGATTTTTTGTTTACATTTTATGATTTCGATGATTGGGATTGTATTGGTCAATATATTTATACAGTTTATAGGTGTTGATCGATATGCATTGATGGTGTTTCTAAGCATCGCGTTGTCAAGTGTTGTAAGCATTCTTTTCGATCGATTATTTATTTTGTTGAACCATAGTTCAGCTGCGTATAACAAACTTGGCTTGACAAAGCAGTTGTATAAGGTGATGCGTTTTTTGCTGCTCAGACCGAATTTTGCTGATACATAATTTTTAAGAATATTCATATATTTGTATGCATCTGATATTTTTTTGTGCACGTGTTCATCAAATCTAAGATTATGTGAAAAGATAATGCCAAGAATTTTTGTTGATTCGACACTATTAATTATTGTGGTTGTTGGTGGAATGGTTTTTCTTTTTGATATGAACATCACGTTCGTTTTATCTTTGTTGACTGGTATATTATTGTTTTGGGCCCAATCAAAAATAATTTGAACAGTATTATTGATCAGATCGATTAGTTTTTGACGATCGGTGGCGGAAATGACTAGGGTGAGATCGTCTGCATAGGCTGTAGTGTTGATGTTTGATTCAGATAGGATATTTAGAAGATTATCCAGTGCAATGTTCCACAAGAGTGGTGATAAAACACCACCTTGAGGACATCCTCGTCCCGTCGGATGATGATTACACATTGTGTGATTTGTCTTGACAATGATTTTCCTATTGTTTAAGTAATGTGAGATAATTGAACAGATATATGTTGGACAGTTCAAATTGTCTAAAGAATTCATTATTAATCGGTGGGATGCATTATCGAAGGCACCTTTAAAATCAACAACGATGATGGCCTTGAATTTATTTTTTTGTTGTTCAATATCGTTTATAATTTTAAGTAGTGCATCTTTAGTCGATTTGCCAGCCCGGAAACCAAATTGGTTAGGATTGAGGAGATTATTGCTATCTAAATGGAAAAGCAGAATATTATTAATTATTTTTTCAAAAATTTTTGAGATATGAGATGTGAGTGAGACTGGACGGTAAGAATTGGCAACCAAATAATCTAGTTTGTTTGGTTTTGGGATGATACATGTTTGTGACACCTTCCAAAGATTTGGGAAGTAACCATATGTGCAGCATTTTTCAAAGATTTGATGTAATAGCCTGGACATAGATGATGGTAAATTTTTAAGCATATTGTTGGTAATATTGTCCGGGCCTGGTGCCTTTCTACTGTTAGATTGATGAATTAATGAAAAGGTTTTATGTTTTGGTAGAACTATTGGTATTGGCTGTATTGTTTGAGGTTGGATGGCCAATGATTCATTCGATGGGAACATTTGTTCGATGATAGATTTTAGATTATTTGAGCTAAGCTGGTTATTTAGGATTGGTGCATTGAACATTTTATCCTTGAGCTTATTTTTAATGAATTTAAAAGCATTTCCCCACGGTGTTTCTGTTGATTGGCCATTGTCATTGATGAAATCACACCAGTCTTGTTTGGTTTGGTGTTTTACCAGATTTTGTAATTTATCTTTAAGATGTATATATTTATTACGATACATTTCCTTCAATAGTGGGTGTTTTGCTTTGTTCAATTTATTTTTGATTCTTTTTGTTGCTGAATATAACGGACGGATGTTTGAGTTGTGATATACATTGTATTTACGTGGTTCAGGTGAAACTTTAAGTGTTGCGAAGCTTTTATAGGATGCAGAGGTGATTATATTGGCAAATATTTGGGTACATAAATCGATGTCTGTTTGATTTTTGATTTCGTTGATACGGGAATTTAGGTGGTTGATCTCGTCATTATTAAAATTGTTTTGAAATGATATCCAGTCGGCATGTTTTTCGCAAAAGAGCCATGTTGAGGATTGTTTTGATAAGATGGGCTTTTCTGTGTTTAAGGTGTATAGTTGGGGGGTGTGATCGCTAAAAATGTTGTTCAGTTGTTCGTAATTTTTAATTAATGGAAAAGCAGGAGTGTTGGCCAAGGTGAGATCTATAAAACTATTTCTTCCGTCGTTGTGATTATAAGATGGATTTTTTGTCTTGAACACTTGTAGTTCATATTGTTGGATCATATTTAATATTTGATTGCCTCTACAGGTGTCCTTTTTGCTGTTCCATAAAGTGTGGCTACTGTTTAAGTCGCCGCTAATGATAGTAGCATTGAGAGAATTGTTGTCAAGAAATTTGGAGATTATTTTTAAGTGGTTAGAAATGGATGTATTTGATGGGAGATATATTGATAGTAGAAAGAATTCACAATTTGAGGTGGTAAATTTGGCGGCACATATATCGGTCGATGATAGTTGGATTTGTTGGTGTTTGATGATTTTGTTAAAGATGATGAGAATTGCACGAGGATTTGGGGTGTCTGGTGTAATGATGGTGGTTTTTGAAAACATATTTCGGAAGTTCTTTGGTGGTTCGGAGATTACTGCCAAATCACAAGATTGATTTGATGCTATGTTTATAAGTTCTTTTGTGGCTTTTGAGCTACGGTTTAGGTTAAGTTGTATGATTTTTAGTTGTTGGTTGAATTGAGACGAGATGAAGTATCCACCTGTGGTGGATTAGTGTTTATACTTTGTGTTTTTGGATTGAATTTTACGATTTTGTTTTCGTCGTAGCTTGTTGATTCTTTTATTTGTTTTAGTTTAGAATTATAAATAGGGCATTCAGTTGATTGGCACGGATGGTTTTTGTCGGTTGTTGAATTGTTTTCGGTACAGTTGAAGCAGATTGTTGTTTTACATGATTTAATATGAATTTGAAATTCTGATAAAGAGTTGTCGGTTTGAATCGTCGAGAAACATTTTCCACAATTTTTGCAGTTTTTTTTATCTTTTAGTGGACATTCTTTTGTTCTATGGCGAAAGCTTAGGCATCTGTTACATGCACCAATAAGGAAAGTTTCTTCTACTATACTAGCGGTCCAGCCGTGTGTTAAAGTTTGATCATGTATTTTATTATACAAATGTGGTGACACACAAAGAACAGCGTTGTAAAAAAATTTCCGTTTTATTGTATAAAGAATTTTAATATTTTCGGCTTTCAAGTCGAGATTGTCATTTTGTACGATAAGTGTTTGAATTAGATCAGATTCCAAAATTGAATAATCTATGTTTTTGATAATGATTGTTGGGCATTTGGGTTGCGGTTCATACGCTTCGATATGGTTATATATTTTTGTTTCAAGTTGAATTTCATTTAGGAATTTGTTTTTGTTTGTGACGTCACGGAATTTAAAGGCAACGTTGGTTTTGTTGGTTTGTACGTTTACGCATTTAAATTTTG